TCTACACCCAATAATTACCATGAGAAATCTAATTAATTCGTGATTTTCATTAATGTGAGTCGATTTTGTATTTATTATTAATTTTTTTAAAATTATATACAGTTTAAATTGAATTATATTTTGACATAAATATTAATTTTTTATTCTATATTTTTTAGAGTTAAAATTAAAAATAATTTATATATATTTTTTTCTTAATAAAATATTTTAAAAAATAAAATTGTCAATATAGACAATATTTTCAAATATTATCATGTTCCAAAATAAAATATTTTAATAATTTTCTTAGTTTTTTATTAAGATTTTTATTATTTAGAGATTTTCATTTAAAATATAATTAATACAATTTTAAATATTATAAGTCACGTATATTTAAAAAAAAAATTCATGAAATATATTTAAGAGAAAATATATTTCTAATGTCTTGGTCCTAAAATTAACTTCTTAATTTGTTATACTACTATAATAGAAATATATTATACTAAAAAAGTTCGGATATAAATTATTATGAAAAGCTTTATGATTTATCATAGTTATCTTTTGTTTTGAATAGAAAATGGACACGTAGACCTTATTCAGAAACTATGTCCCCAATAGTAAGATGAACTTTTTAAGTAATTTCCACAAAAACAAAACAAAAAGAGAGAACACTTTTATGGGGTCGTGGAGAAAAATAAATCAAGCAAACATATTGATACTTTGATTTATTTATTAAAAAAAAAAGTAAAGTTGATGGATTATTTATTTATTCATTTTATATTATTAAAATATAAGAAAAGTTGCTGTTGTTGACTAAAGTATATCTTGCTTTCTTTAATAAATAAATAAAGCTTCCAAATTGAGAACAGGTGGAGCCTAGTTTCAAATCTCAACTTTTTTTTCTTTGTTTTTGACCCATTTTCACATTCTTATTCGTGTAAAAAAAGTTAATATAAATAAAAATTAATTTATAAAGAAGTTTTTATATATATAAAAAAAAACTCATTCAGAAAGACACATGTAACCACGTAACAGAGACATTGCAACTAGAAAAATGAAAGTTACATAGTTTAACGCGCCCAGTTATGTCAATTAGAGAGACAGAGAATTAAAGTATGTACAACAACACAAGAAAAGGTACATGTCTTTCTTCTTATTCTTGTTTTTGTCATTAATGCAATGGATTTTGTTTCGCATGCAAACGTGTACCAAGATTTTTTTTCTACCAATGCTTTTGAGATAAACAAGATTCGATGAGAAAAAAAAGAGTTAACTAACCAAACATATTTAACCCATTTATTTCATTTCATAATTGATTTTGGCATTTAAAAACGCGATTCATCCACAACAAATAATATTAATAAAATATGAGTCTACTTATAATTACTTTCGTCCTAAAATTTTTAAATATTATATAATGAATTTTTTTATATATTTAAGACTTGAATTCACATTTATATTTTTTTAACACTAAGGTTCTTTTTATTGTTATGTTTTTTTTGGTGTTTATTACGTTGTTTATTTTTTTTATACTAAATAAATTTGGTAAAACAAACTGTTTTTTTAATTGAATAATTTAAGTAGATAAAATCAGAAGCAAAACTGATAAACTGAATATCATATAATCATTTTAACGTTATTATAAGGAGGAATGGATGAAATTAGGATATAGTGGGAGGGCCAAAATGTAATAAATATTAAGAATAAACATTTATACTCTAAAAAATAACTACAAATATATAATAGAGAATATATTTTAATAAAAATATATGTAAAAATGTGACAGAAAGATAAAATGTTTGTTATCAATAATTTAAGATGTCAGTTACTTTTGTAAATTTAGAAATGATATAAAATTAAACTATATATTCAATAAATCTTATAAAATAATATAAAATTAAAAAAAAATTATATTATTTACATATTTAAGTTTACCGGGATGTATAGGTGAGAGGATATATATTAAGTCATTCACTAATTAATGTAATTTATAAGGAGTGATTTATGATCTTTAGTAATAAGGTGGAAGGAAAAATCATTTTTTTCAAGGAAGATAACTTATAAAGGATGTGAAAGTCTTTCGATATAGTATAAAGATTTTTAAATCACTCAAGAATTTAGGAGAATAACTCTCACTAAGATAAAAGAGATAAACTCTAATATTTCTAAAAATAAAATTCAATCTATTATTTTTGATAAAGAAATTTTATGCTATCAGAGTTACAAAAATTCACTAAAGAAAAATAAATATTAATAATAATTTATTAATTTAGGAATTAAAAACTACTTAATAATTGATTATAATTGAAATTGTGTCAACCAAAAGTCAATCAGCTATGCATGCTCTTGATATCCCAAAGACTAAATTTTCAATTGAATCCTTATTACAACTTGCAATAAAATTAAACTAAAGTCGATTAGTTGATCAATCCAAAACACAATTTTGTCTACCAACAATACTTGGTTAATAATTTCTTTTATTTCTCTTACTCTAATATTTATCATATGTCATGTTCACAAAATAAAGAAATTTGAAGATCAAAACTATTATCGATAATTATTAAAAGTTATTAAAAAATTTGTGTAGTTAATATTTGTATAATTTGGGGTGTGGCTGTTGTTGATTCAATAATATTACTTCAGCGTGGCTCCTTGAGTGTAGTTTAATATTTACATAAAATAATAACGATTGTAAATATAATTAACTTTAAATTTTTTTATTAAAATAATAATTATTTAATATTTATGTTACTTTAATAAAAGAACAAAATGTTCGCATTATACGAAAAAAAGAGTTATGGTTACTGTATCAAAATATAAATTATTTTTTTACCATATTGTTATTTTAATGATTAATTTTAAGTACTATTAACAGAACTAAATTTTTTTTAGATGTTTCAATCAATGATTTAAGAAAATTTAATCTGTAATAATTGTTGGACGAAATTAACTAGATTTGTGGTTCAAAGTTAGTTTCCCCATCATTTCCATAAATAATTATTTAGTATATATATTACAAAATTATTTGAATATTTTTTTCTAACTTTATTTATTTAATGAAATTTATTTATTATTTATAATAAAAAAAATTATATGAGATAATATATATATTTTTAATTTATTTCTTACTTTTAAATGTTCCTTTAGTGTTGATTTTCTTTTTTATTTTTCTTCTATTTGATTTTTCTTTAACTCTTATTTTATCCTTCAATTAAAAATAATATATTGAAATTTAATAAATAAGTTTTTTATTATTTAAAAAAATATTTAAATAGTCTATAAATATTGTAATTTAATATGTTATATATAAAAATATTATATAATAAAATTTAGATATTATCTATGTTATAATTATTAAGAAAAATTTATATATTTATTTTAAAATAGTTTTTAATAAATATTTTTTTAAATTATCTAATCTAATTAATTATCATAACTCAATCTAATTATAATTAAATTAATTAATTAAATAAAAAAATACATTTAAAACTCATAAATATTTAATATTTTTTAGTTTAAATATTGATTTTAAAATACTTATTTACATTTTTTTATTAAATTTTAATATAGTAATTTAATTAAAAGAATAAATAGGAGAGAAGATAAAAATAAAATAAAAAGCTTGATATAAAAAGTGAATGAGAAAAGATAAATTTTTTTACTAAATATATATATATATATATATATATATATATATATATATATATATATAAACATTTAAATATATTATTTATAAGACTGAATCAATCTTATTATTACGATATAACTTATAACCACCAACATATTTAGTTAAGATTAATCATAATGTGCACCTGATTATATTGCATTTCAAGTATATATAATAAATATGTATTTTTTATTTAAAATTATATAATGTAATTTTTACATGAGTATAAAAATATTGCATTGAATTTTATTATAATTTCATAAACATTAAAATTCATTGATTTAAATTTACACTATTTCAAACGAACCAATTGTTGATTTGAGGTGATACTTGAAAATAGTGAAAAAAAAAGGAATGAGTGAAGATATAAGCAAAAGAAAAAAAATGTATGATTGTTTGGTTGTATAAAGTAAGTAGAAGAAGAGAAAATCAAAAGGTTTTTAAAAGTCACATTCTTTGTTAGCGACAGATCAAAACCACCAAAAATTAAGTGATTAATTAGTAACAGCAATAAGTTTTAGTGTGAACTTAAAAATGGCGAAAGAATGTGAAAAATAATTTAAAAAAACCATAATCTAATTTTTATTTTTTATTTTAATTTTTACCTTTTCTCACTTATTTTTACCTCTCCTTTAAATAGATACTGTAAAATGTCACATTTATATTTGATTAAAAATAGTAAAAAACAAAAATATCTTTTGATATATAAAAAAATCAATTTTTTTTGTTTGCAATGAATTATTTTCACCGTACCAGGAAAATAATCAATCCTGTGATAAGAATACTCCCTATGAAAAATAGGTGGAACAGAAAGAAAAACATAAAACTAACTGTACAAAAGAGAGTTAAAATGTAGTACAAAAAATGAATGATAAGTAGAAGAAATAGATGGATAAATAGATAGTGAAAAGGGGTTCATAATGTCTAACATCAAGATCATTACACTATTTCCTTTAAGAAAAAGGGTGATACTGAGTTAACAGTGATGGGTTAACATGAGGCAAATGTAAATGTGTATGATTTAATTTCAATTCATTTGATTTATCTGGGTAGCTAAGTTAGCTAGCTAGATCTGACTGCTGTCCCAAGTCATTCTCAGTAACTGCTAATCACTGACACGGTCAGCTACCCTTCTCTCTCTCTCTCTAAAACCTTTGCTATTGTCTCCTCCCACAGCACAACACAACACAACACACAGTTACTTACACATTACAACTTCAATGTGAATCGATCTTATTCATTCATTTATTTATTTATAGCACCTTAAACCACCACACAAGGTGGCGCACCCAAACCAACAAGAGGTGAAGTGAACCATTCTTCACCTCTCTCTCTCTCTCTCTCTCTGTCTCCCATGGGTCAGACCCTTAGTTGCACAGTGAGCCAGGACCACGGCCTCTTCACCGCCGTGCAACACGGTCACCTTCAAACTGTCACCACCCTCTTAGAGGCCGACCCATCTCTCTTGTACCAAACCACTCCCTACGATCGCCACACTCCGCTTCATATTGCCGCAGCCAATGCCCAGATCGAGGTTCCTTCCTCTTTCCTCTCTCATTCTCTCCCGCGTTCTATTCACGCGAATTCTCTTCTTTATGTTTCTCTCTCCTTCCTTCCAGATTCTGTCTAGGCTTTTGGATGGATCTCTTAACCCAGATGTTTTAAATCGCCACAAACAGGTGACTGACTTGTGTTTTTATATCTTTGGTTTTCCCATTTTAAAAACTTGCTATCTTTGCTTACCCTTCATTGTGTTGTGAATGCTTCAGACTCCGCTTATGTTGGCAGCAATGCACGGGAACATCGCGTGTGTCGAGAAGCTTCTTCTAGCCGGAGCTAATGTAATGTCTCAATTTCGTTAATCTTATCCTATTATGACATGAGTAAATAAGTATATTTGGAAAACTTAATTGTGGGATTTTCAGGTGTTAATGTTTGATACTATTTCCGGGAGAACCTGCTTACACTATGCCGCATACTACGGCCATTCTTCTTGCCTTAAGGCTATTCTTTCTGCTGCTCAATCTAGTCCAGTGGCTGCTTCTTGGTTTGCCCTTGCCCTTTTCTGTTTAACTATTGATTTCGATGTTATTGTGTTTTTCTTTTAAGTTGTTGTTGTTGGTATTTAGTGTTTTTGAATTCGTTGCAGGGGGTTTGCTCGTTTTGTGAATATTAGAGATGGAAAGGGTGCAACGCCATTGCACTTGGCGGCTCGTCAGAGACGGCCTGAATGTGTACATATTCTGTTGGACAGTGGAGCTCTTGTTTGTGCTTCAACTGGTGGATATGGGTAATGATCTATCAAAGAGTGGTTCGAATGATTGAATCTGATTTTGTTTTTTTTCTTTCGCCTTTCTATGTTGTGTGGAGTAAGTAGTCAATTGCTATTTTCAGCTGTTCTGGGAGTACTCCGCTTCATCTAGCAGCCAGAGGGGGATCTCTGGATTGCATTCGTGAATTGTTGGCATGGGGTGCAGATCGTCTTCAACGCGATGCATCTGGGTATAGTTCACTTTCTCAGCTCAAATTCTTACCACTTAGAAAAACGGTTTACTGGGTTTGAGACTTAGAGTGATATATCTAGCTTGTTTACTTATAATTTTTGTGGTTTATCTCTGTAGTGTCAATTTTTAAGAGTTTTAGGTAAATCATTGATTTGCTTTGATGGGCCCTTTATTGTACTCATCTGGAATTTTCCTTTAGGAACCTTTTTAACTTTATGAGCAACTTACCTCATTTAACGATTGGATCCATAGCATTTAAGTTTAACCCTGCATCGTTTCCTCATTACATACCCTCATAATGCCTGATTGGCGTGTTTATGCAGGCGGATACCATATATGGTTGCTCTGAAACACAAACATGGAGCCTGTGCATCATTGCTGAATCCTACGTCTGCAGAACCTCTTGTCTGGCCGTCTCCGTTGAAGTTCATCAGTGAGCTTAATCCTGAAGCCAAAGCTTTATTGGAACAGGCCTTGATGGATGCAAACAGAGAAAGGGAGAAAAACATATTGAAAGGGAGTGCTTACTCTCTTCCATCTCCATCACATTCTGATGGCGTAACTGATGATATGTCTGAGGTAATTTCTCACTCTCTGCATATACATACCAACTTTTGTGCTTTTGTAATTGAATTAAATTAGAGTGTGGAAATATAGTTACAAAGAATTCAGTAGATTAATCGTAAGAGCTCATTGCCTAATTTTAAAATGATGCAACATTCAAACATCTCTGTTGTGCATTAAAAAAAATCATAGTTTGATCAATGAACTCTTTGATTCTCCTCTGCCCCTTTGAATTTTTTTCAACTGTGAATTTATTGGTACTTGGACAGATGAAGTAATTCTACCAGAACTTACTAATAACTAAATAGTATATAGGAATTTGAATTTCAATTGCCTGGTGAAAGACTACTCTCCATGGAGTGTAATGTACTTTTTTTCCCCCTACCATCATAATTTGTCATTATTGCCTTAGAGAAACATCTTCACTTTTTCCTTGAACGATCATATTCATATTTTACACACTGATGTTGGGATATGATATTGGGCAGGTTAGTGAGTCCGAGTTATGTTGCATATGCTTTGAGCAGGTATGCACAATCGAAGTTCAGAACTGTGGCCACCAGATGTGTGCACAATGCACACTGGCCCTGTGTTGTCACAACAAGCCCAACCCTGCCACAACCTGTCTCACTCCACCGGTTTGTCCATTCTGCCGAAGCACCATAGCAAGACTGGTGGTTGTGAAGACAGAATGCCATGATGAAACTGATCTAGATAGTGTTGACATCAACTGTTCCAAGCTGAGCAAGTCATCAAAGAAACCCAGAAACTTGAATGACAGTGGTAGCAGCAGCTTCAAGGGCCTATCCACTGTTAGTTCATTCGGGAAGTTGGGTAGCCGCAGCTCTGGAAGGATTGCTGCCGAGTGGGTGGATAAACAGTGATGGGAATTGCTTGTGGTAACAAATGAATCCTACATTGGCAAGATACCGTAACTACATAGGTGCTTAACCGGCAAGGCAAAAATCAAAGTTAAAAAGTAAAGGAATATTATGTAATTTTGGGAAATAAGCAAAGTGATTTGAAGGGAAGTGAAGTTGGCGTTAGGTACCAAGTGTTGTTGGGAAAAGGAGAAGGGTATGTCATGTTGTTGTAGTATTATTATTACTTGAGAATGAAGAAGCATCACCTACGTCGATGATTTTGGGCATCGTCAATAATCTTAGTTTATTTATTACACGTATCCCAGTAAAGTGGGAATGATTTCTCTTTAAGAAATATTAGTCAATAATATTATGGGAAACTGTATTTCTTATTTGCATCTGGTTTATTTCTTTGTACCGATACGATATAAGCAATAAGATACAAAAGAGAAGGACAAAGCCATGTGATCATGTCCTCTTGGTTAGTGCACTTGATTAGGAGCATGATTGCTGGTATATAGTTTTATTATTCATGCAATATCATCTGTTTTTTCCTTCTACTGCATCGGTAAAAATACAACTGGGACAAGATCAGTTGATGTGTAACATTTTTGGTTGGGATCCTGGCTAAGTCACATGATGATGACTCGTAAAATTGGTGTCTGATACGCGATTGATCCAATCACTGAATACCGAATAGGCTCTAAGGGGTGGCCACCACATATACCAACCGGGTTTGTTGGGACTTTTCACACCAAAAACTGAAAACAGGAAAGAGACATAGCCAAAAAAACAAAGAAGGAAAGTTAAGTACATCATGCATGGGCATGGCCAGGGCACGTGTCGCTTCTCTATTCGTTGCGGTGCAGAAGCAAACGTGTTTGACCTGTCCTTCGAGGGCTACGTTCTAACTCCCAATCGCAGCGAGAGCCAAGAGCCCCACCACAATCCAAATTATCCAAATTTATATTATTTTACAACAAAGTTATAAGTGATGTCTTGTAACCAATTATGATTTTGTAGAAGCTATGTATTAAAAACAAGTGAATAATGGATCGGTAAAGTATATTTTTTAAAATGTTTCTCAACTTATTTTATTCAGATAAAATATTTTAAAACTAAATATTATATAACTGTTTAAAATTTACAAAAATTTATAATTTTTATGTGATTGACCTATATTATTAAGTAGGGTATGTGCCGACAGGTTGCAGGAAGAAATATCTTGGAGAAAGGGTGATATTGAGCATCACATGTGGGCTATTTGGTGTATTAAAATGGAAATAATTAAGAATCTCGTAACCTTCAGATTTGGATCTAATCAAAGTGGTTGCATATTCACATGAATCTGGATAACCTAAGAACGTGTCACACGTAAGCTACACACACATACATACACCTTGTATTAACATTTCTATGTGATTTTGAATGGGGGATAAAGTTGAAAATGGTGATCAGGGTTAGAAACTCTAACTTCACAGCCATACCCAAAGAATAACTGAACCTTTACGTCATCTCTATCTTGTCTATCTGTTGACCCACACACCAAAGGAAAGAAAAAGAAACAAAAATGTTCCATCCAACTCTGGTTTTTACTCTTTTAGTATTCTAAACTTGATGCTCAAACACATAAAAACATCACTATTTTCTGAATGCTTCGCTAATCTTTTGACTCTCCATTAACTTGCCCCTGCCTCAATTCATATATTTTCTTAATTTAATAACTTAAGGCATGTCTTTCACTTAAATTATACAAATCATAAACATGTTTTCTAAAGGCAATTTTGCCCACACATGCATGAAAATGGCTCCGAGAGTGAACCAAACCCTTTGTTGTTGCCGTGCCTTATTTCCATGCTTTTTCTCTCTTTTCCAATGCTATGGCTTGGACTTAAGGAGGTGCCACTCATAAAAACTGAATTTCGTTCTACAATATTGGTTTCAGCCAATGCAAGCTCAAAATGAAGGCTTTGGTTCCTTCTGTTTTCACTAGCAACTCTTCTTTCCACTGCAAGAAATTGACCGAGAGATGGGGGATTATTTTTCTCAGCTTCACCATTTCTACTCCTTGAACCCAAACAGAAAAACCATGACCATAACTTCAACTTCAACTTCTTCCTGCTCTTCAAGAGTTCTGTTTTGGTTTCTCTCAGAGATCTTTTTGATAATTCCACAATGCTAGACACACCCATTAGACTCCCAAGAGTGGTACTTTGGTCTGGAAAAAAAGACCCCGTCGACTGAATCAAAACAAACATACATTTTTAGTTCATCTTGCATTTTCAAATATATGAGTATGTTCATTAAAACTCACCCTTAGACGTAATTGCTTAGTTACTATATGAGTTTGATCCATCAATGTTCAACTCTACCACATGAAGTGAAAGGGAACGAATGCCCTTAATCCATCTAACTCAACTGAATTGATACGGAAAGTAGGTTTATATTTACTATCAATCATGGGTGGATTTAAGTAATGTAGCTGCATATTAATCTCAGAACAAAACTGGCCACCTAATGCCACCTAAAAGGGGATTTCAATTATAGTCCAATTTAAAAGGAAAATTCAACACATACAATATAAGATATGGTTGTTCATAATATTTTCCTCTTGTTCTTATGCTATATACAAGTCAAAACTTGATCACAACAAATCCAAGTCGGGTTAAGAACAAAAGGATTGGCATAAGTAACATCAACTAATAGTTTCCTTCTTATCACTTCAAATTTTCTTGGCACGTTTAGTTCAGCTAAAGTTAGAAAAACAGATAATTTCTTTTGTTCTAAAGTTTAGAAAAATGATTTTTTTTTTTTCGAAATACGTTAGATAAAATATACTCGTAACTAGTTGCAGGTGGTGCAGTTGGATCAACTTAAAAAATCAGGAAATATTTATTGATCAAGATGCTATTTTTTTTTTATTTTTTTTAAATAGGGACCAGTTTACCTGCATAATCCAAGAAGCATGCAGAAGAAAGACAAAAATGAGAGTATATTTTATTGTGGTGGAGTCAGCTACTCACATGAACTTATCTCAAATACGTGTCATGCAAAGGTAATAGGGAACATTCGCATTGGTACTACCATACAACATGCATGTTAATTCCAGAAATTATTATTCACAATTTTCATTATTTATTTTGTCATTTTTAACTATTTTATTCTATTGAAGACAAGAACTAAAGATACTTCTTCAATCATACTTATAAAATGAAACATTGATTCTTTTTGTTATTTTAATTAAAATTTGACTAATAATTCAATGCAGTTCTGAACATAACAAAACAGTATTAATGATAAAAGAACAGAAGAAAAAAGTTACCATAATGTTTTACTGACCTGAGTGTCTAAATCAGATGAAGAATGTGAAGAGGAAGATGGAGAAGCAGTGAGTAATGTGTTGAATGATATTGACCCTGTCCCTGCATTCTCACTATTTCTCACCAATTCAATCCTTGCATTCACTGGCTGGAGTAAACCCAGAGGCCAACCCTCATCCTAACATCAAATCAATTGTAGCAAAAATTGTTCAGAGAAAGCACCAACCTCACATGATATTATACATATACGAGACAGACAACAGAACAAACGAAACACAAAGAAACAACCACGTATTCGTCAAATCAGAAACCATCACAGACCCACCACTGAAATCCCAGAGGAAACAACGTGATCAATCCCATGGAGAATTCCTGAGAAAATTCCAAAAACGAACATGCATGGTGCAGTAAAAAAAATACCTGTTGAGCCATGTTTTTGAACCTTTTTAGCACAAGGCCACCTAAGATGTTAGATAGGACTGCAGGAATCGTCCACTCCTTGTTGTTCTTTGTTAATAAGCATAGAAGCTGCGCATTATTGGCAATGACTGTGAATATAGAGATGCTGTTGGAAAATCCAAGTGTAAATTAGAGCAAGAATGGGTCAAAAAGGGTGACATAACCACTGACCGAGAGTGCATATAATTTGCAATAGCCAGTGACCATTCTCGTCACCTTTTTCTACAGCTATGTTGACCATAAAGGAAAACAGAATCATTGTGTCGTTACTCGTTACACTAACGGGCCATAAAAATAAAATAAAGCTATTGGAGCAACTAATCATTGCCTTACGAATACGTATTTATTCAAAACCCCACAGATGAGAAATTAATCTTCATGCAAATCTTCTCCAGTTTTTTATACTCGTTCTTTGTCCAAGTGGGTCGAAATGGATTCATTTGTTTATTTATTTTCACCTTAAAAGTGGAGTAAAGAAGGATATGATGTGGTGGTGGAGTCAATACGAATTATTGATGTTGAAAGTGTTGTTTTTGATGTAGTGTGGCCAAAAGATGAAAAGCGTTTTTAGTTTTTAGCAATTATGGATGATGGATGCACAGTGAGGTGAGCAGGGATCCTATGAAAAGTGTCAAAAGTGATTGAATTGCTTTTCAGTTACGTAAAAGGACAAACACAAGCATCTAAAAAATGAACAGACTCAGATTCTAAAAAGCCTCGCTCAGTCTCAAACCCCGGCAAGTGTTCCACAAAACCATGCATATTGTCTGCATAATTTTGGACTACATATGGTTACACAGAGACCCCAAAGCTGATCAAGATAGCTATTTATGTACGCTTTTGTATTTACACTCCCCCTTTTCCTTTTTCTGCTTAAGTGATCATATTAACCTTAATCTTTTCCTCCTTTAGAAACAGTCCAGTTCGCACATTCTCCATTTTTAGATATCTTTGACAAACAATATAAAGGTTTGAGATGACAATCGTTCAGTGTAAAAAATAGGGTTCAGATTTTATACTTTCTTTAGAGAAGACGATATATTTGGTAACTGAATGAAAGAGGAGTGTAAATAGAAGAAGTCTCCGTGGTCTTGCAAATATGTCTGGATGACTCCTCCAAGCCCAAGTACAAGCCCAAGTCCAAGCCCAAGATTTGGTCTAATTCTAGAAACTTAAACGAGCCCAAGATTCTAAAGAGAAAAAAATAAATACTCGAAGTGTAACAAAAAAGAAATAACACTCGGACCGGTTTTGTAAAACACGGTAAAGAATATTGAGATGGGCTCCAATCCTTTGAAAGAAAACTGGGCCGGCCCAATGGAGATACTGGGCTGATTCGGAGTGGCTATTTTTTTTAAGTTGTGGCTTATTTCTTATACAAAAACTTTATAGTTTATGAAGATGGAAACATAATCTTTGACGCTGATCATTATAACACTCCCACTTAAGAAAACATGTATATTTTTAATCATTACTAATAATGTTTCTATAATATTCTGATTTTTTATTATTTATCTCTCGCTATTAATGAATTTAAATAATGATTGCTTTTACAGATTTTTCTTATTATTCTTTAAACTTTTATTTTTTATAACATTAACTCTTATGGTAGATTTAATAATCTTTATTATGCTTTACCCATTTAAGGTTTGTTTGGAGAAATTTTCGTAAGTATTCATAGAAGAGTAAATATAAAAGAAAAATAAAATCAGTTTTTTCAAAACTGAGTTTAGATTTAGAATAAATTTTTAACTTATAAAAACACTGATTTAATCTTTTTCTTTCTTAAAAATGGAAAGTTTCTTCCAAACATACTCTTAATTATACATTAGCATTTTATTGTGGTTGAAAAAGAAAATTATACACCATAAAGTAGTATATATTGTAAAACAAGTAGATTTTTTTTGGAAAAGTAGTTTTTGACACAAAACCCTTTCTTTTTAGCTTATTTATCTGAAAAATTTGTTCTTTTTCATATTTAAAGTTTGAGTGAGTCTTAATTATGTTCTCTTGCGATGCATGGAATGCATTCTGATAATAAAATTTGGGTGAGAGAAACATAAAAGAATTGGAAGCAGAAATTTTGTGTAGGGAAGAAGAAAACGGTAAAAACGAGGCACGACAGAGATGGTAGAGGGAATGTTTCGCTTTTCTTGGGAAAGTCAATGTATCCCATTTCCATCTTCCAATGATTTCTGACCCTTGAACAAAGTCAATGGATCCGATCCCACAAGAAAGAGAAACACCAAATCTCTTCTCACTCACTCCACTTTCCTCCAAATCAAATCCCTTCCCTACCCTCATTATGCCTTTCATCTACTACACATCCCACTCCACCTTTTTTCATTTCCTTTCACCGTTCAAATCTACCCCATCACTATATCCTACACGTTTCATTTAAACATAACGAAATGGATTAAATTCTCAAAGAAAAGGGTCAAGAAATTCAATTAATGCTTGGATGGAGAGAACCTTTAATTATACTACCAAATGAATGCACTATCAGGGTTACAAGTTTGTCTAGAGTTACAAGTGCATCACAGCACCAACACAGAAATTAGCAAGGTAGTAGTAGTAGTAGTAGTAATGAATATTGATCATGACTCTAGAGAATCTAAGGCTCACCCTTGTGGCCGTTTAACAATGTTTGACTCTCTTATTCACACCACCACCACCTCCAAGATCTACCACATACGGCACAGGGAACAAAGATTCCAAATCTTGGGAGAGATCAAGCACGACTCTTCGTCGACACGCTTTTCTTTTCGTGGCTGGCTTTGGTTTTGTCTTCTTGGGTGCACCTGGGCATTGTAGGATCAGCGGGATTTTGTTGTCGGAAGATGTCGGAGTGGTGTAACCGTCGTCGAAGGAGTCATCATCGTTTTCTGATCCCACGTAGGAAGACGGAATGTCTAGTTTCAAGGTGATGGGACACACCGGTTTTGTGACGATGATGTTGTTGTGTTGGTTTTGGTCTTCTTTTTGGAGAGTTTCTTGCAGAGATAGGTGTTTGAGTTTAACAAGGTGGCGATCTTCTTGGATGAATAAGGCGAGTTCTGGATCGACGAGGTTGGGGCCTTTGAGATCTTTGTCAGAGAGAAAGATTTTGGGATTGGAAGATACCCCCATGAAGAAAAAGGACGACGAAGAAGAAAGGGGTTGATTGGAGGAACAAAGAATGTTCCAAGAAGATTGAGATGGAGGGAGAAAGAAGAAGATAATAGAAAGTAATTAACGTATTAATAAGATAGGTGTTGGTGTAGGTGGAGTGGTGAGATAAAAAAGATGCATGGAGGATGAGCATAAAGAAATGAAACGAAAGATGGTATTTTTAAAGGATTTTTCTCTGGAGCATAGCAGTGCAGGCGTTGTAGGTGTGATGTGTGTGTGTGGTTATGTCATGAGAGAGAAGAGAGAGAGAGTGAAGCGGAGGATCCAATGCAAAGAAGAAATGCTATCCACAACACAACACAAACAAACACCTTTCTCTCTCAACTCAATATATAACCTGCAGGAAGGGGAAAGTCGAGAGGGACTTTTACTCTGCCACTCATACTCAATAATAAATCTATAAATGCGGGTTGAATAAGTCTACATTTTCTACAATATTATCAATGACTTTTTATTTGTAATTTCCAAATAAATTTGACTATGTGTAGTGTATGAAAATATTTAAACTTCATGGAGAAGATGGATGAAACCAAGGTTTGATTTTGGAATATTAAATATACCAGAATCCCTTTTTTGTTCTTGAATTATACATACTTCGATGCACCGGGCACGTGGTTCAGTAGCAAAACCATATGCTCTTAACGTGCATGCTACTTTGTGCAGCTAAATGAGTATGCTCACCACCATTCTCATAATCCTTCTTTGTTGACGATGATGATCACTTTATTTTTAATTTGAAAAAAGTGATGAATTCTGCATAATTAAGTCTGTTGCGAGTGTGTGGCGTAAATTGGGGTGGGCAAACACAGCAGACATTAATTCTGTTTGATGCAAGGGCAACCAACACAAAATGTTTGTCACCATTAATTGAGTGCCATGGTAAGTGTCAGAACCATTTCAAAACAAACCCATATCCCCCAACAATATAATTGCATGTCTTCACACACTCTTTTTTTTTTTTTTTTCTGCTTTCAACTTAATTGCTTGCAACTTAAAAATTATATACATTACTTCTCTTAAATTAAATAATAATCAACAATCATAAGGTAATAGATAGTAAAATACTATTTGACTATGAGTAGGTTAAAAACATGGAGGATTTAAAGTAAAGCATGGTTTGGTTATATGGTAGCTTAACACAGAAGGTGAAATATTAATTTCACATGCAAATGGGTCCAAGTACTTGCTGCCATTTCTCACGTTCCTGATAATTGGGTTGGCAGAGAGAGGCAATAGATTAGACGTGTTGGGTTTCACTTAGGATTCCCAAACTTTACGTACCACACTATCCATCAAGCATTGGTAGGTTTCAGATTAATTAGTGTGTGTTTCGTTTTTTGGGAGAGAGGAACAACGTTTACGCCTGTATACTTTGTATTTTAGGAAGGTGGGTCATGATCTTCTCCTAGTGTAGATGGAAATAAGAAGAGAAAAATAATGACTCTGATTTACCATGCAAGAAGAGGGGGCGAAAAGTTAGTGAGATATTATCCATCTCGATTGAAGGAATTGACAAAGGGAATATGCAGAAAAGAGAGGGAGGACCCAATTGGATTTGCCTGAATTTCACCACATCCACCTTCCAACATGATAAAAGTGACGTATCTCCAGGACCACACATGCATCGATCTGCATATGCGACTTTCTCAGTTTCTATGTATATAAACTGAAGTTGCTTGCAACCTCTACCACTCTCTCGTTTTCTTCTTCTTTCCCACCATAACATGTGATGGTGTTGGAAAAGTATAACACTTATTCATGAAAACATGTTACGGATTATAGTGTAACTTTAATTAATATATATGCAGTAGCAGTGTACTAGTACCAGTTAAGCATACAAATTAAGAAATGGAAAGGTATAATATTGTGGGGTAGGAACGTGGAGAAGAGGACCAAGTATGTGAAAAGTAAAGGGAGCATAACACACACTCTCATGGACCATAATTGCACCCCATGCTCATGCTTAATCATTTTGCTTCCCATCTCAATCATGTCCCCATCCCTAACAATCATCAACGTCTCTTTCCTTAATTTCCTCTTTCATATAACTAATTTTAATTTATTCTTATAAAAACAGTTTATAACATGTTGGACTCTATTGCATCACTCTCTCGGGAGCATCGGATTCTTCGCTCTTGTCGTATATCACCAACGAACTTGGACTTGAATATGTTTTGTCGTATATAGTTTATGAACTATTATAATCTCAATAAATTTTGTACGTGTTTTTTTTTTTTTTTCTATTTAAACTTATTCAAAAATAACATTTCAATAATTCATTCAATAAAAGATAATTCTTAAAATATTATAATATTGTACCCTGAACCTGAAGCAAATGTAAAAGGATGAAAAAAACTGAACCCCCAAATGAATGAGCAATAAGTAAGAGGGCGCACGCAGGTTCAGCGGATGTCGTTTTGCATGGGCTCATGATTTGTGGACGAATTTCCTTTGTCGTTTAATGTCAACGTTATCGTAGCATAGAACGTGCACTTTTGTTACCCGATCATTCATAATACTTCGGCCAATTCACTCGTACCTTCTTTGGGCTTTGCACCTGCCACATGTGCATGACCCGATCCAGTGGGCCAAAACTAGGCCCAAATTGAGAGGGTTGAAGAAGTGTTGGATCTCAATAATTTCTTTTTGTACTCCAGCAATTAAAATAAATCTCATGTATTGATAATGATATTCATAATAAATAATAAATATAAATAATTATTATATATATACTAGATAGAAAAAAATAAAAAAAAGTTAATAACATAAAAAATATAATATAAAACATATATAACTTATTCACGTAATTTTTTTAAATAATAATTTTCTTTTAAAACGGCACCGTTTTCATGTTTTTCCCAGAAGTAATGGTAGTGCTAAAAATGAGCCACAAGCTAATAAAAGCAATGTGTGTCTGGAGCCACGGATCCCCAGGACTCGCGTGACGAACAACATGAATGTCGTTCACAGAAACGGACGTTGTTAAGGTGATGTCGTGTGGTCGTGGACACTTCCATTTAAAAACCAAAACGCATTGAAATTTGAGGTTTGATTTGAGCTTACAATCCCGTTTATCAGTCTTTGTGTACAGGTACCCTATCTCACATTCTGTTACGGATCCTTCTTCTTTCTTTTCTTGACCAACAATCTCATGCGTTGCTTATTTTCTTTGCTTTCTTCTTTCCAATTTCAATACGCACGTTTGAAGTGTTCTACATTGTATTGACGTTGCATCAGCTAGGAATTTTATCGAGCTTATAAGATTTTTGTTTTATCTATAAAAATATAGATATATGTAATAATGCATTTTCTTTCACAACTGAATAAATGTATTAAATTACTTTTATTTGTATCTGTAATACCAGGCTATATGATCAGTTTGTGATCGATTGTTGTGTAGTATTTTTTGAAAATTGAAATTGTTTCATGTTTTCCCCTGGCGTTGTTTTTCAGTAGTTTGAGTGGAAATGGGTGCTTTGTGCAGATTTTGAAAGACAATGGCAGACACTGAAGATATTCAGCCACTGGTCTGCGATAATGGGACTGGAATGGTTAAGGTAAGACATAAAAGTATGAGTGATTGGATATATAGTATGCTCTTTTGTGCTTGCTGTTTGACACATACGTGTGAGTGGTATCTTTGGATTTAAAATAATTTACTATGGATGTTTTGCACTGCACTGCATTGCATTGCAATTTTGGTACATGCAGGCTGGATTTGCTGGTGATGATGCTCCAAGGGCTGTGTTTCCAAGCATTGTTGGTCGGCCACGTCACACTGGTGTGATGGTGGGGATGGGGCAAAAGGATGCATATGTTGGGGATGAGGCTCAGTCCAAGCGTGGTATACTAACTCTGAAATATCCCATTGAACATGGTATTGTGAATAACTGGGATGACATGGAGAAGATCTGGCATCACACCTTCTACAATGAACTCCGTGTGGCCCCAGAGGAGCACCCTGTTCTGCTCACTGAAGCCCCTCTCAATCCAAAGGCTAATCGTGAGAAAATGACCCAAATCATGTTTGAGACCTTCAACACACCTGCCATGTATGTTGCCATTCAGGCGGTTCTGTCCCTCTATGCCAGCGGCCGTACAACTGGTTAGTCTTTCTTATGTTGTCTAATAAAAAACAAGCAACCCCCTACAAGGTTCAAATTTCCCTTGAAAACATGGACCAGAAAGATTGTACGTGGAAAAAAAGAATAACAAAAAGGGTTCATAAAGTGTCTGTTCGATTACTTTTTCACTTTTCTGATTTTAGAAACTGTCATATGTTCAATAATAAATTTCTAACCCCGAAAAGGGTTCATTAGTTTTGAAAATGATTTCAATACAAGTTTTAAAAGTAAGAAAATAGAAACAAATTAGAGATGTGTTTTCATTTTCCACTATTTAGGGGTGGTACATGGCATGAGTTGTGTTGCCTTTGCAGAGATTTATTCATGATTTCAAGAACTAAAAACGATTTTTTGAAAATATAAATCAAATACTCCCTGAGACTTAAAGTTCGAACATTTTGGTTTTGAATCTGCCAATTTTATATGCTTAAACAGTTATCTGACATGAAGTAGTCGAGTTAATCTAACTTGGCTGGTTGCCGTTATGGTTGGTACATTAATTTGTGTAGGTATTGTTCTTGACTCTGGAGATGGTGTCAGCCACACTGTACCCATTTATGAAGGGTATGCCCTCCCTCATGCCATCCTCCGTCTTGACTTAGCAGGGCGTGACCTCACTGATGCCCTGATGAAAATCCTTACTGAGCGCGGTTACTCCTTCACTACCACAGCTGAGAGAGAAATTGTAAGGGATATGAAGGAAAAACTGGCTTATATTGCCCTTGATTATGAACAAGAACTTGAAACTTCAAAAACTAGTTCTGCTGTTGAGAAGAGCTATGAGCTGCCTGATGGACAGGTCATCACCATTGGTGCTGAGCGCTTTCGTTGTCCTGAAGTCCTTTTCCAGCCATCCATGATTGGAATGGAAGCCGTTGGCATTCATGAAACCACATACAATTCAATTATGAAGTGTGATGTCGATATCAGGAAGGACTTGTATGGAAACATAGTCCTCAGTGGTGGTTCTACCATGTTCACTGGTATTGCTGACAGAATGAGCAAGGAAATCACTGCCCTGGCCCCAAGCAGCATGAAGATCAAGGTGGTTGCTCCACCCGAGAGAAAGTACAGTGTCTGGATTGGTGGCTCTATCTTGGCTTCTCTCAGTACTTTCCAACAGGTAAACATTCTGTGATTCTAATAACCAAAGTAATTTGTGTTGTCAAAATGATAAACCCAAAACGGTGATGCCTCATGCACTTTATTACAACTACATGGCTGAGAAATCGAATCTCTGATAGTCTTTATCATAGTTTTAGTTCTGATCCTCTGATCTAAATCTCTCAATTTGATGCATAGCTTGGTTGCTTGAATTTTGTCTCCTTGTCACAGCAGTTGAGTTACATAGGCCAATTGGGATTTGTGTAACTTACTCATGCATTTGTGCACACACGCTAGAATTTCTTTTGTATGGTAAATTTATTAGGGTTATTTAATGAGAATACTCTTGCTTTTGGAAATGCAGATGTGGATTGCGAAGGCAGAGTATGATGAGTCTGGTCCTTCAATTGTACACAGGAAATGCTTTTAAATGAAGCAGAATGGCTTCCTTCAATTGTACACAGGAAATGCTTTTAAATGAAGCAGAATGGCTTGGTGACTCGATGGCAATACAATAGCACCTTGCAATGATGGAAGGTTTTTCTTAAAAAAATGTTTGTTTTGTTAGAACAGTGAACTAAGATAAAGTGGAGTTTTATGACAGAAAATTAATTCTTTCATTTGTTTTGTTTTACCATTCATTATTAATTGTTGAACAATTGATCTTAAATTATATATCAAAACTATTTCAGCGTATTACTTCTTGCTTGCTCATAATCATCATATTCTTCTATTCTTCAAACCAATGTTATATATAGCTTCAGAAATTTGAAGAAGTTATTATATATTTTTTGGTATATATTGTTTTTTTAATATTTTCTATCTTGTGCCTAAGAAAATAAAAAATTATTAAAATAAAATAAGTTTGTTATGTTGAAAACAAAAATTATTGATCTTTGTTTTTTTTTTAGATCTAAAAATATTTAAGAGATTATTAAATAATATTACTTTATAAACAAATCTATAAATATTTTAAAAATATAAAAACCGATTGCACATTCAAATTATAAGCAGAAGAAAGTACATTAAAGGGAAACGATGCTACAATTTTAAAAAAATTATCGATTTAGATAATTTTTAAAAACATTATATAAATGAATAAACCGATTAGATAATTATGTAAAGAAAAAGTCATATTATCAAACATGATTAAGTTTATTTTATTATTATTATTAATATATTTTTAACTTTTTTATTTTTATCTTTTAGCATCTAACATGACTTATTATATATATATATATATATATATATATATATATATATATATATATAAGTATTTATATTTATTTATTATTATCAATATTAAAATTATAATAATTATTTCTTGTTAATGATAAACTTAAAAATAATAATTACATTAAATATTGAAAAAATTATTAACTAATAATTAACAGTAAAAAAATAAAAGAATTTATTACTAATTTTTTATTAATACTTATTATTACTACATTTATTATTTTACAATTTAATACAATAATTAATAATGATAATTATGATATAAAAATAATAATTATAATTATTTAGTTAATAATATAAAATAAATTTGTAGTTCTGAATATAATAATTATTATAAAATTATTTATAATAAATTTAATATTAATGATAATAATAAATAAATCTAAATAATTATTATATATATGTAAAAAAAAATGTGAAATCGTGTTTAGCATAACTTCACTAAAACAAAAATAAAAAAGATTAAAAATGTTAAAAGAAAAAATTAACTGAAATTATGTTAGATAATGTAGTTTATCAAACCCATTCATCCACTTTTTAAAATTATCCAAATCAGTAATTTTCTTTTAAAATTGTACCATTTCAATACTTTTTACTACATTAAATATATAAAAATAATTTTATGTATATTAAACAAAAATCATGTTAGAAATTAATATCTAAAGTCTAATCATTTAATTAGTCATATATCTCTTACCAAATGAACCATTAGGTTGGGATTTTCTCCGGTTAGGTCAACAAGCATATTGTTTGGTCTCTTTCAAAGTATTATTTATTTAAAAGTATATTAGCTTTTAATTTTAAATAGTAACAAGAAAGTGTATCAAAAGTAAAAGGTTTCTTTACACAACTAGATGGTTTATAATTAAATTAGCATTAAATTTTATTAATGCAGTATCTTCAATTAAAATTGTTTAAATATATCATTTTATGAACATCACATAGATAATTTTTTTTTTTTTATTGTACGAGAATGTTATTTTAAATCAAATGTCATTTTTAGTGACATCTTGAAGGACGTGGTATGACAAAAGCAGGTCAGATGTTTAGTTTAGCAGAAAAAATGGTAGTGGGATGAAACTGAACATATAAAACAGGACAGTTACAGCAAAATGTTTCAAAGACCAGGTAATAACTACCTAATAAATTCCTCATATATGACAAGAATGCTGTGATATTGCCCAATTGAATTGGTCTCACCCACATGTTCTTCATCTTTTCTACCATGTTTTTTTATTAATCTTTTTCACCATTATTATTAGAGGGTAGCTTATGACAGTTACCAGAGTTAGAAATATGTTTGTTTATGCATCTAAAAAGAAAGGACATGGAAAAGGTTTGGTTTTTCACTGCAGTGGAAAACCAAATAACTTTAATTTCCACACGCCATTGGCATGGAGTCAACTAAACAGTAAAGCGTTTAATGGGTTTCGTTTCAATTCAATTCGCATCCCAGTCCAACCAATGTTGCGATTTCTATTCCTACCATCCAATAATTCAGTTCCGGCGCTTCAGCAATGGAATTTTTGAAGCCTCTGCACCCTCACCATGCACCCATTTTACGCCTTCCCTTCCACGGCCACCCCTCTTCTTCTCAATCTCAATCCCCGCTTCCCGTCCCCATGCTTCCCAAGGTTCATGTAGCTGTTGGCAAATCGCTTGATAAAGCAACTACCTTGCTTCAATGGACCTTAAACCACTTTCAGAACGCGGAAATCGTTGTAGTACATGTTTATCAACCTTCTCTCACGATCCCCACTCTGTGTAAGCTCGTTTCTTTCAATTTTCGTTGTGAATTTTGATGGCTTTTACTTTGCCCCCTTGTGCGCTTACTGGGTTTCTTTGAATTTTGTTGTGTAGTGGGGAAATTGCCTGCATCACAGGCTAGTCCTTCTGTGGTGTCTGCTTTTCGAAGGGTGGAGAGAGAGCAGACCATGAAGCTTTTGGACAAGTACTTAACCGTTTGCCGCTCAGCTAGGGTAAGCCTCTTCTTTCTGTTTTCATTTTAATAACTGAATTTAATTAATGTAACTTTTTGGTAAGAAACCTGTTATTAACTCTGGTTTTAATATAAATTTTCTTGTCAGGTGAAGGCAAGCATTATTGTAACTGAAGCTGACCAAGTCCAAAATGGAATTGTTGATTTGGTTGTTAAGCATAATATTCAGAAGCTTGTCATTGGAGCAGTGCCAGAAAAGTAAAGGCTTCATTCATTGTGTACTTAACCAGAGTTCTTTACAATCGTCTATTATTCTTTCTTTTCCTGCATTTTAGGGGTTTGGGGGAGGGAGCGAAGGGAGATTTTTTTCCTGTGTATAAAACTGGCAAGTTACTAGTTAGTCATCCCTGTATTTTGGATAGAGTTGATTTTATTCTTGTGACTCCCATGAATTTCATATCCTCGGGTCTATTTTTTCTGTAGAGTAGAGAACGAACGACAAAACTTTGTTTTATTTTATTTTGATAATTTGAAGGCTACAATCTACTTCTGTAGTTTTAGTTTTTGTCCCAGTTCTTTCACCGAATGGATCAATAAATCTTTCCACTTACAAAATCATCGTGGAAATTGCAGTTGCATGAAATTGAAAAGGAGTTCCGGTAAAGCAAATTTCACTGCAAAAAATGCTCCTCCATTCTGTGAAATATGGTTTATCTATAAGAGAAAACACATTTGGACAAGAGAGGCTTCTGAAACACCATGCTCTTCATCGTCGTGTGCTCAGCCTGAGATTGCCGCTGCAGAAAGCTTGAGATGTAGATCTTTCCAGTATGGTAAGAATGAATTATTTGACTCCGAATATCTTCAACCAAATTCGGCAAGATCTACTGCTGGTTCTGGAATTAGAAGTTGGGTTCATGGGGAAATCATTGAAACTGAAGCCACATTTTCATCCAAAGCATCCAGTTGTAGCAGTCGGGGTTCCCCTCAAAATTCTTCTCGGGCTTATTTAGATTCATATCTAGAGGCCATGGAAGAAAATGTTAACAACCAACTTACTGAAACCAAGAGAGAAGCCGAGGAAGTAAGAGACGAAGCCTTTGCAGAGCTATTTAAGTGTGAGAGGTTAGAAGTTGAAGCCATGGAAGCCATAAGGAAGGTAAGCAAAATCTAGTGATTGTAAATCATTGAGGACCTCTGAAACCAATGGCCTTTGCCCTTATTGCTCTTGCTAGTCATGTGAATGAGGAATTAAGTATTTTTTTTATCTATTTCAGAAATTTGGACAAAGCTTCCTGAAAAAATACTGGGATTCTGTACACAAGTTTCTGAAACTAACATTTTCCGGCCAGAATTGTGGAATAAGCAACATTTTGAACAATTGCACAATTTTAATTGTTTATATCACTGTTTCGAAATTTATACAGCATGATATTGTATAATTTAGCTGTATCCTTTCTATCTCCAAACCATTGTGACCAATGATGGATACTGAATCTACAGTTTTGCAGATTTCTTAATCTCCCGACATAAATTATATTCTATCTTACAGGTCAGTTTGTTTGAATCTGCCCATGTGCGTGAAGTAAAGCTCAGAAAAGAGGCCGAGGAAGCACTGAGAGCCACAGTACAAGAACAACAAAAGCTCTTGAATGAGAGTGAAGAAATTGCTAGCGAGCTACAAATGACCATGAGAAATATTGCGCTGTTGGATAGTCGCGCCCAGGAAGCAAACCGTAGGCGTGATGAAGCTGCAGATGAGCTATCACTAATTCAAGAATCCATCTCAACCCTGTGGCAAGAACGGCAGCAGATAAGGAGACAGAAAATGGAAGCCCTACGTTGGCTTGAGCGGTGGAGAAGTCGAGGACAAGTTGGAGCAACTCATTGCAATGGGGTCATTGGGTTTCCTGAAGAATTACCCGAGTTAGCAGAGTTTTCATTAGCAGATCTTCAAAATGCCACATGTAATTTTTCCAATAGCTTTAAAATTGTGCAAGGTGGATTTGGTTGTATATACAAGGGGGAAATGTTGGGTAGGACTGTCACTATAAAAAAGTTCCATCAACATAACATGCAAGGACCATTGGAGTTTCGTCAAGAGGTTAGTTCCCCCCATAAAGGTCTTACTGCCAGTTGAAATTGTTGTCTTAAAAATATAGGGATGGCTTCAGAGGATTGTCGGTGGAAACTTGATTTTGAGGCTTTGTAATATTTTTTTTGTTGTTTTCACATTAATAATGGACATGTTTTCTATTTTGCTCACTCGTTTCTTTTTCCTGTGTTCGTTGGATTCCACTGATGTTATCCTTTTGTGATCAGGTTCAAGTTCTTGGTAGTCTCCAGCACCCTCATTTAATCACTTTGCTTGGTGTTTGCCCTGAAGCCTGGTCAATTGTATATGAATACCTCCCCAACGGAACACTTCAAGACTATCTATTCCGAAAAAGCAACAATTCCCCTCTGACATGGAATACCCGAGCACGAATGATTGCTGAAATCGCTAGTGCACTCTGCTTCCTACATTCTTTTAAACCCGAAACTATTATCCATGGTGATCTGAAGCCAGAAACTGTACTACTCGATTCTTCACTTGGTTGCAAAATTTGTGGATTTGGGTTCTGCAGTCTGGTAAATGAGGAGTCTCTCCTCCGTCCTAGTTTCCGTTTGAGCACAGAACCAAAGGGTGCTTTCACATATATGGATCCAGAGTTTGATAGAACTGGAATACTAACAACAAAATCTGACATCTACTCCTTCGGGCTCATCATTTTACAACTCCTCACTGGTAGTACACCAGTTGGATTAGCAGTTCTAGTACGCAATGCAGCTTCATGTGGAAAATTGTCTTCAATTCTTGATTCTTCTGCTGGAGAGTGGCCCGCCCCTGTGGCATCGCGATTGGTTGAACTTGGTTTGCAATGCTGTCAACAAAATCGTAGAGACAGACCAGATTTAACACCTACACTAGTGAGAGAATTGGAGCAGATGCATGCCTCAGAAGAGCGACCAGTGCCATCTTTTTTCTTATGTCCAATCCTTCAGGTAACTTTTGTTCCATAAATAAAAAAACTTTGCATAACTTGGTTCAGGTATCTTTCATCGTTTTAAAAGACAAAGATAGTTATGTATTATATTTTGTTCACTGTATTTTGGGTTCCTTCTTCAGGAAATAATGCATGATCCTCAAGTTGCAGCAGACGGATTTACCTATGAAGGAGATGCCATACGTGAATGGTTGGAAAATGGGCATGACACTTCTCCCATGACTAATTTGAAATTGAATCACCTTTTCCTTATTCCCAACCACGCACTTCGACTTGCCATCCAAGACTGGCTTTGCAAATCTTGAAGCTTCTTTTATTCATTCTGGCTAAAGTGCTCTTTTTTATCCTCATTAGTTTGAGACCAGTTTCGTTTTAGTTAGATTTTTCTTCTTTTCGTTTCCTTTGTGTGTATGGTTGTAAATCTATTTGGTATGCCACAAAAAATTGTCAATTTGATTTGATCCTAACATACAATTAGACAGAAAAAAAGTTGTATTTTGGCCACAATTTCCACCTAAGAGAAAAAAGGAAGAGGTCTGTGCACCCGTCACGATTATGACTTCAATATTTTATGGGATTAAACTGATTATTGTCACATATTTGAGGGGCAAACTTTTGCCTTTTTAGTTATGTAAATATTTATATATTCTATTCTTCTCATGTTTATTTTTTGGTTCTCCATCTTTCACATATATGTGCTTTATTTACTGATTTATGTATTCCAACATTCCTAGTTCTAGTTCCAAAATTACAAACATTTTGTCTTTTCTTCTCGGGGATGACTGTAGAAGGAAATAAAGGTAATCAATCCATAAGCATAAATACATGTAGCCTGAAACCTTGATTGGAATAATTTTCTGCACAAGAAGTGCAGTATACCTTTTTGCCTACATTCTAATATATAACTTAATTCATCTGGAAGAAAGAAGGGAAGAAGTGGAATGCATTTCTGTGAAGTTAAAGGGGTGATCATCTTCGGCTGTGAATATCCCAAGTCTGGATTCATTCTCTTGGCTACCATCCAAGAGTGGATTGGATTCCCCTTTCAAGTTCCATAGATGGAATTCCTCCTTGCTAGGTGTCATGATTTCTGCAGAGCTTGTTTCAGAGTTCTGATGCATTTGAGTGTTTCCCTGATCATCCGAGTGGCTCTCAGGCTCTACACGATCATCTTGAGAGTCGAAAATTCCTCCCTCATGACTAGTACAAGAATATTTAACTACTGCTGTGTCCAGAAAATGGTTTGAGCCAAAAGACTGGTTTTCCTGATTGTCATTGCTGTTGACGTCAGAGTTAGAGCGGTCAAACGTGGCTGGCAATGATTTTTCATGCATAACTCGTTGTGCTTGAGTTGACCGTTGGCTGAAACTTCCAAAACCTTGAATTCCTCTGGACAACCTCCGAGCACGGTCTCTTTCTTCCTTAAGGAGACTTCCATCTTCCAGCAGTTTCAAAATCCGTTCTGATTTCTTTCTAACAGTTAGACCCCAATTGAACCTGCATTCACATTCTCAGGAAGGCTTCATTAATCACTATCTATAATAATTTCTGTGTACAAGGATTATTCATTATTACGTTTTATTTGATTATAAGTAAAATTATATAAGAATAGTTGTTAAATTTATTCAATACATTGTTTTCATATAATCAAAATTTTTAATTACCTTCAAATTATATTTATGAAAAATTATATTTAAGTTTAAAGGTAAAAGTATTTTTAAAATAATAATATCAAATCAGATTTAGAAAATTGAATTTTAGTTCTATAAAGTTCATGAAAAACTTATATTTTACTAGAGTATCATCAGAATGTAATTTAACCCAGAACATACCCAGTGTCATCAGTAAACTGAAAGCCTTTCATCTGGTTAATTACATCTTTGTCACTCTGAAATTCCTCTGCAACACTTTCTGGTCCATGAGTCAACAGGTGCTCCACCACAATCAGAGAATTGTAAGATGCCCTCCAATTATTCTTGTCAAATTTGAAGAGTCTGTTTTAGCATTATTCCATTCATTCATCTTGGATCAGATGATTAACATAACAAAATTCTCTTGCTACCAAGAAAGGTGGGCAACAGAGGTGACATGTACTTAAAGAAGGAAAAGGAGGCAGAAAAACCTTTTGTGTAGAATCTCTACAATCCTCCAATAATCTTCAAGCTCAAAAGCAGCCCTTGAAATTGATCTCAGTGTCGGGGAATCTGGGACCAATGAATTTCCTTTGGTAACTTCTTCTGTCATCCTGGAATTGTAAAAGGCCAAAAAGCTATATATTACAAATGGTTTGCTTTGCTGTGAAACACATTAAAGTGCAATTAAATAAAAAAACTTATAGTTGAATCATGGAAAGAGAAGCTTACAATTCTGCAGGGGTAACATTAGTGAGAGCTAACCTAGCAGTCTTGAATTTTTGCTTGAGGAAGAAAGAAGCTTGCTTTTTAAAATCATGGAACAACGGTGTGCTCATTTTTTTGTTCAACAGGAGTGGCATAACATATCTAAACTGAATCAGCTCCTTCAAATCTTCTTGAGTTGGAGGTAATAACCTAAGGTTGATTGTCTAGGTAAGGACAAGAATTTGAGTTTGATATAGACAATGGAAACTAGCAGAAACTATTTTAAAAGTATTTATTTATTATAAAGATAGCAAAACAATGGTTAAGATAATTGAATGACGTATTTTCTGATTAGTTGAAAAACAAAAGAGAGGATATTATAATAAAAATAAACATTGAAAGTATTGAATTGAATAGGAGAGAAAATTAACTTCATTCTAAAGTTTGATACTTTAAAAACATATAGGGGATTTGAGAAATCGACATATCTGCCACTTGGTGCACAACCTTTGTGAGTTTGAACATTGAATTTTGAAATGGTTGATTTATAGCTTCTAGATCTTATCCTTTTAGGTCATCACCCCAGACTTATATAATTTATATCAAGAGAACCACACCCCATCACGGCTCTGTTCTGTGGCTCAACGCCTGCTAAATTAGTAGCTTAAAGAACTTTCAACTGGAATCAAAGCAACAACACAATGGAGTTAGAATTGTCAAAGCCAAAATTCAATTCATTGAGACTGAGTTGAAAAAATCTCATCTCAATCCAACCCTAGTAAGTTATATGATCCCCATCAAGATAAGAGTTAAAAAATCAAGTTTTTTTTTTTATATAAAAATATATACCTAACTCAATTTTACAAGAACACGAATATTATATTCACTTATATAATATCACGTTATCATATTTCTGATGAATATGAAATTTTTTAATATATATTTTTACATCAAGAAGAAGTTTTATTGTACCCATTATATTGAAGACAAATTTTTTTATCACCCTCCTTAATATCGAGGATGAATAGGATGAACCTACTCCGTTCTAACTTACTTGGCCTGTAACCCAAGAAAAGGAACCAGTGTAGTATATTTATAATTATAATTATAAATATAATTAATTATAATTAATAATTTAAACTTAAATTATTGATTTTTATATTTAAATTATAATATTATAGTATATTTATATATTTTAATAACATAATAAAAAAATATAATATTTTTTATTATAATCCTTTTTATTTTAATTTTAATATATAAATATTTTTTTAAAGCATATCGGTTTGTCTCATCTCGTCCTTGACCTATCGGATTGAGGGACTAGACGGGACAACCCAAAACAAGTTGGTAGGCTAAAAATATTAATTTATCCTGTCATTTTTAAGACAGGATGACCCGAGATAAATGTAAAACATAAGTAAAATTTTATATGAAATTCGACACTTTTATTTTAAATTATATTTATTTGGTATTAATTTTTCCTACTATAAGAAATATGAAATCTAATCATATATGTCCAAGTTTTTATTTAAAAGGAAATAATTTGATCCCTGTTTTGTGTATTCTTTAGGTAAATTAAGACAAGAGGAAAGGAGAGTAAAAAGAAATAGAGAAAAAAAAAAGAGAGGAAATTTTGTCACAACTCTCTCAAGCTAAAATGGTCTCGTCTAAACGAAAACTTGTTAGAGGAAATATAATTTCTTGTGTCATTCTCGTCTAAGCAATACAAGTCTCATCTAAGCGAGATTCGTCTAGAGAACCATCAATTTTGGGTGTTATTCTCGTTTAAATGAGAATAGTTTAGCACAAGCAAAGAGGACCTTCTTCACCATGAAGTACCTTCTCGCTTAGGCGAGAATCAACTGGCTTAGGTGAGAACTCGAACAATATTTATATATTATGAGTCATAAGATGAAAAAAAAAAAAAACTAGGTAGCACAATTTATAACTCTGAGAGGCTCTTAAGATTTCAAGGGTTACTATGAGTGACTAATTTTTTCTTTTAGGATTCAATGTAATTGATTCAAAGTTGGATGTAACTCAGTGATGTTTATATATAGTTCTTCTGTTTCTATTCAATGTTGGTATTTCTGTTCTGTTCTTAATATTTGATTCTATCCGATTAATAGATTTTTGAGTGTGATTTTTAGACGTGACTATGAAGTATTTTTGAAAATCTGATCTTAACAAAAATACTTGATGTATTGTGATGCTAGGAATATATTTCAGTATATCAATTGCTTATAATACTTGAATTTAATGCTGGACAATTTATTGGATATGTGAAGAATCGATATTAAGGGGATTGATCTTATGAATTTTATATGTGAGGAATCAGTATAAATTATTATTGTGTATTGCACCAATATTGATAATTTCATATGTTATATATTTATATTCATCCAGATTATACACAAATGAGGTAGATGAAATTCAATCCCAACTTCTCTTATTAAACTTTTTCTAACTATTCTCCTGTCATTATATTACTTTCATACAAACTTAGTATAAATTATAACAATCAAGTATGAATCAAATGAATATCTATATATATATATATATATATATATATATATATATATATATATATATATATTTTAATTGAACTCATTCCTTGTAGATCGATATTCTTACTAAAAAATCATTATATTACAGTTAATTATTATTTATTGATACGTTTGCTAAGAGATTAATAAGATGTTAAATCTAATCCAATTTTTATCCAAAAAATGAGTAATCTAATATTAGTCCATGTGATTAAGTTTACCACTGGAACATAAAAATCATGCCAATTTCTAACAAAAATAATTTTCTAACATAATGAATTAATAATATATATATATATATATATATATATATATATATATATATATATATATATAATAGTAAGATAACATAAAAATCATGACAGTTTCTTAGAAAATAAAATCATAATAATTAACCACACATTATGTCCAATAAAATAATATTTTATCAGACAATACATGGAAACATTTGTAAAAGAACAACCTTTTAAAAAAAACCTATGTTTTAAATCTTTCAGGTTGTCCAAACCTTTTGTTTGAAGTCTATAAATTACATGGCATGAAAGGGACAACAACAACAAGGGCCCAGGCCCATTACTATCTTGGAATTCAAAATTTGATTTCAAAGCAGAAAATGGTTTTAACTTTGAAGTGTTCATATTATGTCTCGGTCTACACGGGAGCATTCTAGGTTTGAAAGTTGACTACCCCAACCAGACTTTGGAAAATCAATATAACATAAAAGACTGCAACTTTTTGTGATTTCAACCAGAAATAGTAACCATCAGATATCGAACGCAATTGGGTCATCCAATCAGTTAAAGTCTAGAAGCATGTCTGGAGCAGAGACAAAATTATGCAGCACACCTTAACAGTTTAATTTTTCTTTCTTTTGGTTTTTGAAAAGCTAGCTGTCTTTTGGACAACATGAATGTAATCTTTTGTGTGAACCAATTCCTCCAATTCCAACTTCTACAAGACTCAGTTTGCTCCAGTGATTATATTAATGAATTTGGATGTTCAAGTTTTCTGACATATATCTGCATCATTTTCATTATTCTCTTTTACACAGCAAATCACTTATCTTATACTCATTCAACATTTCCCAGTACTCTAAGGATTGTGACAGGATGAAAGAATTGATGACAATATCTGGGGTCAATGTTTTTGTACTTACACACCTTGGTTGAACAAGTCACAAATAATTGACTGTTTGGTGATGAAGTTGCTTTATCATGTACTGAACTAATGATTCATCCAACCCATTTTTTAAATGCTTATTCTTCAATGTTAATTTGGTTTTTTTTTATCACCTAACAAAACTTAAACAGTCTCTGTCATGAATTACCTTGTTGACTGAGTTTAACTTTTTAATTAAGCCTAATCTTTAAGTATTTAAATTTAAATGTATATTTCAAAATCCTTATTTTTTTTAAATTAAATTTAAATTGACTTGATCACAAATATTAATTGCATATTTAAGACTATTAATGTAAAGCATATTTAAATATATCAGCTATCCGATTTGTATCATTCAATACTAATTATCGCAGTTATCACATAAATAAACCTGAATTAGAAGTTCATAAAAACGTGATAAAATGTAATATATCAGTGATGAATATAAGTAGTACTTTTTTTTATCTCTTTTGAATATTATTATTTATGAATACATTTATAGAATATATAATTAATTTAGTAATATTAGTATATATATATATATATATATATATATATATATATATATATATATATAAATAACAATTAAATATTGTTCCTAAATAAAAGACATGACTTTTAAATATGTGTACACTATATTAAAACTGCTTAAAAACAAAATTCAACGTATAAGATTTAAGCTTGAGGAGAGGTCTGCTCCCCAAATTTTGATTTTTTTTCTTATATATAATTATTATTAAAAATTTATAAATTAAATAATTTTTTTAAATATAAAAAATTAATTATCATACTTTTATCTTATAAAAAATAGTAATAATAATTATAATAAATTTGATTTTTATTCTTTTACACAGTTTAAATTTCTTTTTCTAATCTTTTTATTTTTATAATTTTTCCCATCTTTTCACTTTCATTATTTTAATTTTAAACACTACTTTTTTTTACTTTTTCTCTATCATTCTTCTATTTTCATATTTTTCTTTTTCCTAATTTCATCTTATAGTATAAAAATAATAAGTTATTCTTTTTAATTTTCACAAAAATAAACAAATTTATTTATTTATTATTATTATTTTTATTCATTAATATAATATATTAGGATGTGTATTATTTTTTATTAATTAATTAATCATTTTTGTATTTTATGATGCTCAATTTTGATATTAAAAAGTGAAGGGAAAAATTTGGTTGAGTTTTAGAAATGTCTAGAAAAAAATTACATATTTAATTTTTAAGAAAAAAAGAGAATATACAATAAAATAAATTTAAATCAAATAAATAATATTTAAAATATTATTAAGCATCTTATAATATAAATTATATAATAATTAATTATTTCAACCAAATACAATTAAAATATATTTAATATCGTGTATATTTATTTCATATTTATTTTATATATATATATATATATATATATATATATATATATATATATATATATAATCTAATTAAGCCCTTCATCTAAAATTTTTTACTCCCTAAGCTTGGGGATGAAAAAAATAAATATAAACATAAACAATATCATATGATACAACATGGGACATAGCTATAAGACAACACAATATAAAATATTTATATATTTGATGATGTTATTTTTCTTCATATTAAATGAATTATTTTTAATTTTGATTAATATATGTAGCGAGTGCATAAAAAAATTTAGTAACAATTTAATATAATGTTTTAGTAGTGCACTCTTAGGAAGAAAATTGATTTATCAACAATAATATGTTTGAAAGTAATTAATTTAATTATTATTTCATAAAGTAAAAAAAATTGAACAAATTATAAAAACGATCTATAAATTGATCAAGATGACTAAAATAACTATTAATTATTTAATTTGTTAAATATATAAATTAACCTAAAATAACTTTTAATAAAATCAAATATTATATGTAGTAAACATAATAAATGGAATATAAATTTATCAAACACATGTCCTTTCATTTAAATCTACACATTTAAGAATTCTAACACAAAATTCAAGGTGTGTGTGACTAAAACTTAAACTGCAAAATTAACAAAAGTATTACTAAAACTTAAACTTGATAAAGAAATTAATAAATTACATGTATTTAGACTTCTCTTTTACACAACATCCATTTTGACTTGCATATTGTGTTGTCAACATTTATATCATAAAATAACAAGAATCATATCATGATTTAAAATCATCTTGTAAAGTAAATTCGGTCAATGTAAAATTATTCTGTAAATTTTGATGTGAGAAATAGTGTATAGACACTACAAAAACTAGGTTGAAAGGTGTATTTATTTTATTTTTATTACCAAAAAAAGAAATGGGAATGAAATAATTTGGTGTGCATGTCTGCAGAATAAGCATAGCAGACTTTGTTGTTTGGTCATAGTGAGAGAGAGAGAAAGAAAGAGAGAAAACATGAAAGAAGACCAGGTTTGCGCGGGTTTGGCGTGGTGATGCAGTTCCTCTCCTTATATCTCCAAACATCACTTCCATTCCTTAACAACCTTTTTTCTATCTGCTTCTTCTACTTCGTCTTTTCCTAAGTTTTGCAGCAGCCACCCACAGTAAGATTAATAATAACCTATTCATACAACGTTGACTTGTACTTTAGTTGTCGCAGACGTTGTTCCTTCCTTTATACCTCTTGCCACCTTATTCTCATCAAACTGCTTCACACCTTCTGCGCCGTCGTTACTCTAACTCTGCTAACTCTCCTTTTCTTCACCCGTTAGAGGTTAGAGTCTCACTAAACGTTCAATCTTCACCGGAGTTTTTTGTTTTGATTGACTCTGTTTTTTTTTTTTTTCTAGATATTGATCAGATGCATGTTTCTGTTACATGTTTTAATTGTTATGAAAAGTATGGATACGTGTTTCGGTTTTGATTGATTTAATTGAATTTGCGAACCTGCAGGTTGCAGTCCGATATGTTTTCACCTTTTTATTTGTTCATAATTTCATGTTTTCTCCTTTGTTTGGTATGTGTGACTTGTGTGTACTAGTGGTATTCATATGTATGAATTTGGGGATGATTATAATTTATCAATAAATGCCAAATTGCTGCAAAAGGGTCGTATCCTTTCTGCTTGAAAGTTAATTTACATGTTAATTAAGACGGGTTTCAGTTTCTTGATCTCTGCTTGTTTGTTATATTGTTGCAACACAGGTTTGAGAACATCCTGCGGCTATTTGTTGTTCATATTCATCCACGTGAACTTCATTCAGTCGAAGATTGAAGAACAAGGTTAGAGAACCTATTCTGCTGTGGTTGGTTATTAAGAAAAGTAGAAAAGAATCCAAAATCTTAATTGAATTTGAGATTGAGATTCGTGTTCAATTATGCTCTCTTTTCTGTAATATAAACATTTATTCTTTATATTTTTAATCAAGGTTCCACAGGACAGGGCATAGTGGGAGAGATTGAATAACACTCGAGTGGATTCAAAAACTAAAGAACAAGATTACCCTATGGGAAAGGACTTGATTTCTTCCGACCAGAACGCTGTTCAAATTCAGGACAATAATCCAGGATGCATGTGGGGCATGCTTAAAATTCTTGATTACCATCGTTGGCGCGTAAAAAAGGTGTTTCCTCACAAAAGGAGAAGACATGCCACATGTAAGCAATTTGACGACAAATCATGTTTCTCTCACTCATCATTGCTTAAATTTTGGTTATTTTTCTATTTGTAAATGAAACATTGCATTTGGCTTAATATATAATGTGGAACCCAATGCGTTTGTGTATTTGCCTGAAAAGGAATCATCAAAACGTGTACGTGTACATAATACAACATAAGGGAATGTTACATATTACGCCCTTAGTAATATGCACTTCTTCGATTAATTCTTCTGAATCTTTTTCTTTTCTGTCACTCTATTGCCTTCAAAGTTTGGGTTGAAGTTAAAAATATTATGGCTATAGTCGTTAAACAAAATAAAAATTAAATGAACCGTAAGAACTAACGTGAGAAGCGTGAAAGGGACAAACCCATTAAGTATAATTTATACAAAAAAGAAGTATAAGGGGATATTAGTCCATGTAATCAGAGTTGATACATAAGTCAAGCCGAAACAAAATCTGATATAATACTTAAAGTGGGACACAAGGAACCTTATGTGAACATCTGCTACTACATCATTGGATATATATCATTCACCTCGTCTTATTGTTAGTCCTGAATATGATTAACTGAGGAAAGAATAACATTAGTTGAGTTCGACTTCCCCTAAAAATATAACATATTAGCAGCGATCTAAACTACATTTGTTTAAGAAAAACCACTAGAAATCCTTGCTTTGAAGATAACTTGACATTTTTCTCTCTTGAATCATTGTGACCACATTTTGCTTCTGTCAAAGCTTTACAACCTTAGCAAGCTCTTTAACATTACTGCAGATAAGAGAAAAACCATTTTGTATAACCAACTTGAAGACCAACAAGATGGAGTTACAGAAGCAGAACCCCTCCTGGTAAGTTGAAACTCCATGCTCTTATTTTAAGGTGGTGGCCGCAAACAATTATAGATTGGTCTCGTATTTAACATGGATATATATATTTGTATATAATATATTGTAACTATGTCTTATATAAATATCAGGTCAGACAACATAGCGAAAAATTGCGTGCTGCAGGCAAAAGTTCTCCCAAAAATAGCCAAAAGGAAACACGCACTGGGAAAAAGTTTAACAACGAAAACTCCAAAGGCAGTGGTACCATGGACTGCTCAAGGAAAAACCAGACCAGTAGTGACTATGCACTTCATCTGGAAAAATATGGCAAGACAACAGAAGCCTCCCTTGGCCGTAAGACTATGGAAACAAACAAGCATAATAGAGACATTTCCCGTAAATTTGAGAAACATACTGATGTTTTTGAGTTACTTAGGGTGGAGAAGGATTTATTACTCAAATTTCTTCGAGACATAGACTTTAGTGAGAAAAATCTCCATCAACCTTCCCACAACAAAGCAAGATTGACAAAATGTGGGTCATTTCCTTTAGCCTCAACTTCACAGATGAGAAACATTAGCTCTAGTTCCTTAAAACACAAGCAAAACGAAATTTATCCAAAGGGAGAAAAATTGTTTGCTGGTACCCAAGAATCAGACATGTCGGTGTCTAGTTTTGTGAAAGATATTTCTTATGAGAAGCCCGTAACTTTAGTTAGTGATCTTGGTGTGGATAGTCCCATGAAACAAAAGGCAATCATTTCTTCAAGGTCTTCTCACGGATCAAATCACAAAGGGTGGAACCAATTGGTTGTCAATCAATTCAAAGCTATAAAACAGAAGATAAAACTTGCTCTTGTGGAATTCAGAAAAAGTGGTTACCAAACCTCTGGTCAAGCTATCCGCCACAGAGCTTCACCTGAATATAGCGTCATCAGTAATGAGGAAGAGATATCACAAACATCAGAAGATGGCGCGGTTCAACAATACAAAAGGAGTAAAAGCTCCAATGCAGCTAAAGCTTCTGATTATAATTCCAACAAACATGAAGCTCGGCTCATGCGAAGAACATCTTCTCTGAATGAATCAATGGATAGATATACTCAGTTGTTTGAGAAAAGCTTCAGCAAAGAGGCTAAGTGGAAAAGCTCAAAGTCCAAAAGCTTAAAATTGACAAACGAGGATAGGATCCACAAGAGTGCGCATGTTCCTAAGTTTTCAAGAAGCAATTTGTCTATGCCTAATCTCGAGACTTTAGGCTTCATTCTACAAGAGGCACTTTTTGATACAAATGATGTATGGAATACAGTGGAAACTTATAATCGTGTTCATAGAAAATCAGTGAGTCTTCCTTTAAAGATGGACAAATCACTTGATCATTTTAAAGAGGCTGAAATTGTAGAAATAGTAGAGGAAAGTGACAAAGATGTTAATCCCAATCTTCTATCTGATAAGATTTTGGAGAAAATTGATGAAGAAGTTACCTGTGACCAAAAGGAGGAAATGCATGAGCCAGCAGTGGAGGATGGAAGTTTTAGCCAAGAAAAAGAAGACATGAGTAATATGACTGCTTATCTTAGCAAGGAGGTGATGACAACTCTTGAAACTAGCTTTAAGGATAATATATCCAGCCATGCAGAAGGTACCAAATTTATGTCAATGTGCATGGACTATGTATTTCTTTGAGATGAGATGAGATGATATCATGAAAATATTTTTTATTCGAAGTAAAACAAAAATATTGGATGAAATATTTCAGTCAATTTTCCCCCTCTTAATATTTGTGATATGACCTACAACAGAGTTAATTGACTAATTACTTGATTATTTTGGCCATTATCATTTCAGGTACAGAAGTGAATACCCTAGTCTCTGCATTGGACGAATTGGAAACTGATTTATCAGATAAAGGAAGTGTATGGCCAGACTCTTCATCCAACAGAAATGCTGGTGTGATAACAGCTGAAGACGCACACTACCCTTCCAATTTCAAATATGTGAAAAATGTTCTTGAAATTTCGGGCTTCTTGGGAAATGAGCACAGTCAGATGCGATACACAATAGACCAGCCTCTAAAGCCCTCATTGTTCAAAGATTTGGATACGAGCTTGCGCCATGAAATTGGACCCTCTGAAGAAGAGACAATCAACCCTTATGATCACCAACTCCTTTTTAACTTAGTGAACGAGGTGATGCTTGAAATTTATGGAAGGTCACCAACTTACTTCCCAAGACCATTCTCCTTCAACCCCCGCCTCCATCCAATGCCTAAGGGGCACTACCTTCTGAATGAAGTGTGGACTAGTGTTAATTCATACCTGACCTTAAGACCTGAGCTAGATCAGACACTAGATGATGTTGTGGGTCGTGATTTGGCAAAAGGAAGAGGGTGGATGATCCTTCAGGAGGAAGAGGAGTGTGTAGCACTTGAACTAGAAGAGATGATCATAGATGATTTGTTAGATGAATTAATCTTCTCATGAAGTCTTGTTGGACAATATACTGAGGTCTGTTTGATTAGTTATACCATGGTTTTCTTCAGGAAATTCTCCTAACTGATCCAGGAGTTTCACAAGAGTAGAAAACAAGCTTGGATTGTATAGATTATTGAAGATGAAGATCTCAAAAGGAACCGACCGCAAGACCTTCATTGCTTCAGAACACTAGCAATAACATGCAGTGGAGTATTGATTCCTATGCGTTTCAGTTCCATGTCCATTTTTTCATGCGAATAAGATTCATGTGTATATTAACTTATAAATAAGATTGTCTGGTGTATATGTCCTGTAAAGTTCCTCGCGGATTTTGGTGCATGGCGTGACTGAATTTCATGTAAATAACATATGAGTGGTCGTGTTTTTGCTTACACCTTATAGATTCCATGTCTTGTACTGGATTACTGTAGAGACACTACTGATGAAAATTTAATTTCTAGTATTGCTAATGAGGAATAACCTTATATTCAATTCAATCCCTGATCATAATATTCTCACGTGTCAACAACCCTGTTACGATATTATTCATTAGAATATCATGTTTAGAAAAACAGTATCAACAATTTTTTTTTCCACAAAAAAATCCTTAAAATTTTATTCATGATTTTTTAAAGGAATAATTAGATTTATTTCAGGTACACTTACCTCTTTCAGTTCATATTATTTTAAGCACTAATATTTATTATTTTTACAAAATTATGCATGTTTTCCCCTTATTTACTAATTAAAATAATAAAGCAAGCGACATGTAAAGGAGTTTAGTGTAATTTCCAAGTCAAATCAAGTTTAGAGGTACTTAATGTTAATTTAGAGAAAGATACTATTTTCTTTTAATTCAAATTTAATCTTCTTTAAAAATTATATATAAGTCTTTTAGGGTTTTTTTCCATAATTTTTTCCTAAATCTTAAATCATAAACTAATATTGATCATAATAATATAATTATCATTGACTCCGTAAATTTCATATGATAATAGAATTAATTATGTTTTTATCTTCTAATACTTTTTTGTCTTTAATAAGCAAATAACTTCTTTATATTTATTTTGGACTTTAATAAATTTTACGTTATTTTATCCCAAAATACTATCTAAATTATTTTATTATTCAAAAGGCTATCCAAACAAATTTAGAGGAAAAAAAAAGAAAAATGGTTATTAAAAATAAAAAAAGATTACAAAATTATTAGGAACAAAAAATAAAATTTAAAAAAATTAGCATGATTCAAAAATATATTTAATTATCATACTAGGAGAATAATGGAACCTAACAATAAGCTAAAATAAAAAGTATATAATAGTTCAAGATTCAAGTGTGAATGTGGTGGAAATAATGATGTTTTATAGGATTCAAACACAGAAATTGTTTGAAAGCTGAAGTAGTAATTTCATTTTGCAAATCCGAGTTCAGAGTCCTAGACTTTGTCAATCCCCAAGATTAAGTTTTTACACCATTTAGATTTCTTGTGTTGTTTGTCTTGATAACTTCATCGACATACATTATGTCCGTGCCTTTGTGATCTTCACAACGTAACTTACAAGTTTGAACGAACACTAGCACCAAACTGGTGCAACCTTGTGTCATTATTTGGGGTTAGGATGATAAACACAAGCGTGCGTAGTTTGAGAGGCGTCTTTGCACGACAATGGCTGGTTCAGTTAATACGTCGAACACCTTGTGGCACTATTAGTTTGAGACTGTTGTGTATTCAAGCGACACACAATCAGGATTCCCTGTGTCGGAGAATCGAGAGACTACCCAAAGGAGAATCCGTTGGCTCTGCTTTCCGCAGTTGGATGAGAGATGGCTTCCCCGTTCATGGCGGTGACGTCTTTCACGCTATTAACCGTCTCAGAAAGCTCAACATGAACAAACGTGCCCTTCAGGTAAGTCATATATCTGAGCCCTCGATGGTGAATGTGGCTATCTAAGCTAAATCCATCTTTAATTTTATAAAAATGTTGTTGAATGAAAATGGTATTGCTTTTGATAGTTGATAGAGTAGAGATAATGAAGGTTTTGCCGTTTTGTATTGATTGATAGGTAATGGAATGGGTGATTAGGGAGAGACCCTACAGGCCTAGGGAACTAGATTACTCTTACCTTGTGGAGTTTACTACTAAGCTTCATGGGATTTCACATGGTGAGAAGCTCTTCTCCAGAATTCCGGTTGAGTTTCAGAATGAGTTGCTCTACAACAATCTAGTGATTGCATGCTTGGATAAAGGTGTCATAAGGCTTTCACTTGAGTACATGAAGAAAATGAGGGAATTGGGGCTTCCCATTTCCCACTTGGTTTTCAACCGTCTCATAATTCTGCATTCCTCGCCAGGCCGCAAGAAGATGATACCCAAGTTGCTCACCCAAATGAAGGCTGATAAAGTTACCCCACATGTGTCCACCTACAATATTTTGATGAAAATAGAGGCCAGTGAGCATAATCTTGAGAATTTAGTGAAGGTCTTCTATCGAATGAAAGAAATACAGGTTGAACCAAATGAAATATCTTACTGCATTTTGGCTATTGCTCATGCAGTGGCCCGATTATTTACTGCAACTGAAGCATATGTGGAAGCTGTGGAGAAATCTATTACAGGGAATAACTGGTCAACATTGGATGTCCTACTTATGTTGTATGGGTATCTGGGGAACCAAAAGGAGCTGGAAAGAATTTGGGCCATCATTCAAGAACTCCCCTCCGTTAGATCTAAAAGTTACATGCTAGCCATTGAAGCATTTGGTAGAATTGGACAGCTAAACCGAGCTGAAGAACTTTGGTTAGAAATGAAATCAACCAAAGGATTGAAATCTGTAGAGCAATTCAATTCAATGATTTCTGTATATTGCAAGCATGGATTTGTCGACAAAGCGGCTAAACTGTACAAAAATATGAAGGCAACTGGCTGTAAACCAAATGCCATAACTTATCGTCAGCTCGCACTGGGCTGCTTGAGATCTGGTAGGACAGAGCAAGCTTTAAAGACATTAGAATTGGGTTTGCGTTTGACAATTAGCAAGAGGGTTAGAAATTCAACCCCATGGTTGGAGACTACTCTTTCTATTGTTGAGATTTTTGCTGAAAAAGGTGATGTGGGAAACGTTGAGAGATTGTTTGAAGAATTTCATAAAGCAAAGTATTGTAGATATACTTTTGTATATAATACCTTGATTAAGGCTTATGTAAAAGCTAAGATTTATGATCCAAATCATTTGAAAAGAATGATTCTTGGGGGAGCAAGACCAGATGCTGAAACTTACAGTCTTTTAAAAATTGCTGAACAGTTTCGAACTTGATTTTGGTTGACAATTTTCAACTAGTTTATCTGTATCTTCTTGTTGTCTTTCTATCTACTAAATATGTATCTATTGCGGGACAAGAGTCAATAAGATGCAAGAGATATTAAGGTAAATGTACCATTTCTCAAGAAAGTTATTTGTTTGCCTTTTACAACTGATAATGTAAACATGCTGAGAGTATAATCTGTAGATTTGATAAATATTGAGATTGAAGTGGCTCATTTATTATCCAAATCTATTAATCATACAATAGAGCATATTACCTAGCCTATTTCTTACTGCTCATGTTTCCATCATTTTACATTATTGATTTGTTGGACATCTAACCATTCCTCTTTTATCTATTTTTTAAATGTTATATAGTTTGAGTTGAAACTCCAAAATCTCCATATCTGCTGGCCTCTGCTAGTGGTGTTGCAGGTGAGTCCTGAACTCTGGTTCCTCGTGCTCTAATTCCATTGTGACCTATTACTGCTGAATGGTCCTTGCCTCCATCCTCTACTGTCCATGATACAGACCCTCTCATGCCAGCACCTCTTCAACCAACCAGAACCTCCACCACATGCTTTTCTGTCAACTTATTGATTGTTAATATTTGCTTTCGAGAATAGAAAACTACGGCTGGGGTGAATTTAGCACAACTCTGGACATTTAGAGATGTTATGAGCCAAAAAATATTTTTTCAGTTTTATTTATATATTTATTTTCCTTTTGGGTGTTTAAGTGGATACATTTTTTTTCTGCACTGTATTCTTTATCTTTTGCAAATCTATTATTATCGATTAAATCTGAATCTCAATTTATAATCTAAAGTATCAGAATTATGAGTAGAGATGCAAATCACACCCAATTAATGAGGCCAAACATCATTTAGTTCAAAGAACTTAAAAGGGGTGTTCCAAAGAAATAACTAATGATACTAATTGAATGAAAAAATATATGTGCCTAATTAACTGCATGGGTAATTCTCTACCCTTGATAACTACCTAATTGTTGCGTGCTGTTGATGACTGTGAAAGCCTTTTTGATAACTACCAAATTATTTATAGTTGATTGCGTACTTTCAAGGGTTTCATCATAATTCTTTTGCCCTTTTAGCATTTTGGCTTAGGTAGGTGATATATTTTGGTTAAAATTACCTCTTTCTTTCTTTCAAATACTAACAAAATGTTACGTTCCCTCTCAGTTCTGAAATTTCCATTTTAATCTTTTCTGTGTAATAATTTCATTTCACTCACATTTAAAGGTGGTATGTTAACTGTCCTATTATATATATATGATTTAATAGGAAAATGTCTAACTAAATATTTCTTAGTATTAGATACTGATTTGGTTCCTTATTTTTATATCTCTTCTTTATTATAAATAAGAATATTCATTTGTGTACACAACACATAAATTTCATTATATTTTTTTCTCGGTTTCTTTTTATCTTGAACCAAGATAATCCCATTCTTCGTCACTAGTTTATCACTAATCCTTTCAACATGTATCAGGAACCTAGAGAAGGGAATTTAAATGTGTTTTCCTTATTCACTCACTACTCATAGGCATCAATTCTTTTACTTGTTTACCAATAAAAACTCAAAAGGAGTAATTTGTTACATATAGCAAGTCCACTTTAATTGTTTGATTGAGTATTTAATATGATGTCTAGATATTAGTGGTCTTGGACAAAAGAGAGAAAAAAAAACACTTTATTTATCTATATTAACTTATTTTTCTGTTCATGTTTATGGTGGGGGAGAAACTAATAAAATTGTTAACTCCTTTCTTTGCAAACCAAACATTAGTTGAATGCTTAAAACTGTGGCATTCTGTTCCAATCCATGCGTGACGCAGACTTAAATATTAGAGAAATTAACGAATGCCTTTGTTAATTAATGCCTTATGGAATCTGTAAAATGCTTTATCTAATGCATATTATTTGAAGAACAAGCAGTTAAGAGATTTGTCTGATACAAGTGGGATAGTCTAAGAAGTCTTTCCAATTTTCCTTCTTCCACTGATTATTGTAGAATGATAAATTAGAAATTGAAATACGCTCAGAAAATTTTATTTTTTATACTTAAAAATCATGCTTCTGTTAGTTCTGTATGTTTCAAAGGAACCTCAATTTGATAGATTGATGCGCCATGCGTCACAGTGGATACTGGAGAACTTCCTACCTTACAAGTTACAACAGATGTCCACTTCCTTTCGTTATCTATAACTGCAAAATTGTTGTATTAAGCATACATGAACTTGGTTGACCCGTCGGCATAAAAGGGTTAAATTTGAAAACCTCTTCATCCTAAACCTTAATTATTTTGAAACCCAAAGGCTTAGCTTTACTAAATTGCAACGGCAAGCTATTATCATGCAGGCAACTAATTGACCAATATAAGACCAAAACATAGGTTTAACTGAATGTTAAATAAATAAATAACATATCTTAGAGGTAACTGCACCAATCTCAGGATGGAACTGATACAGATGGTGACAAAAGAGACTGTATGTGCTACCCGTTTCCAAAACATGCAAGAAAACGTAACACATCCATTCTCGTTCATTCAGGTTAGGTAATTTATAAACTCTGCAGCAGTAGCAATTGCTGCCCCCGTAATGGCATCTATCGCAATCTTGTCTTTCTTGTTGTTGCTGACTGCAGATACCAGGGCCCCAGTTATTGCACCCCCAATCATGGCATTCTTCTGCAGTACTCCAATCCAAGGAACAAAAAAGGGCGTCAGTAAGAATTCAAGTAAAAAAAAATGAACAATAAAAAGCACGGAGCACATCTAAATCAAAATGTAAAATCCATTTTACTTCATTTATTTTTTCCCACCATCTCTCTCATCTCTTCTCTCTTTTATTAATTTATCCCTTGGAAGGAATTCAACTGATGAGTATTTATCTAAATGGATTCTTCTCCACCTTCAATGACAACGTCTACTGTTTCACCACCATGCCACCTAGTTTCTTGTATTTGTCGTCCTCTATTATTTGCAACCACAACAACTGTAACAATGTAATCAATCAAACAAGAAACCCGAAAAAGGAAAGCCAAACAATAGAGACAGGGAAAGGGTTTGAGAAGAGGGTAGGATGGGTAAGTGCACAGCGTCGTGAAAGAAGTTGGTTGCGGAATTCTTGGCGATGGGCTCAATGGGGGAGGAGGAAGAGGCCCGAGATAGTGAGATGAAAAATGATCTGGTAGTGAGGGAAAGAGAGAAAGGAAGAGGGGAGAGATTCAGTGCAGGTCGTACAGGATGCAAAAATGAAGATCAGATGAATCTAATGGAAGAGATAATTGGTTCGTCATAAGCCAAATAAACAGCTTGATCCATAGTAGCCTTTGCCATAACTTACCTATAGATTAATTTTAATTTCCCATAAGTTTTTATTGAAAAGCTTAGCTAAACAGAATCTTTCTACATTCTAATTTCCAGTCACTCAAGCTATATCGAAGTGGGAATTTTCTAAATTCTAATATAATAACCAGTATAGTACTAGAATTATTGAAAGCCAAACATGGTGCTGATTCTTGTTAACAAGTCTATTTAAACTGTGAAATCAGACTACTGTACCAAACACTGGTAGTCTGGGAAAATGGTGTGGAGAGAATTACCCAGTCTCTAGTGCCACGGATTCTCTCTACCCCATATTCTGTTCCAACATAAACGCCAGCTATAGTTCCTGTAAGCATTAAAAAAAAAAGTACATCAAATGGAGCTACTGCATTTTCTAAATTAATGTGCCCAATAGACACCTTCTTTACATACAGCTTACAACCCAAGTCTTACCCCAATATACACCTTCTTTACACATCTTCTTCAACTGCAACAAAACAACCTACACCTCGTGAGCAAGGAATGAAAAATGTCTGTTGAATAGGTTTCCCAGGTACCCTTTGGGGTCACCCCAGTTATAATTTTCCACAAGGACTAATCGTCCCAACACTACACTTTAAAAGAAGATGTACGGAGAAGATAATCCAATGGTTGGTTATGTTAAAAAGTGACAACAATATACATCAATTTCACAGAGTGAAATTGGACTGAATGTTCATACACCTGAAAACATCAATTTCACAGAAGAACTGACAGCGAATTACAACGTTAAATCATGAACTTACCGTTTTATCAAAATCATGACTTGAGATATTCCCTGGAACAGACATGTTGAATTAGTCTGACAAAGGCCTTCACAGATGAAAATAACAATAATACAATAAACTAATAATTCCAAAAGAACACTGAAGCGATTCCACAGAAGAAGTAAAATAAAATACGAAATTGCCATAGAACCTAGTTTTTACTTGCACGCAGGTGTTTAACCATAACCCGAACTTAACAAGGAAAAACACTAAAAACATTATTTTATTAATATATATATATATATATAGTTAAAATTTTTGAAATGCTAAACTTACCCTTCTGGATAATATGATAGGTATCTTCGGCAACTGCGCGCGTGGCTGCGATCTGGAGTAGAAAATAAATAATAATTAATTAATTAATAAAAGAGGAAGCTAATTAATTAATTAATTAAGAAAAGAAAGAGAAAGGGGTGAGAAAATTACAGTTCCGATCTTGACGAAAGCATCCACAGTGAGATTGAGAAATGGATTTCCCATGTCAATCGCAACATCCACCCTCGGAGACACTGAAACTCTCGCCCATGCCATCTTTCTCGCTACTCTTCCTTCCTTGAACTCTTTAGGTTTAGGGTTCGTTTACTCCCACACATACCCAAAGACACAGATAACGTGCGGATTCAACTCTCACTTCATTGGCTCCTACTCTCATGCGTATCCTTCCATCTCAACTTTTTTGTAAGGTTAAATAAATAATTTACTCCTCTCATCTTCTTCTCTCTTTTTTTTTTTTGGTCTCCGTTACTCTTCTTTTTGTTGGAAAACTCAAATTTATTGTCTTTCTTTCTTTTTCATGTTTTCATTATTAGGAGGATGAGAAAAAAAAATCATTTGAATAATCACTAGTAAGGTGTAGAGTCATCCACGATAATCATTGGAGAGAATAAACCTAAAATGTTAAGAAAGAAAGATAGAAAGCCAAAAAATAAAAATAAAAAATTATCAAAACGATGTGTAAAATATCATGTAAGCCTTTTTTTTATCAAAAATAACAAACTACCAATAGATTTACAACTCCCAACTAACTATTCACCTGCAACAAATTTATCACTTACTTTGGTCAAACATACCCACCACTTCATCTAACTCTCTTTGTCCTTCAATTTTATAAGAACCACGTAAAAAAAAATGTTTATGCAACGACCACACAAAGTTATTCTGAATTGTGAGAATCTTGGATAATTGGGACCTTCACAAACATGGATTTCAGCCATGTCTTAAATGCTTTTATCACAACCACAACTTTTTCTTTTTTTCATTTTTCGAAAAACTTGAGTTCATACAAAACTTAATGGTGATTCGGTTTTATTTGATTAACTCCGAATTAATTAATTTAGTAATACATAAATACTATGCTTCTGAAAAAAATAAAATAATTAACACGTAATCATTTATTTTCAGTGAAGACGAAATCATGTATTTTAAACTCTAGTGTCCATTATCTACGTTGACTTGTGAACAATTTATTTTTTCGAAAGCTTTGGTTTTGACATTCGAAACTTTTTTTTTTTCTACTTTAAGTAGATTGTTCATTTGAATTAGTCAAATTGAATAAAATTATTCGTGTTCTACGTAACATTATTTAATATTTCTATTAAGTTAAAAATGTTGATAACATCATTTATTAATTAATAAAATTATTAAATATTGTTATTAATAATTTAACATACATGAAGAGAATTAGTATTTAAAAATAGTTTATTAAAAAAAAAAAGGAGAGGTAAGGAAATGCCCATGCCCTAAAGCATATTCGGTTTGTCCGCAGTATAAAGGGTGATAAGGGTGTGTGTGGAGAGCCATTTTGTGTGGCATAGTAGAACAAGGGTTTCTATCTGCTTCTGCACTCTCTCGAAGGAATCGAAATCAAAACAAGCAGAAAAATGGGCAGAAAATTCTTCGTCGGTGGAAACTGGAAATGCGTATGTTTCAATCGCCTCTTCACTTTCTTCATCATTTACCTTTTCTTTTGCATGTGTGATTTTGTTTTAATCTTGATGAACGTAATCTCGGTAGTCCTACACGCGATCAACTTCGAAAGTTGATCTAATTTGAAAAGGCTGGGCTCGGTAACTATTTCAAGAATGTAGAGCACCCTTAATAATCAGATCCGAAGAGTTTAGTTTCTGTTTGTGAATCATTTGATGTGTGTTACTTTTTTATTTCCGATCTCGTGAGTATGTAGTAGTGTCACTCTTCGGACAAAGATCCTTATCCTTGGGGATTTGTTAAAAAAAAAAATGCACTTGAACATCTTGTGATGATCTTGAAACTATACGTGTTTGTGTGAACGCTTTATGTTGTAATCTGATGATGTCATTTTTAATTGCCTTGTGTACCTTTTTTTTTCATGGATCTGTTTAGGCCATATTGTGGAAACAACTAATTATTGAATCAACTTGTGTTCTGAAATCCTTAAGTGATTCATCAGCGTAACTGATGCTTTGGATTGATTTTGCTGCAGAATGGGACCACTGAGGAGGTGAAGAAGATTGTTACTACTCTGAATGAAGCCAAAGTCCCTGAAGAAGATGTTGTGGGTGAGTCTTAGCTAGCTTCTGATGGGATTGTCTTTTTCTGCCGAACATTTCATTATTAACAAATTCTTGTCAATGATCTATCTGGCTTAAGTTAATTTCAATATTAATATGGAAATATAATCACAAAACTACTGACTACTTTAAAGGTTCTAATTTTATTTTATTTTTAATTCAGAACCACTTTATGTGGCGATGAAGTAAGTTGTCATAATAAGACCTAAATTCTCTAGATAGCAGATTGTCAGTTGTCAAGTATTCAATTGCATCATAATTTTTTTATTTAAATATCAAGCTCCTGGCTCCCATGAACCTATTACAATTTTTTCACTGTTATCATATATCCATTGTTGGTATCTCTTAATATTTCCTCTTCATATCATCCAAATTTTATTGTTGTACGTGTTGAAGTTTTGATATGTGCTAATAAATGTGTTTCTCTTCTACAGAAGTTGTTGTGAGTCCACCTTTTGTCTTCCTTCCTCTGGTAAAAAGTTTGCTGCGCCCTGATTTCCATGTCTCGGCACAGAATTGTTGGGTTCGCAAAGGTGGTGCTTATACAGGAGAAGTTAGGTATGTTATCTTTTTTTCCTTCAATAATTTTCATATGGTCATGTGCTCTGCATTAGTTATTTTAGGCTAATGGCTTTTTTTTCATATGGTCATGTTACCTTTTACCCATCTTTTAATAGTTGTACATTTTGTCTTTTGCGTTAACAGTGCTGAAATGCTTGTTAACTTGGGAATTCCTTGGGTTATTATTGGTCACTCTGAACGGAGACAGATTTTGCAAGAATCAAATGAGGTACTAAATGTTCAATTGTCTCTGGTTTACATTCTTTTGTTATAAGTTCTTTTTTAAGTTTAATGGCATAAATTTTAACATTTACTTCATGCTTTGGTGTCTATCAGTTTGTGGGAGATAAAGTTGCATATGCACTTTCACAAGGTCTGAAAGTTATTGCATGCATCGGGGAGACCCTTGAACAGCGTGAAGCTGGTACAACTACAGCCGTTGTTGCTGAGCAAACAAAAGCAATTGCAGGTACCTTTTTTCTCCATATGTGCAGGTTTAATTTTCTGCATACTCGTTAGGTTATTTTTTATTTCTCTGATTTTCTCACAAATATTGTATAAAGGTCTCTGCAGTTCTTGTTAAAGAACTGTTTTAGTTACTTTAACAGATTATTATTATTCATCACCTGCTATTGTTAGCAATCTATATTTTAGTTGACCTTAATTATATTTGCAGATAAAATATCAAACTGGGACAATGTTGTTTTGGCCTACGAGCCAGTTTGGGCCATTGGAACAGGAAAGGTTGCCACTCCTGCTCAGGCTCAAGAGGTATGCTTGCCTATGTTTTGTTAACAATACTATTATTTTCGTGAAAACTTGCTTGCTTGCCACTGTACTTTTTTTTTAAAAGATTTATTGTTCTTTTAATATTCTAGATTGTGTAATTTTATCTGATATCTTTTTGTTCTTTGCTCTTTTGCCAATTTAGATATTTGATACCTCATTATTTTCTTCAACTAAGTACCCCAATATTGTATTTTGTGTAATAGTGACTTGTAGATTGTGTTCACTTGATGATATTTGTTTGGTGGTTGGCCTGGCCTAGGTTCATGCTGCTTTGAGGAAATGGGTTCATGATAATGTGAATGCCGAAGTTGCTGCATCTGTAAGAATTATCTATGGAGGTAATCTCGCCTGCACTTTACCCCCTTTATTGTATCGTATGTTCACTTGGTGTATTTAAAAAAATAATGTTTCTGATCTAATAAACATTCATTAACTGCAGGTTCTGTAAATGGAGGCAACTGCAAAGAATTGGCAGAACAGCCCGATGTTGATGGATTTTTGGTTGGTGGTGCTTCCCTCAAGGTAATTTTGTTTACCCATTGTTTTGGTTGTGATTGGTTTCAAATTACTTTGCATTTTAGCACCTAACCCTTGTATTTCTCTGTAATTAGCCGGAGTTCGTGGACATCATAAACTCTGCCACCGTGAAGAAGAATTGAAATTCGTAGTTAGGAACTGATATGCTGCCTTCAAGCTGCTTCGGAAATTACTGTTGAGTTTTGGTTCTGTGCTTTGTTGCAAATGCTTTGAACTTTTGTGTTTAGTTTTGAATAAAAACATGCTTTCCTGTGGTTTCATCCACAGGCGATCAATTGGATTTTGATTAAATTTCTTAATGCAAATAGTGTAACTACCATATCATTTGGTGGGTAAATAATGTTGAACGCCTAGTTATTTGTTGACTATTATTGATGACCGTTTCATCGTAGTTTAGAAAAATGGACTAGCTGTCCATTCCAATTGACCCAGGGAACTGGATGAACAAAAGAACAGGTAAGAACTGGTCTAAAAATGGTGGACTCAGCATCGTTGTTGTTGGTCTGATGATCTCTGCTGTTATTGTTCATCTCTGTTAAATTTTAATATTTGTTTAATTGTCGGATGTCGCAGTGCTTTCATTCACTACTACTGACTTTGTCGCATTGTTCAATTCGGCCACAGGGTCTTTTGCTCTGTTTTTTCTTATTCTTTCCCCAAATTTTTCTTAATTAAATCAGAGTCCTCCTTTTAGAGGAGGAAAACGTTAAAAGTTAAACGTTTCTTTAACCAAATCCAGTCAAATATAGGAGCGTAAATGCCTAGAATAATACATCTTGCCTATTATTTGTCTTAATGAAAATCATAAATGCAGCAGCTAAAATCACGATTTTGAGTTTGTAGTGCTGTTAGCGTATGGTGTTGTGGTTCTTTTACTTATATTCTATATTCCGTACTTTTTATTAACATTATTTTATTTATCCATTGAATTTTAAATTATTCAGTAATTTTAAAAAATATTACATGTTATTAAAGGATCTCTAGCCCTGAATAAAGCTATGCTAATAATGGCAAGTTCAACAAAAATGTTAAAAAATTATCTTATCCATATCAACTAATAAATAAAATCTTATTTTAATTGATATTAGTTAAAAATAGTTTCATTTGATAAAACAAATCTTAATTAGCATCAGTTAATAAACAGTTATTTTAGTGTTGGTCAAAATAATCCTAATCATTTTAGTGTTGGCCAGTAAAATCCTAATTATTGTCAGCCAAGAATAATCTTAACTTAAGTTAGTGACCTCAACCAAGGCGACAACTATTCTATTATTTCTTTTTTTAGATAAAAATTATGACTTATAATTTAAAATCATCAAATTAAGTTTAAAAAAAATACTCAATATATTTTAAAAAAATTATTTAACCAGATTTTTTTTTTTACATTTCAAAATTTCTACAGGAATAAATTGTATTATAAAGTTGCCTATATCTGAACCTTATTTGACTTATGAATTATAAGTTCAAACATTTTTATACTTAAAAGTGTATGTTTGTCAGGGAAACCTTTTACATTTCTTTAGCTTCGGACAATGCTGACTTTCTTTTATTAATTCACAAGTTTTGATGGCCATGGCCATAGATCACTAGGCTTAAGAGTTAAAAGCGATTGGAACATAAAGCAAAGAAAGAAAAGCTCAAATGAATTAATTGCGTTTCTTTCTACTCCCATTCCATTCATATACAAATGTACTTTTTAGCAACTTTCTTTAAGCCATGTACTCATCAAGTCTTCAAATTTTGTAGCCTAGTTGGTTGAGTCATTTACTTATTGCACGGTTCACAATTTTTCACTTTTCTTTTCTTTCCTTTTTTGATACCTAAAGTTCTCATTTTTCCACACACTTCCTCGGCTCATAACTTTATTTTGGTTTGGTCCCACTCATCACTTGGATGAAAGTCCATTGCACCAACCACCTCTTCACATTCCACAACTCAAAACCACCCCATTTATGGGTTCATTACCAATCAAACACACATGACATACCTCGTATAACATGTTTTTACCTTAAAAAAATAAAATATTAATCATATATTATCTTCTTAATATTAAAAGTAAATAATAAATCTCATTTCAAATCATATAAATGTTAACTTTTAATGAAACCACTCTTACACAACAATCTCAATCTCATTCTCAATAATACAATAACTTTTACACGTATTTTTATTTTAAGGTTATATATATTTTACTCATTATGAAATGCATCTTCTTTTTAGTTAATTATTTGTTCAAATAAGTTTTTTTTAAATCTTTTTTTATGTACTTCTAAATTTTTTTATATCATTAGTCAAAGTGAACTTTTTTTACCGTAAAATTAATGTGAAATGCTTTTCAACTTTCATAATATTTATTACATTGTTAATTGTCAAAACTTATATATATCACGTCAAGCTCTAACTTTTGTTTTCCAGTGTAAAATCACATCACATTCATATGTTCACTTCCGATTTTGCAGTTCCATGTCACGGGCTTCTTTCCTTTTCATAAATTAAAAGAAATATTATTTATCTACAAATTTAAATTTAGTTAAATATACTAATTATATTCAATAACAAGACTTTTATCTAATTGTATACTTTTCATATTAGGACTTTTTTAATAATATATTTTTAAATATTAATCATCTAAATAGTTACATTATTTATTAAATAAATTCTAATTTAAGTTAAATAATTTATAATTTACGTAAATATAGTTAACTGAATTATTAACAGTTAAGCCGTTTTCAACTACGTTATTAATTCGTGACAATCAACTAAATTAATAAAATTGTCTTGTATGAAATATTTTATTTATACTGATATAAATGATGTCATATTATCTCATTTTAGTTATTATTTTATGTATAAAATCGTGTTTCGAATTCATTATACATATTATTATTATTATTATTATTATTTTTATGTGCTAACCAAATAAATCAAGTGGAATATAAGATGAAATTTAGAAAGGGATAGCAATAAAGTTCACCTCTTTAAATTCAATAAAGTGAAGATAATATTCACTTATAAACAGATACAAAGTAGAAAAATTAACGTATATATAAATATTTTTTAGGGGTCTTAATATATACTTTTTAATAAAATTTTAAAGAAATTAATTTTTTTAGAACATTATGACTCCGACATTCTTTTTCTCCTGCCCATAAATTATATTTTAATATCATTAATATTATTAAAATTGATTCTAATATTATATTTAAAATAAAAATATATCATTTTAAAAATTAAGTTTTATATTCATTTATAAACTATGGATGTTCTTGTCTTGTCTGTAAATTAGTTGGCCAATATATAGCAATTATTTTTGTTGTTTGATTTTTAAGTGACATGAAGTTTTGTTTGTGAAAATTAAATGAACTCATTTTGGCCACATATTTATTTGCATGGAAAATAGTAGAAAATGTGTTGAAGTTGACTTCACTGAAACACAGAGCAACAATCTAATTCTACAACCTTGTTGCTGCACTGCATTTGTCCATTCTTTCTGCAGAAAACCTGTTATGAATGTGTGGCCATTCCTTTCTCATCATATACAACACAAATTTTTTATGTGGCCTCTGTTTTTCTCTTCACATCTCAATTCTTTTCTTCTTCTCTTCTCTGCTGCATATCATAATTTCATAATGCTACTACAACACGTGAATGGATAGTTGGATACTCTTCTTGTTACAAACATCTCGTTAATGTTCTTATTTATCTCTCTCTTTTTTCTTACCACTTTTATGTCACGTATCATACTTTTTGTTCTTCTCTTCTCTCTCTTTCTTTTTTAGTCTCCTTAAAAAATTAATTTTTAATACAATCTTTGTTATTACTTAACCATAACCAAGATATGTAATCATGTTAAGTTGACAAAGTACCATTTCGTGAAAGCTTTGCATCACCTTTTAATAACATACAATCCACAGTTTAATAACGCACAATCCACAGTCACAAATAAAAGGTAAAGATAAATAAATAATGTATTCTCAATTTTTTTTTTAATATATTATGATATGTTTTAAGGAACTAAAGTGTTTGATCTTATATTTTGGTCATATGTTCGTTATGATAATATTATTAGGATCAACTTTTACTTATTAGAGTCAATTCTCATATCTAAGGTATTATTCATATATAAATTATTCTTGAATTTGATTACAAAACGATATAAGATCTATAAGCGTACCAGAACATAAGTATCTCAATAAAGATATATATGGGTAAAGTAAAACTCTACTTTACTCTATTTTTGTCCATAAGTAAAGTAAAACTCTATTTTTGACATCGTGAACGTCAATATTTCGTTTAAGGAACAAGAATGTCTCGACGTCGTGTTCATTAGGATAACATTGTTAAAGTTAATTTTCACATCCGAATTATTATATATTTTGAAACTCTCATTTATTACATAACATCATATTTATTATTCTATCAAAATATTGAGAAATCCTTATTTATTAAATAACAAAAATTTAATCTGAAATTTATATTTTTAATTAACAAATTTCTAGTTTTTCTTTTTCATTTTTTACCATAAACAACTTATAGCGTTTTCACACTAGATTTGTTTTCTTATATTAAAAAAAAAACAGAAAGTAATAATAATTAATATAATGGTAAGAAAGAATGGGTTAAAAACTAATAATATATATATTAAAAAAAACTTATATGAAAATAAGAGGTTTTATTATTTGTTCATTAATTGATGAGCACGTGATGATGCCATCCACTTATTAATTCACTCACCAAACATCTCCCTTATTTTACGTTGTGCAAAAAATCACGTGCATACATGATATGATAACAAGTAGTAATACAATAATAATAATAATAATAATAATAATAATAATAATAATAATAATAATAATAATAATAATAATAATAATAATAATAATAATAATAATAATAATAATAATAAAATCCGGCAAAGTGAAGATGAGACAAAATTGATCTAATTTATTTCTAATGAAATATTTCACCTTTAACCCCTTTTATTAAAAACAATAAGTAGTACATAGTTTTTCTTAAGTAAATTGAATTTTAAAAAAACTTTTATTATTACAAAAGGAAGAAAAGAAGAAAAGTATTAAAATATTTTTCAATAAAAAAATGCTAGATTTTCAACAAAAGGGCATTCTTTTAAATGGAGAATACATTTTAAAAACTATTTATTTAATTTTGTTAGAATATTCACTGTTACAACAAAATTTCATTAGAAACATGTTTTTTAAGTTATAACATTTTTTTTCTATTTCACTGCCATATTTATTTGTATTAGATAGATGTCTTTAAATTATAACATTTTTTTCTTTTTATTGTCATGTTTATTTGTAATATATTAGTGTCTTTAAATGAAGATGATAAGTATTATTATTCTCATTATCATAAAAGAGATAATTTGTTATGGAAATTAATTAATTTAATAAAATATAAATATTTATTTAAAAATTAGAAGACATGTAAACATCATTTTATTATTAAAAACTTAAACAAAACATGTATTTATTTTAAAATTGAAAGAGACGTAAATATCCTTTAACATTATGTATGGAAGTTAAGTATAAGCTTTAAAAGAAGAATAATTTAATTGTGACATGTTATCAAGAAAATTAAGTAATTAAAAACCCTCATAAATTTAATTTTCATAATTAATTCACAAATATTTTAAGACGATTTAATGATTTAAAAAAAAAACAATTTTAAGCGTTTATTTTAATAAATGGTGTAGGATGTTAAAATTTTCCTGCCAGGTGGAAAGCTTACAAATTTTAAGTAAAAAGGTATTTTTTTTTCTTGAATAATTTATTAAATGTTTTTCAAAACATAAACTTTGAATACAATTATTCCTTCGAGTACGATAATGGTCGATCCCATTTTGTGGTGGATTGGAATGAAGAAAAGAAAAGTAAAAAAATAGATAAAAGGTTTGATTTTTGGATTTAGAGTAAGATGGTTTGATACAGGTTGAGACACGACAGGGATGAGTGTGGTGTGTAAACCGTGTATGAGATTGGAACTTAGTATTTTTGTTTGTTTGGAGGAGCATACAACAGTAGAACAGTATACAGGAAAAATGGGAATCATCTTCTCATGACCCATTGAGACCAATAAAACAGGAACAGGGGGGTCCATGTTTCATGCTTCATACTTCAATTCATACATCGAATGTCACTGCTTCCTAACTCACCATTCACTTCTCACACAACACGACACTAACCTTCTTCCTTCCCTTTTCTTTTCAACTCTCTCCATCTTTTCTGTTCCTATTTATTAATATTAATTTACTACTTTACTTCCATACATCCATTCCTTTACCCAAAACACCCTTCTCTTCTCTTCTTTTCTCTCAACAAATGTAAACTTACTTGTGCAAATAGGTTCTTAGCCTTCTTCATCACCAATATTCTGTCTTTTTAATCTTAATTCCTTTTCTTTCCTCTGAGTTCAATTCAAGTTTCATGGTTTCTGCAAGATCTCGCGTTCTATAGCCAACATGGGAGTTTGTTTGAGCGCCCAAATTAAAGCTGAAAGCCCTTATAGCACTGGTATGTAACCCATGCATCTTCCTTAGTTTTCTTCTTCTTTAATGTGCCCTGTTTTTCCATTCCCTTAAGTTTCGGTCCTTGTGCTTAATTGCTTATTACTTTTAGTTTTGGGTATTCCCACTCTTCTTTTGTTTCGTCCAAGTTTGGTCCTTTTCTCCCATCCTCTCTTTATTTAAAAGGAAGAAATGTTTATTTGTTAAATTGAATATATGCTTCGTTTACTTCCTCTTCCATTGTTTAGTTGCACTCTGTTATGCTGAGTATGTTAAGGTTGTTCGCTGCAGATATATTAAATCAATTTCGGTGACTCTGGTTTCTCAATTTCAAATTTTGTTCATCTGAATTAATATTTTGTGCTTTCATCTCCTAGTCTTAAAGCTTAACCTTAACACTATGAATCTTTCTCTTCAAATATACCAATGTGCATGGCATTGTGTAAACATGATTGAAGATCCAGTAATATAGCTCACTGTATTTTTCATTTGATTTGGTATTGCTGAAGGTTTAACTAATTAACTTTAATGGATATGGTTTGGTTTGGCAGGGTTCAATTCAAAGTATGTGAGCACAGATGGAAATTATCTTGGCAGCACAAACGATAAGGTTTCAGCGAACTCAGTACCCCAGACTCCTCGGAGTGAGGGTGAGATCTTGCAGTCGTCCAATTTGAAGAGCTTTACCTTATCAGAACTTAAGACGGCCACTAGAAATTTCCGTCCAGACAGTGTGTTAGGAGAAGGTGGTTTTGGATCAGTTTTTAAGGGGTGGATCGATGAGAATTCATTGACTGCTACAAAACCTGGTACTGGCATTGTTATTGCTGTGAAAAGACTTAATCAAGATGGCATCCAGGGTCACAGGGAGTGGTTGGTAAGTTTAATCTAATCCTTTCTTCACACTCCATACTAATTAAGAAACAAATGTTGCCTATATGCTACACCATAGTAAGTGCAGTGCATGGTTAATCATCTATGAAGTGAGCAAATCTCAAGTTGCCTTATGTTGTCCATCTTCTTCTAGCCTAGATGATGATGTGGGTTGCATCAATACAATTTAAACCTGTTATCATTTCAACAAAATTGTACACTATTACTTATGGTTGGAAATAGTGGGAGATTAATTTTGGTGGTTTAGATGTTCTTGCCTTACTGTGTTTCTGTTTTCACTTTCAGGCTGAAGTCAACTATCTTGGACAGCTTTCTCATCCTCATCTAGTGAGACTGATTGGGTTTTGCCTTGAAGATGAACACCGCCTTCTCGTCTATGAATTTATGCCTCGTGGAAGCTTGGAAAACCATTTGTTCAGGAGTGAGTTTTCCATCTTTTCTCATAGTTTTAACTTGAGAAGTCTGTTTAACACTGGCAATATGTATTGTAACAGGAGGCTCATATTTTCAGCCACTTTCTTGGAGCCTCCGTTTGAAAGTTGCTCTAGATGCTGCCAGAGGCCTTGCGTTTCTTCACAGTGCCGAAACAAAAGTGATATATAGAGATTTTAAGACCTCAAACATCTTGCTGGATTCAGTATGTGAACTTTTAAACTTTTTGTATTCAATATGCAATGAAAGTAAAAGATCCGATGAAGGTAGAAACCATTTGGATAGCAGATCTGAAATATGTATGTTGATTTGAACACAGAATTACAATGCAAAACTTTCTGATTTTGGGCTGGCAAAGGATGGACCAACGGGTGACAAAAGTCATGTCTCCACCAGGGTAATGGGAACCTACGGATATGCAGCTCCTGAATATCTAGCCACAGGTATTGTTGGTTTTATGATATTGAACCATTTCATGAATTTTTCCGTTTCTAAGTTTGTCAAGTTATCTAGATCCAGGTCTTGGTTAATGGCTAAAAACATTGTTCCTGTAGGTCATCTTACTGCCAAGAGTGATGTCTATAGTTTTGGAGTTGTCCTGCTGGAAATGTTATCTGGTAAGAGGGCAGTTGACAAGAATAGACCATCTGGACAACACAATTTGGTGGAATGGGGTAAACCATACCTGGCAAACAAACGCAAGATATTCCGCGTGCTAGACACCCGGCTTGAAGGACAATATTCAACAGATGATGCCTATAAGGTAGCCAACCTTGCCTTGCGGTGCCTGTCAATAGATTCCAAGTTCAGGCCAAACATGGATGAAGTGGTTACAACATTGGAGCAGTTGCAGGTTCCTAATGCAAATGGAGGCAATCAAAATCCTTCTCGTGTTCGAAGAAGAAGTGCTGATGTAAGTAGAGGGTATCAAAATCCTTCTGTTAATCGAGTTCGTAGAAGAAGTGCTGATGACATTAGCCGTATGGAGACTCCCTCAGCTTATCCCAGGCCCTCTGCTTCCCCTCTCTATACTTGACATTTCAGACACAACCTTCAAACTTAACATGATGCATCTTCTGCTGGTGATCTTGTCCATGAGCTCAGGAACCTGTGTAGCTATTACTGTACATATCATAATTCACCCAATATATTATTCAGTACCAAACTACTCTCGGCAATTGCTAGTCACCACCAATTAATATTACACGTTTTCTGAGATCTATCTAAGTGAAAGTGTGTGTAACTACTATTAAACTAGATGGAAAGGCAGGTACAATTGTAAGATAGCTCATTTTTGTTCTTGTCTATATCAGGGTGATACGGTTTCCTAGTCTATTTTGTAACACTCCATTGCCTTATGGGACTTCTATATCAAACATACGAATGCATTGAAAAGCTTGTGCTCTATTCTGTTTGCTCAGTTTTCTATCTTGTGAACACGGACTCAATTTTATCAATGAAATGATGAAATTTTGAAATATGTTGAGAATACGATTCAAAAGTTCAATACCGAAACAGTTTGGTTAGAAACAATCGATTGCTAAAGATGACAAAAGACATAAATATACGCGTTTCCATTTGAAAAAGCATTATTATGGAGGCAACTTTTTTCTGGGATGCAGTCTACTGCATGTCATGCTACTTTTGTTTCATTACGGTAAGGGTAAGCAAACCCTGAATCCTCAATCCTCGTCCTAAATTTGCGAATTTGGCCCACTTAAGAAGATAACGTTTGCAGAATGTTTGAATTTTGAGGAATGCTCCACATGTTTCTGTTGGAATTATTGTCAAGCCGTACAAATACCCTTTTTAATTGGGCTGCCACTTGATCACCAAAATGTCAAACTTGTACTGGATTCATCCTTTTTAATGGTGGATTATAGGAAGCAATCTTGACTTGCTTCCACAATGAAGCCACTATCTCTATGTCTAGGGCAATTGCTGTGACTACTTACTGACTAGTGAATACTCACTCATTCATGACTCTTTCTACTTCTTAGTTAAAGCAATTTTGGACGTATCCTTCAAGAACTGTCCAATTCAGACTTGTTATCTGCGATTCTAGAGTTACATCAACTTTTCATTTACAAGGTAGAGTTTTGTTTGAATGTAGTGCCTTGACTTATTAAATTGGTACACAGTTTTCTCATTGATTTCCTTCCACGTGAAGTTCTTTCATTTATATCTTTTCCACAACTATTAGAGGCTTTAAGTTAAATATAGCATTGCGAAATTATTCAATTTACAAGTAAAAAAAAATCGATGATATTTATTGAATTTTTTGATTGTTGGAGCAGAGAGACTAATCCTACTCGTGTTTGAAGTCCGGAGTAATCATAAGTTTTAACTATTAGTTTTCAAAATTAAATTTAAAAGCAAAACCTGTTTGCATAAAAAAATGGAATTGAAAAAGTGTTACTTTAATTTTAACAATGTTTCAATTCACTTTTAGAATAAATAGAAAAACATTTATTAGCTCTAACAACATAACATCTCTTGGAATGGGTTTTACTGGTTTGAAGAATTCGGCCATGTGATGTGACTTGTCATTGCCAATCCGGCAACTTTGGGCCTACTAGGATTGCACAGGCCCATCTGATTAAATAAAATAAAAATGTGGGTCCGCTACATTCAAGCCCAATTATCAAATTATACCCACTGCTTCAGAGGTTCCATTATATCAGACATTTGTCAAGTCTTTAGCATGAAACAAGAAAACAAAACCACCTTAAACAAACTGACTTTAGGAGGAGGAAGAGGTAAATTTGAATTTGGATCACTTATTTGTGAGATTTTACGATCGCATATTCTTCACAAATATTTCAAGGCAACTCAGAAAGTGATGAACCAAAATCTGGAGTCCATCTCCATGAGTTTAATAGTGCTTAATCAGTGAGTCATTTGTATTTTTTTGGTTAAAGCATGCCAATGTCTGTGCACATTGATTTAGAAGGAGGGTCCATAAATGTACTGCTGTACCCTCTTTTGTGGACCCTTTCTTCGAACGTGAGCATGTAGACTTTCCATTGGACAGTCCTAGATCAACATTCTGATGGTTCAGTAGAAGATCCACTTCTTGCTCCGTTTTTGTTCACGCAAACATCATCATCATCCTCATTCATCTTATGCCTTCTCTTTTTCTCTGGATGCTGAAGCTGAAGAACCCTCTCCCACCAACTGCTTTGTATGAGATTGAAAGTGATTCCATGTTCCATCACGTACCCTAAATGGATCAAGTGCATCTTGAAAATAAGCACCATGTGACTCCCCAAATGGAACTTAGATGGTTTAGCGGTAAGAAAAGTAAAGACTCACTAATTATCAGTGGTTCTAGCAGTGCCACCATATCTTTTTCATCAAAGTCTACTGTACTAAGCTTTCATCATGGAATAAAGGGTAGCTGTGGTGATGGATAAGGACTTCAAGGAAGGATTTTTCGACAGTATGGAATCTTAAACATTCCTGCAACATGCAGGGTTTGCTCTGGAAGTCAACTTGGCATTTGTACGGTACTAGAAGAAGGAGAAAATGAATCATCAACCTCAAATTAATGGAGATGTATCTGAAGATTTTTTTCTAAGAAGCTAATAGAAATCTAATGAAAAATTTCATACAGAAGAAGAAAAATAAGCAAATAAATAAAGTGAGAACAATACCTTATGAAAAGTAATGATTCATGGTAATAAATGAATGGATTTGTAGCTGTCAAGTCCCTTTTGTTAATATTTTTAAGTCATAAGATCAAATTAGATTAAACTCACTAAAGAAAATAATTTGTTCAATTTTAATAAAAAAATAATCATAAATTGTTATAACAAATAATAGAACATAAGTCAAGAAAAATATTTTATCTATAAATAAATAAGTAAAAAATATTAAAATAAATGGGTAAAAATATTTATCATTGTAATGCACTTACTGAGAATAGTATAATTATTCATTACTTGTATTTTATATTTTATATAAAATCTATTATTTTTTATCACATATAAAAGTGTCATTTTTTAATAATTTGGAAGAATATTAAAATTTTTAAATTTGACATAATGAACAATGGTTAACGTAGATGTTATTATAACCTACTTGTTGATCAACTGTGCAAATGAATTCAGTCCATCACAATTTCTCAAATCATAAATTTATTAAAGTCTTTGATTTTGGTTTTGGTGAGAGAAATAAATTAATTCCCTTAGAATAATAAAAATAGAGTGATTAATTAGAAATAGATTGATTGTAATTTGTGACTTCTTTTCTCTTACAAACAAATTACGATCATGATAGTTATTATACAATAATTTAACAAGATTCATAATTCTTTTTAAGTATTACATTATTTTCAATTTAGTAGAATTTCAGTGAATAATTTGTACGACATAGCAGGAAATGCATTATCTAATATCTGAGCAAATGCATGTATACATCCTCCTTTGTTATGTCTATTCAGAAGGGTTGATTCTCTTCGCTTTCCCTATATTGTACTCTGTCGTTGCAAATCTATCTCATTTCATTCCCCAAAAACTCTCATCTTCTCTGTGCCATCAACCCACAGAAAAGTGCTTCCCCTTTTTTATATTATTATTATCATCATAAGATATCAAGAAAAACGGGACCACTGAATATCTCAGCACCGTGGTTGATTTGTTTTGACCATTTGATACGTGTAAGGAGTCCATATACAGTTCATGTAGAAAAACAAACAATGTTCTCTCTTTCTCTCTCGTAGGACCTTCACTCCCTCGTCCTTCCCCACGAACCTTAGCTAGCTCTATGACCATCCATGGTACAATAGACTCTCTATAGCCTTTATAGACCCAAAATGATGGTCCCTCATACAAAGATATATAAGATAGTACAAAAGTACACTTGTGTTGCAGCCTTGAAATTGACAGCTACCAGCTTATCTAAGATATTGCATCATCTAATTCAGCTTTTTACAACAGATACCCTGATTCACCATCACCAATTAATCACAACGCATGCCCTATGAATCCTTCCTCCACATAATTCCACTAAAACACTCCCTTCTTCGCTTTTTTACACCCCTGCCACTGGTTCATTTCCAACTCCACATTCTAACTACTTTGCTATACAGTTATGTGAAATGGACACAACACTCAAACTGCTAGTTCCTTCCCTACATTAATTAATGAACATATTAGGGTTTTAAAGTAACTTCTGCATGCTATGCACAGGTACCATAATTAATATATAAACAAAAAAGGTGAGAACCTAGCTACCCCCACCTTCCCTCTATGCCCACAGAATATTACTCCCCTACGCTGCACTCTCCTTCAATATTCAAATTAAACACCTCTTGAAGCAGATTTATTAATTGACACACATGAATTTAATCCAATAGTAATATAGAATTTGAATGCTTTTCATTGTTAAAAGTAGACCTTCATCTTGTGCAATTTGAACCATTACAAACCTGAACTCATATAGCTACTACAACAATTCTATGAAAAGGTAAACCAGATACATGTAGAAGGACACAGTGAAAAACAAAGAAGAAGACATAAAAATGCACGTCTCTATTGCTAAAAATGAAAATGCATGTTAGGGTAGGATAAGAGGGATGGATAAGGGCTTGATAAGAACCCATTATGGTGCGTTTCATGGTAGAAAATATAAGTAGTTTGCATGAAATTTTGGATTCATATCTCGTCGTCACGATTATATCCATTACAGAGAGAGAACGAGGAAGGTCTAGGCTTCGTATAGCATAGTGGGGTCACGAACCTGAAAGAAAGCACGATTTTTTACGACGATGTCGTACAAATGGAAGTGCTTAAAGTTGGAGAAGTTTTTGGGGAGGGAAATGAGATGTGAAGAGGTGTCAGAACGGTGGAACTGGATGAGGTCTGAGCGGTCGGAGTCACGGTGGCGAGTCCAGCCGAGTTCGGTGAGTCGCTGCTCGAGTTCGTTGTAGGAACGAATGACCTGGTTGCTGGGGAGGTAGACCAAGACTCTTGGTCTGGCGCCAGGTGCGGTGGCTGTACCAGGATGTTTGGGATCTCTCTGTTCGAAGGATTCCTTTGTTGGGTTTGTTATGAGCCTGGCCACTCCGTTCTTGTCGAAAACCCACACACCAGACATTGCCACTCTCTTTCTCTCTGTTTTTCCGTCAATGTCTGAAACTGCCACACCAAATCACTCTGGTGTTGGAACACGTGAATAGCTTCTTCCTTTCACGGCTTCACTCCAACCACTACATACATATATATGACTACATAACAATGCTTATGCAAGAGGTGCAGTGCAGTTTCATTTTCATTTTTTTTTACCCTATTTTTTATTTTAAATACTAAAATAAAACAAACCATATTATTAAAAAACTCTTCCCCTCTCATCCTTTTTTTTTCTTAAACAGAAAATCTGGGGTGAAAAAAAAAAGAAAAGTTAAATATAAAAAATATTATTCTACTGCAACATGTCCTCAACACTCTTTTTTTAAATTTAATTGTTTTAGTTTTATACAACTATTTTTTCATTTATTCTATAAATATGTATTTCAATATTATTATTAGACTACATGTTTTTTCAATATTTGATCAATGGATTGTGTTTTAAGTAGAAGGTATCTAATAAATAGTTATTAAGTAGTGTGATTTATAATATTATTATTTTATTATTGGTCGAGTTTTTAATATGTAAAAAATAAAAGGGTCATTTTATGGATAACATTGATACATTTTTTTTCTCATTCATCTCACGAATTTCATTCCAAATTATTGTTGAATAAAAACTTGTTTCATGACTTTGACCTATTTTAATTAATAGCAGATTTAATTTTGAAGAAGAATGTGGCTTTATGTGATGAAATGCTTTGTCACTGTTGTTGATGCTGAATCAAACTGTTCAAATTTTTTTGTTCTATTTATTAACATTTTGGGTTCAGACACACATTTATTTACTCACTACAAAAGTCATACTTCAATTTTGTTTTTTTACATGGTTGTTTGTATTACAATCAAATTAAGTCTTGGCAGTAGTTTTTTTTTTTTTTTTTTTATGAAAAATAATTCAGGCCTTGTGCCATAATTTTATGACATGGTTTTTCATTTATTTTTTACAAAATTAGGTTATTGAATATTTAAAAAATAAATTACTTGAATCTTCTAGGGACTTAAATCCTACCTAATTTTAAAATATATTATATAATTTGTACCTTATATATTTGGCAGAAGATTAAATACTTTATTTATGGTTGTTATTATGAAAACTAAAATCTTTATTATAGCAAAAATTATATAAATCATAACTTTATTTGCTAAAAAATAAAGTTAGACATTTACTCATCATTTCATTCTTTCTTTTTAATAATCTCATAATTTAAAATAATAAGTTTCAATTATTAAAATATAAAAAAATAATTCATGAAAATCATAACTAATTATTTAAATTTTATTCTTCAATTAAATGAATTCATTATATTTTCTGTATGTATATTTATATAATAGGCATTTTTAATATACAATTTTATATTAATATATTTTAAAAATAAGTTATATTTTAATATAAACTATATCTTAAAGATATTTACAAAATTAAATCAATATAATAATTCTGGTTGGAATTTTATAGGATAAACTCTAGTTAAAGTATTTATGCATTTATTTGTTCACTTTTATAAAATTATTATTCAGTTTTTAGTTTTTTTTTAAATTAGTTCATAATTAAAGGATGAGCATGCAAGCGTTAGCCATTTAGCTAAAAGTTATAGCTGTTAATGCTGATTATTTATTTTACTAAATTTGCAAGTTGATAATTGAATATGCTAAATTTTACATGAATTCATAAATATAAAACCATCTATTTAATATTTTAATAAAATTATCGTAATCATAATTAGTAGAGTTCGGTCAAATCTAATTAAGCTCTTTCATCTTTATTCCCTATCACATAATCTAGAAATATATAATTATTTTAATAGTGAATTTATTTATAAATATCTATATTTATTTATTTTAAGAAAAAACTACGAATTTATTTGGTTTTATTATATTCTTCTAGTTCAATAAATAAAATGAATTATTGTTTTAAATTAGTAATAATTAATATATATGTTTTGAAAATAATATAATTGTGTGATAACTTTCTAAATGTTTTTATTGTTATTTAATTGATCCTTCAATGTTGTTACAATTATAAGGCACATAAATTGAACTGATAAAAAAACAATTAACGTGGGTTTTAACTTTGTGTAAGGTAAACAAATGAAAAATGAATCTAAAACAGAGGATTAGAAAGATAAGTGTATTTATCTAAATTCTATCATTATTATACCTTGGGAAGCATAGTTGAACCCCACCTAGTGCATGCCTACATTGGTGTAGCAGAACGTGGAGCGTTTCTCCTGCAACAACTCTGAGGCAAAACCACTTTCTCCGTAGCCCAACTTCCCTAGCTTCCCTTTCCAAGTACAAAACCCTAAAATTTCTGTGCTTGTGGTAGAGCCAAGGGTAACAATGATTCATGATTTCTACAGTTTTCTACTCTCAAGTAAAATTTCGTTCTAGTGTCGTGAAAGGGTTTAGGGTTTCATCGTCTATTCTCTGCTCTTCAGGTTTGATCCACCTCATAATTTGTCAAACCGTTGCTATTTTTGCAGCGCAAGGTATTTTATTGCATTATAGGCTTTCTTCCTGTTCGGAAAATTTTGCTAGTTTAGTTTTTGAGAGTGAATGATAATATAAAAACATTGACAAATGCTCTGCTAGTTCTCTCAGTGAAAAGTGGAAAATTTATCTATGAATAGCAAACTGAAAATTTCGCCGAGGATGATAATCATCTTACCTAGTTTTTATTCTATGTTTTTTACACATGTTGTGTTGATTTTAATTTTATTTTTTTCTTGTGCTGTATGCTGGAAGATTTGTGGATGGACTTATTTTCAGAATAAGCTAGTATTTGTATTTTAAGTTTAAGCACTAAGCACGCCGTTAATCGTAAAATTTTCATTTGCAGATGTCCGGTAATCCAGGACGAGTCCGGGAGTCTGACTTTGAATACTATGAACGCGAGTATTATAAAGACCTGAAGGATGGATGCTATAAACTCCAAATCTCCAAGTCATCATATAGGTGCCCCTTTTGCCTGCACAATGAATACTCGTTGAATGAGCTTTTGAAGCATGCAGTGAGATTTGAAAGGTACTCACGGACCATGGTAAAAGATTTAGCTAAGCATTCTGCTCTTCAATTATACATTGAAAGGCATCTTGATGTCAATAATGGATCAGAAAAAGTTGCCCAAGATAGGCTAAGGAATGCTGTCCTTGATAAATCAGGAAATATTGTACATGATAGATTAAGAAATCGTGACGATGATAGACCGGTAAAGATTGTCAGTAATAGACTGGAAACTGTCAACGATACATCTGAAAATGTTGGCAAAGAACAACTATTTGTCTGGCCTTGGATTGGTGTTGTTGCAAACATTGCCACGGCATTTAAAGATGGAAAGCGTATTGGTGAAAGTGGTGCCAATCTAAGGGATGAATTTACTCAGAAAGGATTTCATCCCATGAGAGTTCATCCGTTATGGAACCGCAATGGACATTCAGGCTTTGCAATTATAGAGTTCTCCAAAGACTGGGAGGGTTTCACCAATGCCATGAACTTTGAAAGAAGTTTTGAGGCAGAACATTGTGGTAAGAGAGATTACTACATTTCACGAAACCTAGGGAAAAAACTGTATGGATGGGTAGCCCGTGATGATGACTACCACTCGAAGAGTATAATTGGTGATTACCTTCGCAAGACTGGAGATTTGCAATCTGTCTCTGAAAAGCAAGCGGAGGAGAAAAGGAAAACGTCACTGCTTGTCTCTGGTTTAGCTAAAACTTTGAAAGGGAAACATGAGAAATTGGAACAAGTATGCTGCAAATATGATGATGTTAATGTGTCCCTGAACAGAGTTATGGATGAGAAAGAAGCCATGATTGAATCATATAATAATGGTACGTTGAAGCTTGAAATGAATTGTTTATATATATTGTTTGCTTCTGCTTTTTTCCTTATAGCTTATTGTCTGATTCTGTGTTGAAAGGTGAAACCATTTGGTTGTGATCATATCTATCCTTTCCATATGGCCTACTTTTTGTTTTATTTTGATGCGAAAATGTTCTAATCTTTCTTGTTATCTTCATGTTTTCATTCTTCACTTAGAAATTAAAAAAATGCGTCAAGAAACCCGAAAAGATTGGGAGAAAATTTTTGTGGATCATGAAAAGGCCAGATTGGAACTGCGTGCTCAGAGGAAAATACTGGAGGACCGTGAGAAAGATCTTCAGAGATGTCGAGTGCAAAACGAGAATAAGAGAAAAAAACTTTACCTTGAAAAGAAAAACGTAATCATTTATTGCTGCTTTAAATTACGAATATTGCCACTTTTTTTTGTGAAGAGCAAATAATGCTCCATTAATTTAAATAATTTTATTGGTGATGAAATATGTTCTTCATCTTTTTCTATTGCAGAATGATATGGCAATGATGGAGCAAAACAAGGCAGATGAGAAAGTGGTGCATTTGGCAAAAGAACACAAGGCACGAATTGCATTTTGTTCTAAGTACCAGTAATTAGTTTAATTCCTTTGTGTGTATCCAAATAATGTTTTGACTGAGTTATTTTTGCGTTTGAAATGCAGAAAGAGAAGGAGAAAATGCATACAAAAATTATTGAATTACAAAAGAAACTTGATGCGAAACAAACATTGGAATTGGACATTCAACAATTGAAAGGAGCTCTTCAAGTAATGAAACACATAGGAGAGGGTGATGCCGAAGAGAAAAGAAAGTTGGATGCAATTAAAATGGAACTGGAGGATAAGAAGGAGGAATATGAAGGACTGGAAGATCTTCAACAAGCTCTCGTAGTCAAAGAACGGAAAACCAATGATGAGTTGCAAGATGCCCGCAAGGAGTTAATACGGGTATGTTTTTTCCTAAGCATAAATGTAGATCTGTTTGATATGATTGCTACTTTAGGCTTTTAGTTGAAAGGTCTTACGCAATTAATCATTTTACAAACTGGGAGAGAGGGCTTTTATTTGTCTAAATTACCTGGTAAAATTGTGCTCAAATATAAGGTTTCTCTTGATTTTTTTAGTTGACATGCAACTTACCAAATATAAGGTTTCTCTTGATTTTTTAGTTGACATGCAACTTGTTGTATATTCATCTGTCATCCATGTTTAGTAGTCTGCCTGTTATCCTTATATTCGTATAATTTGAATCATATTATTGATGATTAGCTGCAATAACTTTAACTCATCTGTTATCCATTTATTTGCAATGCACATGCTACAACATGTCGTGCTTTAACTCTTCCCTAAATGCTTCAGAATTGTAGTTTTTCAATGGGATCATCTTTGGTGAATCTTGATTGCGGTCCTTTGTCAATGATAATAAAGAATATATGAAAACTGTATATGATTGATTCTTTGTGCATTTGGGTATTTAAAGACTGTAATTTTGACTTTATGAAATCTTAGCATTAACTCTCTAGAATCAAAATAATAATAACTATCTAGAATTGTAATATTAACTACTTAAGATATCTACAAAATCAAAATGTTTCAACTAATATTTAAATTTATTATTTTCCATTTAATATTATCCAACAAAATTCTCCTGTAAAATTAAATGTTTCTCTTCAATTGACTGAGATCGGTCAAATATGTTCGACCTCACTACTTCTTTCCTCCTTCAACTCAGGTTCAACTTGTTGTCAACCCTTCATCTCTTCTTGAATATATGCTTCACATCAATAGGTTGCTCATGGCTTGACAATACAGTCATCGTCCACGTGTCGTTGTGTTCTATAACTTGGATCTTCTTGCCATAATAACTAGCCTCTTAATCTTTTTCCTACATTGTCCAACCCTAATATAATCATGCTCTTTTGGACTCAACTTTGCACACTTGTCTGTCAAAGCAATTTTATTCTCAAAGGAAACCTCAATATACTCATGCTCTTTTGGACTCAACTTTGCACGCTTGTCTCTCAAAGTAGTTTTATTCTCAAAAGAATACAATAATGAATGAGATCGAACAGGATCGTCTCGAAATCTCTATTCGGATTTAGCTCAATCAAGTTCAAACTGCAAAGAGTGAGAGATCCACAATCTACCGGCTTTGTTGTTTCTTTCTTTACTTTGTTCACCATTAGATATTGGTTTTCATTACGACCAACATTATGATCATTGTTGTTAGCATTCGCGTAGGGTCTTTAATTCTAGTTGTTGTTTTCGATCTCATTAGGACTCAAATTTTTGCATTTGTTTGTTGATGTAACTCGGCCATGTGGGCTTTAAGGGTTTCGATAAGCGCGGTTTGTTCCATGATCTATAGAAGAGGATTAATGATTAGTCATCTAATCTCTAGGTGCATGGGGGAAAAGTTTTACCTTGCCCCATAATGGGTGTCAAGTGTTGTTACCAAAGTTTGAAAAGGGTGTCCGAGCTCCTCTCTGATATGCTGATAATGGGTGTCAAGTGTTGTTACCAAAGTTTGAAAAGGGTGTCCGAGCTCCTCTCTGATATGCTGAGTAGGTGCAGGGAGATACCCGCCAAGGATTCTTCGATGCTCAAGTAAGTATGTGAGTGAGAAAGGAGAATGTGAGTGAAAATAATGAGATTTTGGACCTATTTATATAGGGGTGGATTATCGAGATAATATGGATATTTATCTTTATCCGTTAAGTGATTGTGGAGAATCTCAGAATAAGTTGGTGCTCATGTACCTCAAGTACATAGGGATGGCAAAATGGGCCAGCCCATCCCGTTTTGGCTTGTCCCGCCTTTGGCCGCCAAAAGCGAGGCGGGGCGGGCTGACCCGTTATAGTCATGACGAGCTGTAGACTTTGGTCCACCCCGCCATAATTAAAAAAAAAATAAAATAATTTTATAAAATAATTTGTTTTTAATAAATTTAATAATAAGATTATTATTTGTTTGTCGATGATTCAATATATATATATATATATATATATATTATTTCAATCTAATAATAATAATCAATACATTATTTTAAGAAATTATAATTTAGAACAATAATAAAATTTACATAATAATAAATAGTAACATATATAACGTTGAAACTTATAAAATTTATATTTTTTATATTGAAAAATTCAAATACCTATATCTTTTTTATTTGATAAAACTTCATATTATTCTTGGTTGATTAATTCTTACACCTTTAATTCAAGTCATAAGGATAAAAATAATCAATGCTTAAGATGAATAAGGAGAACATGAGAGAGAAGGTTGTGTTTTAGTAAGAAGAATATTTTTTGTGAGGGTGAAACTTTTTTAATTCTCTTTTTAAAATTTTTAACTTTATATATTATCTTTATAATTAATTTTATTACAATAAAAAATTATTTTTTATTAATTTGGCGGGTCGCGGGCTGGTCAGTCTCGTCCGGCGGGTTGGCGAGCTTGGCGGGGCGGGCCAAAGAGGGCTGGTGGGACTGAAAACACCAACCCGCCCCGCCGGGCCTGACCCGTTTTGCCATCTCTACAAGTACACGGTTATTGGCGAGATGCTCAGTTATGATTGATATACTAAAAAATTGTTGAGTTATCCGGTTCGAGTATCTAGATGCTTAGCTGGTTTGGGACTAGTTAGGTACAATCACCATCATGAATCAACTTCGTTAGATCACAAAAAATGTAGGTGATTAGATCGATGATCTCTTTTCAACGTGTCCTCTACATTTAGTTTCAGATACCTTTCTTGAATGCTTTTCAGTTGCAACTTGTATATTCTGTTCTTTCCCATCTCAACTAAAACAATAAACTTCTTGAGCTTATCCTTAAAGTGTAGTACTCAGTTCTTCATGAAAACTGAGTATCTCTTCTCCATAAGTTATCCTATACTCAAAAGGTTACTCTTGAGATTAGGAACATAGTACACATCTTGGATTGACTCGACTAGACTATTTTTCTATAAGAAACAAATAATACCTCAATCTTTTACTAAGACTTTCGAAGCATCTCTAAAAGACACATCACTGACCTCAACTTTCTTCAATTCGTTAAATATGTGCTTGTCCCCACACATGGTTATTTGCACTCTTATCCAGATACCATACCGAATTGTGTTTGGTATCTTTCCGAACTACATTATTGCTATTTGTCGAGTTAAGATTGGCCTTTAGAACTATTGCTTCTGCCTCTTCTATGAATTAGGTCTCTTCCACTTTTTTCTAAGCTCAACATTCTTTTGCAAAATGTCTTACTTTACCCAACTGCAACACTTTTTCGAGTAATAATTCTTTGCATAGTGGTCATATTTGCCACACTTAAAATACTCAACGTTTAAGTGACTCGTCACCTGATCTCTTATTCGGCCACACCAATTTTGTTGGTTTCCTTCTTTTTCCTCCAAACCTCTTCCACCTCGGTCACTTTGGCTTCAACCATTACATCCTTGTCCTCTACCTTACGTATTCTGAGAATGGAGAGTTTTCTCTTCTTTCACAGAGTAAGAGCGTTTATTATTGGCTCTTTTTTTTTTTTTTTTCCAATACTCATGGGCTTCAAGAGAATCAACCAACTTTTGTACTGTGAACTTGGATAGGTCTTTTGATTCTTTTATTGCATACACTACATTTTCAAAGTCATCGATTAACGACCTCACAATCTTTTTCATGATATGGGCTTTAGAAAGCGCATCTCCATTTTGATTAAGCTTATTCAGCATGGTTTGAATGCGTGTAATGTGCTCGGAGACTCCTTCCGATTCCTTCATTCTCATGCTCTCCATCTCACCATGTAGTGTTGGTAGCTAAACTCGTTTGACTTGATTATCGCCCTTGTATGCTCTCCCCAACGCTTCCCATGCTTCTTTTAAAGTTTGAACACTTATTATGTTCTCAAATTCGGATTCATTATTTGCTCGGTACACATATATAGGATTGCGTTATCCTTCGCACACTTCTCTTTCAACACTTTGTTTGCGGCTACCGAAATTCCTTTGCTGCTTTCTGGATCTTCAAAACCATTATTGATTATCTCCCCATTATCTTAGGATCTAAGAAGGACCTTCATTTGGAGACTTCAATTATCATACTTGACTGTCTTTGTCATTCGGGACAGGGTCATACTGTTTGCTAAATTTGTAATCACTCTTTTTAAGCTCTCTCACACTCAAACATTCAAACCCTAACTTTTGATACAATTTAATAACAAAGAATTTTTAAAAACGATATATTGATTTCTTTGTCATACCAAATAAGAATTACATTTGAGTATTTATAGACTACAACTTTGATTTTTTGAAATCCTAGTATTAACTCTCTAAAATCAAAATAATAATTATCTAGAATTGTAATATTAACTGCCTAAGATATTCAAATAATAATTATCTAGAATTGTAATATTAATTGCCTAATATATCCCTAAAATCAAAATATTCCACCTAACATTTAAACTTATTATTTTTCATTTAATTTTATCAAGGGTCAAATGCTTATCTATGATGTATATTTGTTGGTGTCCAAGGGATATGATTTGAATACACGTGGTTTATATTTTTTGAAAAAATTGGTAGCTTTAGGTCCAAACCTATTGTCTATAAAACTGGTCTGATGCTTAAGCTTTTGTAGCAAATGTGCTGTTTAGTTCAGCTAGTTTCTTGTGTTACTGTTATTAGGATGGTTTTGACTTTCCGTGAGTAATATAATTTCCTTGTTTACAGTGGCTGGTGAAGACAAACAGTAATCGGGCTATTATTGGTGTTAAAAGAATGGGGGAGCTTGATGAAAAGCCCTTTGTGGGAGCAGCCAAGAGAAAATTTTCTGGTGATGAAGCGGCTGTGAAAGCAGTGGAGTTGTGCTCACAGTACGAGGCTTATCTTAGAGATCCAAGCTGGTTTCCAATTAAAGTTACAGTAGATAAGGAAGGAAAGGCCAAGGTACACTGATTTCCAGAATTACGCATACAAATTGAAGCCATCTTTTTTCTATCCTTGGGAACTGTTCATGTGGCCATTTTAATTGCGTACTGCCTCGTTAGCCTACTTTAAAATTTCATTACATCATTTCATAAATGTTAAAATTGGCGTATGCTGTAGATATTGATCAAAGATCTATTGGCAGGGTAAGATGCCCCCACTCATATTTTGAGCACATAGTTGGCCCCCTTTTTTTTTTTCCTGATGTTCCTACATGGATCACAATCTAATATATGGTGGATATATATAATGCAGGAAGTTTTAGATGAAGAAGATGAAAAACTGAGAACTTTAAAGGATGATTTTGGTGATGAGGTGTATGGAGCAGTGACTACAGCTCTGATGGAGATGAATGAGTACAACCCTAGTGGTAGATACCCCATACCGGAGATATGGAATTCAAAGGAAGGAAGGAGGGCATCGTTAAAGGAGGGTGTTTCACACTTACTGAGGCAATGGAAATTGCGAAGGAAGTAGGAAGTTAAGTTGGACACCATGCGGAACCAAAATTTTAGGTTCTTCCTATTATCGGGGACGTCCAATTTAGTTCATCTCTATGTAGTATGTAGTATGATACATGGAATACTGATATCATGTCATGCTCCTTTTTCGCATGTGATGATCGCCTTTTTATTTTTCCCTCACCACATTTTAGTCTAGAATTTATTTGAAATATAACAAGGCCTTTCCGTAAACATGACTCTCACTTTTAGAACAACAAGCACAATATATTCCATCTTATTCTAATTCTAAATATTTAAATATCTGTCGCATAAAGATTAATTTACATAAAATTTTCAATAAATTTATTAATTTCTTTAATGATATATTTATTATTCTAATATTTTCTTATTATTAAAAAGTTGCTTTTAATAATTTGTTCTTTTTTTATCTATTGATAATAATAAAGAAATTAGTTTCAATGTAAACCAAACTTTGATGTTATTTTGCACATCAGAATCTCAAGTTAAAGTTTGACTTTTTCTGAATTCATGGTACTAAATCTTTACTGTATTATAATAATCATTATTTTTTACAATATCTTTAAACAACTTACACCTAGTTTTTGTTTTCAATAAAAGATGTTTCAGAGAATTCCAATTATACATAATACTTTAGCTTTTTTTAGACACTTTGAACAAAATTACGCATACTAAGAAAAATAATTAATTCATCTAACTTCATTGATTTTTTAACTTTTTTTTATGCCAACATAATTACATTATACTTTCATTTTTACCCTTATTAATCATCGTTAAAAACTTATAATAACAAACATAATCATGTTTTTAGTATGGACATATCAGAAAATGGTTACTGAAATTGTAAAATGCCTTAACATATTATTTTTTTCAAAATTAGGTCATATAACGTAGATTAAAGGAAGTAGTATTTATTAATATAATTAATTAAAATTTAAACAATTTATTTAGTTAAAAAATATTTTTTTCTTGGAAAGTCAATTAATTGAATAGTTGATAATATTTAATGTAAAAATAATTAATATACTTAATTAAATTCATTTTCTTTTCTATACAAACTCATTCTCCCAACTCAATTAGTTATTTATTTATAAATAATAACTGCTTGAAGAGTTAATTGGGGAATCAACTTACAACTTATTATATCATTGAACATTCATTCAATCGAAAATTAGTTTTAAATAACTTGAACTTTCCTTAAATTTTTCTGGAGAATTTCTAAATTGTTTTAAATTTTGTACAATTTTATTTATAAAAAGAAAATTTAATATAAAATCAAAATAAATACTACAAATTACATGTTTCCTATATATAAAATATTGACCAGAAATATTTTCATTAAAAATGTTCTTAATTCATCATTAATACATAAGTCATTATTATCACATACTGCAAATCCAAATTAGCATAAATCAGTTGATAAAAAGTATTTTTTTCTCCCCAATAATTCCCTTTCTTTCATCTTAAACAGTATTTCATCTGATAATGTTGAAAGTGACAATGACTTTGTGTAAAATTTTTCTTTTAATCACTTTTAAGCACTCATTATTAAAAATCTTCCAAAATGTAATAATAATATAAAAAATTAATATTTTTATTCAGATAAAAACAGAAAAATTAAGTAATTTATAAGTAAAAAACTTATAATCTAATATCATGAGATTTTTAAGTTAAAAATAATGTCTTATTTACATTTTTTTTGTTATTAACCGCTAAATTTATTTACATAAAACAAATTATATTTAAATAAATTACTAAATTTTCTTATTTGATAACATGAAAGAGTATAAAGTAAAAATATTATTTTTTTATTTTAATAAATATATTTAATTTTTTTCTTATGCATGAAAAAAGAGAGTAAAAAATATGAAAGAAATATTATTTTATAAAATATCTTCTTATTAATAAATATTTTAACAATTTAAAAATAATTATAAATGTAATTTTATAATGATCCAAATATTAAATTATAATTAAGTAATAAATTTTATTGTTATTGGCGAACGCAAAGGAAGCAAGAAACATTACGAATATAATTATAAGAAATTAGGAGAAGTATGCTGTAACTAAATATTAAACCATTAATCCAACATTTTTAAAAAATAAAAATGCTAATTAGCCGCGGGCTACATTTTCCCTAGCCGCCTCAGCATCACCTACACTAATCGGAGCGTACATCTTCACGCGCGCACCCAACATTACTTAATAATAATAATAAAAAAAGAAAACTATGAAAGAACAAACCCACCACCAACGTTAAACAAAAGTTAAAAGCTTGTCATGCAGAAGCTGTCACTCACTCACTCATTCATAATCACTAATCATCTTCCCCTGCACTCCATCACAGTCTTCAAAACATGCAGTCAAAGAAGATGAAGATGTATGGGTAAAAATGGAAATAGATAAATGGTGGTGGTGGGATTGGGAACCCAAACGAAAAAAACGATCTTGTACTTTTTATATATGGATATATATTAAGAAAATAAAATAAAACAAAAAAGGGTGAGTAATCAATCAGACTCAGATACGAAAGTTTTTTCCGGTGAAAGTTTGACCAAATTGCCAACTGGGTGGAGCAATGTTCCAAGAGGTGGAGGAGCGACGGTCACTGGCGGTGACTCTGAAGGACAAAGCTTGTCCCACCAAAACCGCGTTTGACTGCCAGTTTTGACCCCAGTTCCGGCTCATCGGCATCCACCCAGTTCGCGACCCCTTCACGTAGGTGTGCACCAGATCCCCTGCACCCGCCACGTTGCTGATCAGCACCAAGTTGAAGTAACGGAAACCGTTGATCGTGAACCTTATCCCTCCTTGCTTTCTACATGGTACCCTGAACAAAACACCAACCAACCAACGTTAACCACCAACCAACTAATAAAACCGCTTTAAACCTTTTCTTTCAATAAATGTCTGTACCTGCGGTAGGCGACAGGTACGATGCCGGCGCGGTATTCGGCGATTTTGAGGAACATGGGCATGGCGAGGTCGAAGTGAGGGCGAGGGGGGTTGCACCACCCGCCATTGTCGTTCGGAAGAGCGTAGTTCGGAGGACAGAAGTTAGTGGCTGTGATGAAGATGGAAGGGCTTCCGGAGTGACACCACTGTTTGTCGTTTGCGCATTTTATCTCAAAGCACGCGCCGCAGCTGAAGCCATTATTGAACAGTGCTGTGCTCAACGCCGCCGTGTTCACTCCGTACCCTTGGCTGTACAGGTTTCCATACCCACAAGCTCCCCCTGAAAACACACACATTGTTAGGGAAAATGATAAACGTTCAAGACACAACATGTTACATGCTGCATGTTACATAGTACATAGTACATACCCATGGTGCCGGAAGCATCCGATCCTCCGTAGAAGGTGGCGTGAGCACTTTGCCACGCGCCGCCGGTGTAAACTCCGGGAATTCGAGCCTCCACCATCCACATTATGGACGTAAGGCACAGTGCTATACTGAGCACACCCATTTTTGTCTCGAGTGAGGAATTAGCGAAGAGCAAAGAGAGATAATGGGGATGAGTATTGAGTGGGTAGCGAGTGGGGATGGAGTACTTATGGACGAGAGCTCAAACCCTCTTCACTGTGGGGGCCACATTTCCAATTCTCCAACTCCTCTCTCTTTATTAAAAATCTTACCTTTTTTACTTTATTATGTAATTTTAATTGTAAAAGAACCATTTTTTTTTTCTTTTTACTAATTTATTTTATAAATAAATTTGTTCCCACCAAAGCTCACTGCACTATGAAACTTCCAAATTCTGTGGGCTCCATGCAATATAATATAATAAGTACCGTATGTTGGGAGTGTACTGCACTCACACGCTCTTAAACTGCGAGTGGTGAAATTTTCGGATTTTGCTTTTTTTTTTTTTTAACTTTCTAAACTTTGTTTTCATTTTGAAGGAGGGACACGATCATCCAACAGACAATGTGAAAAGGACAAGCAAACGAACCAAATCTTTGGGAAATTGGTTATCGGAACTCAAATGAATGCAGTAACCATTCTCTGTTCAAATCATAACATGTTTCCAGCTCATTTTCTTCTGATGACATCAGTATCTGTAAGTAACTGCTATTAATGGTAAACCTCTCTGATAAGGTAGTTTTTCGTTCCTTTATTATCTGTTATAATAAAAAATCAGTAATAACAACAAATGTGAAGAACACGGCATGATTGTGTTAAAAGAAAAAACGAGAGATTAGTGGGTGGCGTGATGCGCGGGTTGATTAGAGTAGGTGAATCCTCCAACGACATAATTTATGATATAAATCATACAAGTGTCACGCGTCAACCAAGAACGACCAAAATCAATATACTCATCTTCAATACAATGTATATGCATACTGTATAATACTGATAATAAACGGGTTATGGACTAATGCATCGTAATTTCCTTTTCATTTCACACTTAGTCTATCATTCTCTCTCCAAAATCACTTCATTCAAAGAAAGTGTAAATAGTGAGGGGGAGATGAGAGAGAAGAAAATGAAGGAAAAGCAGGAACAGAATACACACTAAGAAGAGTGGGTGGTGGAGCCTCTCCTCCCCTTAATCATCGCTCCGTTCTCAATGCCCTTTAACTGTGTGTACGTGGCCCACCCTAACCCAACGCACATGCATGCATGCATACATAAAATATTTTCTATTCTATTTTAATAATCCTACATCTAAATAAGAATAGGGGAAGTTGTTTAACATAGATATATTTTTATTATGAACGAAACAAATTGGATAGTTAGTAGCATTGGATACCCCAAATATGAAAAGCTGATTGATGATGAACAGTTTCCTGTTTATATCCTACATTTTCTTAGCTCATCATTTGATTCCTCTTTTTGGAACATTCTTATGTTGTCAAAGTGCATAAAACATATATCCCACTCGAAAAAAGAAGGGAAATTTGTTCTGAGCAAAACCAGCAAATTCAAAGTAAAGCTCAAGCTAGACTGTTGATGGCAGAAACGCATACCATACTATGGAGTTGTGATGCATCACACACACAACCAAGTACGTATACGACACCCTAAGCAACATTCATTTAGAACCCTATTTTCCCCAAGCCAATGTCATATGTTTACAAAGCCTTACGTTGTTAATAACAAAAATGGGTTAGATTTTTTATGTAGATGTCCTCTTGGCTTGAAAAGGGAATCCAAACATTGTCAACAAGGACATGTATGTGTTCTGCTTTTCTCTTTTCAATGGGTCAACAGTCAACTGTTTTTTTGTTTTACTAATAATATAATTTGTAGGAAAAACATCCACGTACCTAAATTCAAATTTTGTAGATGATATAACCGAGTTTGGTCATGTAGAAATATGATTACGTTTAGCCCCACCTGAAGACTTGTGTTTCGTCAATCTTCAATCACCAAGCATCATGGTGCAGTCACGTTCTTGTGATTATGATCCGTCGCAAAATAATCAAAAGTGCTCAACCTCATAATTACTTTTTTATTTTTTACAATTTCAATCTTTTAACGAGTCAATAAGAAAGAAGGGTGTATAAATATAGTGACGGATTCAAGAGTTACATTGACCTTAGTAATCTGAGATCTTCTCGTTATTCCCTTCGTTTTGTTTGTATTATATTTGTCAACAATACCATGTTCTTATATGTTACTAAATTTAATGTCCCAATGCAATTTCGTTTGAACGATTTAAAATTATGACTCCGTATGAAGCCATGTACGACGGGAATCGGTTTGTTAATATGCTTTTGGAATGTTTCTGATTGGACACTATCCATGATTTGTAACTTGTTGAGTTTAATTGGGTAACTTGGTAATCGTGTAATCACTCCGAGTTTAAAGCCAAGAAGAAGAACTGTTTAATCTCGTGTCTCTGATTCCTTTCCCTATAGGTAGTACAAGCACGAGGACAAAACTTTTGACATAAAATAGAAGGCAAATTCGTAGCATAATCATATAAAATTGACCAAACCAGAAAACAGGATTAGTTGAATAATTATTTCTTCAATTTGATGCACTGTATTTCAATGAATTGAATTGAATAGTTTCTGTGTTCTAAACCAAACTAGTAAATAGAATAACTCATTAGAAGAAAAGTTGTTATCTGAATGCTTGAGGGTTGTGTTTTCAATTAATACAACGACTTATTAGGTGGGATAGGGATTATATGATACCTGACCACTTTTATTTGCTGACTTAATTTATTTATTTATTTTTTCACTTTTTGAAGGGAGTATTTTTCACGTTTGGTGATGATCTTTTTGGCCTTCACTTTCCACAAGAACACACCATATTCTGAATGTGGAGCATGGACTAGAGAACGGGGAAGATTTGGTGCCACCATTTTAGGCTTAATTGCTGGGGGCATACACCATGCTTTTGATTTATTGGGTCATTGAAGACCAAACGCACTCCTCCACAACGAGCTTTTCCCTTTTGAATTGAAAGCAAAACCATAGTGGTTGGTTTGGTTGTAAATAGACTCATTCTCTTTAACTAAAATATGACATATTAAATGCTTGGAGTAAAGTTAGTCAACAAATCTCCATTTCCCATAAGCATCTTGACCTAAACTTTCTCAAATTAACTAATAAATTTGGACCCGGAGGTGGCGTAATTTAAGACCTTCTTGCAATGGTGTGGATGCAACTTGGAATGCGGCACTTTGTCTTGCACATGCTCTGTGATCAAGAGAGAGCAAAGATAGTCCAAAGATTGCATGTGGGTGATTGGTGTGAATGTGTGATGAAGAATAGACCAAAATCCCCACACCATTCACAAAAACGTAGAGAAGATGGGGTGCCCCACCAAGTTGCAAATATTGAGTTACTTCCTGCAAGTTTATCCATTTCCATCCCTTTCACTGATCTTCCTTTCCATGTGATATTCAATATAAAGCTAAGAATGCATTCATTCTATTCGTCAAAATTTGTGGCTTGGTGTGACCCAAGGAAAATATCACCTCCTTCTAACAAAGACACATTGGATGTATTGGTCAAAGGATACTTTAATTTTCAGTAGTAAATACAATCCATCTTTACTTTACTAACCACTTATACAGAGCACCGGGAATTCTGCTTCTTCACTCATCATGGGGTAAAATTTAGATTCTGTTGAGAGAAGACCATAGTGAAAATATATACACAACACATCATGGGATTGTTCCTGCTTTGGTTTACAAGACCCTACCTTGTTCTTCTCGAATGATTTCATGCACTTAGAATGGATATACAATAGACAACTGATAGAGGCGATCAATACCGGTTTCACAGAAAAGAGGAGACATTTTCAGTCAAATCGACAAACTCATTCATTACACCTTAAATTAAGTAACAAACATTTTCAACAAGATAGACGTGTCAAATGTTTTTTTCAAGTGAGATGTGTCATGTTTGAATCATACCGTTTTATAAAACATTTAACTTGCTGAGAAGAAATTAAAATCAGTTTTTTTTAGAAGTTTTCAAGTTAGTTTATGGTACAGTTCATGCATTACCAATTATAATACAATGTTTAACTTAAATCTTAAGATATTAAGTTTGTGGTTGTTTTTCATTCATGCATATCTCAACTTTTCCATTCGAATTCCTACTTGGATCCCAACACCATTATTGATTTACATGAACATATATATACCTTACTAACTCAGACGCACCCCCTTTTAATTTCCACTTCTGGAGGAAATAATTTGTGCCTAACACTTTCATGTGCCCTGTTAACTTTTCCAAGATTGCCTTCAAAAGGAATTTATATTGAAAAAACAAGCAAGAAGAAGGTTGAAAATGTATTATGACGAACAATGATGATGCCGTAGAGTAGATGTACTGAATTTGGCATGCATGCAGATGAAGTAATCATATTCATAAGCCTTGCCCTGCCTTCAACTTTGGACCATTTTATTGTATCAATGGACTACTTTTACTTCGCTGGAAAGCCAAGTTTTCTCTTAAGCTAATTGCAATAATCATAAAGCTTCATGTTCTAATCCCACAGGAGCACCATGTCAAATTGTCTGTACTTTTTCTTCGTTTCTCCTTTTGGGGTTCCAAAGATTATGGAGCAACTAACTTCCTTCTTTATAGTCTTCTTCGTATTTCCCAACCACCATTGTCGAAAGTACCAACTACCATACCATCACATTTAACTACTTGTTACAACATGCTAAAGGGGGGCCACAGAATAAGGAAAGGAGATTTGAGGTGAGAGGGGGAGAAATCATTTACCATCCACCCTACAAAGCATCAATGATCCTTTCTTCATACCACTGGTCACATATTCACCCAATCCAACCGTAAAAAATTAGGTGGCACATCAGAAACTCTTGAAAATAAACGTACCCTATAATGACAAGAGTGTTGAACTACTAGCAATTGTTTTAAGTTAGTATTAGTAATAATCTCACTAAAGTGACAATATATTAAATGCTAATCTGATACAACATTGTTGCTCAAGATCCATTGCATTCTAAGAGAAAGAAAAAATTGTGGCAGGGCAATTTTCTAAATATACTGCAAGCAATCATTCTTAACCTCTGTGCACTTGGGTGTTGATGTGAATCAATATTTGTTGTAAGTTGCTATGGTTAGTAAAGCTTGGAACATGGATGAGGTCATGAACTTGATCTATAACTTGAGGATAGCATGTCATTGTTAGTTACATTCTATTGTTAGGTGAAATCGTCCATCAAGACCTTCCTTAGAAGATGCTGGTCTCTGTTATATGTTTGATTAACCTCTATTTCTGCATGTTGAAAGGGTATTATTAGTTTTAATATTTGCTTGGTTCTGGTGAATTTGAGCAAAAAGAAATAAAGGGGAAAAATGGGAGATAAATAAATCAATTCTTTTTTTATTGTGATACAAAAATAGATGAAAAACTAAAATAAAAATATCTTCTTTTCTCAACTCCTTTAAAAGCATTTATTTTGATCTCACCTAAGAGTATGTTACAGCCAATTTCTACTTTTATTTTTCATTCTTGTTTTTCTCTCACACCTTTACTTCCTAAACCAAACATGTCCTAACAGAATTCTACCCTTTTTTAACTTGAGTTTTATTTTATTATTATTTTTAATCTGTATAAGTTTAAAATCATACATTTTATATTATTATTTTCAGTTTTAAAAAATAAACTTGATAAAAAAATTTCCAAACGAAATTTAGTGTCCCTTACACAGAATTGTGTCAAGTTGAATTTTCCAGTTGACCTTTTTTCGAAATTGTGCCAGTGAATTTCAATTAAGAATGACAAAAGTCATTATCTAATAAATTCAACATTATTCATCTCTTTCAAAAAATTCAAAATAGATACTAAGGAGGTAAAAAATAATTTCTTATTGACAACACTCATTAGTTTAAACTAGCTTTTTGCACTAATTTTTTTAGAAAACTTTAATAGAAATATTATTTTAATGCAATTGTACAATCATAAGTTTCTAATCCATTATCAGTGTTTACCTATTTCTCAGTAAAAATCAGTCTAAAAATCTTGGAGTATTATTAAATTATGTCTATAGATAACAAAAAAATATAAATTCCTTAAAATCGAAGAATTTTTTTTATATAAACAATTCTTTTCCATTTAAAAAAAATTATGTTTATGAGATTTATAATAATAATTTTTTTAATAAAAAATTTCATTGAAGATGTTCTAATTATTAGTAAAAAACTTAAATAAGTTTCTTGAAGGCGATTACCATAAACTTGATATTGGGATATTTCATTATACATCCCACAATTTTTTACCACCTTCCATTTATTTTAGAAAAAATCTATTAATATAATTTTTACACTTTGAAAAGCTTATTAAATGAATAGGAGGTGAAAGAAAAAAAAAATAGTGGAATGTAGGAAACATAGATCATCAACTCAGGCATTGACTACTTTTACCCCCACAAAAAAAAAATGGTATCAATTCAGTGGTCTTGTGTTGAAGCTAGAGAAAACGCATGAAAAGCAATTCAGCTTCATTTGTCAATAATCAATTGGTCACTGCACTGGATTTGTGATCCTAACCAGTGTTGGTCCGTTGATGCCTTAGCATTTAAAGGTAAAAAAAATTAGAGATATCACAAACCCCATGTGTCAAAGGATATGAAAATTAGAAAATTTTGGATGTCTACCAAATAATAGAATCGTTGGATTAGCACTGTTTAACAAAAGGAACTGACGCCAAATAAAAGCCAAAGCTAAATCTAAATTATGCAGTTTATTTACAATCAATCCATCTGACAAGTATTTTTGCTTCTTTTTCAATCACACAAGATACTAGCACACTGTAATTCTCTATAATGGCAACAATATACTAGTGATGGTGGTCATAACAACCCTTATTGCCTGTCTAGAAGAAATAATTTCTCTGTATGATGATCATATACACACAAGTTGTTTTGAAGGCATTTGTATTAATAAATGTTGCACGTGTAATCTATCAATTGCAAAGTCGAGAACATATCTGTTGTTGAGCATTCGTTGAGCTAGTATTTGTAAGAGGAAAAATGCCACTTCTCCCATTGCTCAAGCATGTTATGTTAAGCTGGTTTCCCGTTTGGATTGACTGCAGCATTGCATCAGAAAATATCAGTATCAAAATCAGCTTAGATATATGAAAAACAATGTAAGCAATCTTCTTAAGCTTATGTGTTAGAATTCCCAGGCATTAAAGAGCACTAACCTCACAATAAAGTTGTTGTGATTTGCAGCTCCATTTTGAGGTAGGGACACAGCTTAAGTAATGACACCATGAGCAGTGATCATTCAAGTTAACACTTTGAAGAAGTAAAATCAGCCCAGTAATCATCCTGTCAAAATGTAGAACGCTCAGATTTGGGGACATGGTGTGATAAATCAAACTGCAGATCACAAAGGTAAACAATACGAAAATAGTACTTCACAAGCCAGAAAATTAATCTTGCTGTGGAAGAAAAACAAAGGCAATATACAAAGAACTCAGAGCAAGGAGGATCAAGAAACATCCTAAAGGGGAGAAAAGCCAGGAAAACGAATCCAAAGAGAGACCAGTTAAAAAGAGCTTTACAAAGCCTTTGTACAGCCCGTGAGCAGACATTCAGAAGCTTAGATCACCTAGCAGGCTAGCAAAATAGAAGGTAATGTTCAAAACAGAAAGGAAGAAAATAAGAGATAGAGAACTAACCCAGCAATCAGTAGTAGGAAGGATATGACCCACAGTACATACTGATAAGGTTTGTGCTTATATTTCACCGGAGGTGCAGCATATCCAGAGTTAGAATTCCTTTGTCTACTATTAACCCATTTGAACTGGGGGCGGACCAAAAAGATAAACCCAAGAAGAAAGCCAGAGACAAATCCTCCAATATGAGCAAAATTGTCCACGTGTGGAAGAATTCCAACAGCTAAATTGATTAGAACGATGACCATAAGAGTCAATAAAGCTGCAAACTGCAAAAGAATACAAACATAGAATGGAGAAGAAATAAAATGTCAGTTGCACAAAGTCATAGCGGGAGGATCATTTAATAGGAAGCACTCACTACATTATTGAATTGAACAAATTTATTGAAGCATTCACCTTATTGGCATAGATTGTCCAATTTATCAACAGCTCTGATAGCATGCCCCCTAGTAAACCAAATAATGCACCAGAAGCACCAACAGAGATACCTTCTGGTATGAATAGAGCAGATAGCAAACTCCCTCCAAAACCAGATATCACATACAGAAATCCAATTCTAACTGCAAGGACGAGCAAAGTGGGCATTACAATCTGAAATGAGATTGTTGCTAAAATCTGCCAAGTTTCTTGACTTCCAGAATATTCATGCAATAAACCCTTAATAATGTGATTTTCTTTTCGTTGTCATGGAAAAGGGAAATGATATAATGGGACAATGCAAAGATAATTACCAGAACCATACCAAATCCAAATTCTTGCTCAAGGCGAATTCCAATAAAAAGAAGACTCAACATGTTGGCAAGCACATGAACAACTCCACCGTGCAACCATATGCAAGACAAGAGGCGCCAAACCTCGTGTCTATGAACCACTTTATCCACTTGAAGAGCACCCATCTTCTCTAATCTAAAGAAATTTTATTTAAATAAAAAATGTCAATAGCACAATTAAAACAGCTTCAATACAACAAATATCAATATATGTACCAACATAGTAACATTAACAAAACTGGTTACAGTATCCATTAGTAATTGTAACAAAATATATGAAAGATGATTAAAGTGAAGTAAAGTAAAGAAAACAGTGTTTTAAGGTGAGGGGAGAAACAAGAACTGACGTGGAGGAAGAAGGACCTAAGAGAGGGTTTTCTTTAAGTGGCTGAAAAGAGAATCTTCCAAGGAAAGAGGCAACGCATGACGAACTACCAGTGAAGGAATGCTTAGGGCAATCGTTAATATACATGGTGACGATGAAGACGACAATGTTGGCCACCACGAACGTGGGCACGAGCCAGGGGAACCAGCGCTTGAAGAGGCTGAAATGGCGATCGTAAGTGGCGGGGGGACTCGGCGGCGACGGCGAGGGCATCCGGGCGGTGGAGTCGCGGCGCGGATGGACCTTGACCTCGACGGTGGCAGAAGATGGGTCGCTCCCCATCGTGATCCTCGTCGTCGACCCTTTGTCAAAAGGTTGTAGCTTTTTATCTAACGCATTGGAATGATTAAGATTTGGGGTTTTGGGAGTTAGCTAACGGAATCCAACAAAGGGCAACGAGGCAGATTTGGAAATGGGTGGTTGGGTGTTCTTCATTCGCATGGTCTTGTTTCTTGTTTTGTTTTACACCATTTTCTAACTAATGCCACTTACCATGCCAATCTCACTTCTTCTGTCTTTTCTCATTTTTAATTTTTAAATAAATATATAATTCTACTAATATTTTAAATGCAGTTCTACACTGATGATTATTAAAATAAATCTCATAATATTTTTTTGGTACATAAAAAAACATAGAATTTTGACTAAAAGAACCTTGGAAGGTGATTTTTAATTACGCACAGAACACATACACTGTTTTGTACGCATTCTTCGAGCATTCCAATTTCTAAAGCAATCCTTGCATTGTATTTCAAGCAACAAGTTCAGTTACAGTGCTCCATTAACTGCCAAAAAACAACATTCTCATTCTTTTCTTCCACATAGATTTTGTTTTAAATAAGAAAACTATAAATTATTAAGCTGTAGAAATAAAAATACTATTATTTAAATATTTTTATGAAAATATCATAATTTTATTAAAATTAGGTTTAGAAGTATGAACATGAAAGCGTTTGTAGTCCAACGGTTAGGATAATTGCCTTCCAAGCAATAGACCCGGGTTCGACTCCCGGCAAACGCATTGGAATTTTTTTTTTCTTTTTCTCTGCAAAGAAAAGACAAAGAGCATTAGAGGACGAACGAGATTCATAGATTTGGGGGCGAAACCAAATCCAATTAGGTGACGCAATTTCATGAATTTGAATCTCTGTCTCTATTCATTTATGTGGTTGGGTTCTCTCTGTTCTTTTCCATTTTCTATTTTAAAGCGTAACGTAAGAGGAAGAAGCACAACTCCAGTGAAAGTGAAAGGTGATGGGAGGCGCGTGTAGCAGCAACGCCTTCGCCGCGGTGCAGTTATCGATATCCAGATTCAGAAGCAACCGCACCGTTTCTTTGTTCTCGGTTCGAGCCTGCGACGACCCTCCTCGTGGCCCATCCTGCATATACGTTGGCCCCCTTCACACCGCCACCAAAGAAACCCTCGAAGCTCTTTACTCTCAGGTCACGTCTTTTCAATTAACCCAATTACCCCAAAAGAATGATTAATTCCCCACCCGTTGAAGGACTAATGCAATGAACGTGACTGTTTATAGGCGCGGGATGCGTATTACAGTGGAGAGCCTTTGATACTCGATGACATGTTCGATAGAGTAGAGGTATCTCTCTTGAATTCACCACTCAACATTACATTACGCATTTAAGCCTTTTGATTATATATTGACTCGTCTATGGAAACAGTTGAAGCTTAAGTGGTATGGTTCCAAGTCAGTTGTCAAGTACCCTCGATGCAGTATCCGGAGGCATTCCACATATGCTGATGCTGACGTAATTTTCTTCTCCAATTCCCCTCATATCACGTTTTGGTTTTCAGTATGTTCTTAATGATGTTAAGAATGCATTGGAAAGTTACATTTATCTGTGGTGTGAGGCATTTTTGTTGAATGTCCCTAGTGTCTTCTGTTCTGCATGTTTTGGATATATGGACGATTTATGTGGTTAGAATGTTGAGGTTCCCCTGCCTGCGTTCTTTGTTCTCTTGGCTTCTCCACTTGAATTATATTGAGTGACTGTGGATGTAGGGCAGGAAGATCTGTCTTTGGCTTTTTCATTAGCAAGCTTATGGTCCCTATTTCTTGCACTTGGCTGTTCAGCTTGTGTTTGGCCTATATTTTACACTATTACCACAGCTTATCAAAAGGCATTCGACACGGGAGGATTGTCATATGGTAGCCAAGCATCAGGAATAGGGCTTCTTTTTGTGGTCAATAGCATTATCTTCATGGCACTCGGTTTGGTCATTGGCTACCCAGTTGCTTCAGCTTCAGGTAAAAGTAATTTTCAAATTTGAATCCAAACTCTAGTTCTAATTAAATCACAAACCCGGAGAGCTTTTGTTAAGGACAAAACTTAGAAATGGTTCCATTGTACTTTCAGCATTGTTCCCTAATCAGGACTAGATTTTCACTTTCAAAAACTTATGCTGCTATTTAATGTAAACATTTATCACGTAAATTGTTAAGATGAAACTCTAATTCTAATTGAAAAAAATATGTAAAACACCTTGGGAAGGAACTGAATAGTTACACTATTATATCGACGCGGCTGCCTTTGTATTTACATGTTATTAATTGCATATTTTCACAGTTAAGGTGCTTCAAGGCCTGTGGATGGGTGATTTAGCGGCACTAAAGGGTTCATGTCCAAATTGTGGAGAAGAGGTCAGTCGCTGAGTTATATACATAGACTGCCACACTGACAGTGTCATATAGGTCATTGCTCGATTGAGTGACCATATTTGTCCAGCTAGAGAAGCACATACTTAATATTTATACTTAAATCATTCTCACGATAATGAATTCATTTTCTTTAAGGTATTCGCATTTGTGAAAACGGACAAGGCTGATGCCTCTCCTCATAGAGCAGATTGTCATGTGTGTGAATGCTTATTGGAATTTCGCACCAAAGTTGAGGTAATAATAATATAGATTCCTTTTACTTCTTGCATAAGACAGCTCGGAAAGTTAGACTACGATTTAATTCTCATTTTTATGAGTAGAAAAAAAAAAAACATGACATTGTAAGCAATAATTGCAGGTATTTTGTTCTTTGCATGACCGATGATGTTATTATTTTGCAGCAATCTGATTTAAGATTAGGTAGACAGTGGGTTTATGGACGTATTTACCTTGTTCGAAGATCCCAAGGCCAGAGAGAGCCATAAAACTTCTTCCCATCAGGACCTTACATTATTATCTTACATTATTGTGAATATTAATTAGCTAGTAAGGAATGGATAAAACCAAATTCTGTTCAGTTCTTCTTGGTCCAGAACAGTTTTGTTAGATCGCAGAAGCCATCTTCCAACAATTTCACAAAGGAAATAATTTATGTGAATGGGTGTACACCTAATTTCTTTGATTTGATAATTTTAAAGATTTTATTTTCAAGCTGTTATAGAAATTAAATGTAACTTTAGTCTTAAGTAACATTCCTTCCTAACCTCTTTCGAAATTCTCGAATGTGTCATTAGATCTCAAATTTTACCCTCATATTCCTTTTTAATTTTATTTAATTTCCAAGATATTTTATGCCTTATTACAGGCCTGGAATTATCTCCCATCTCATCAAAGCTTTTTGATCAGTCTCAGTCTGTTCGTGACGCCTGGAATATAGGAACAATAGACAATAATTTAAAGTTGAATAAAAATAATTATATCTTTATATTTTAAGCATGACAGGAACTTTTATAATTATTTCAATACAATAAAAGTATAATATTGCAATAGAAATATAGATACACAAGCGTGTGTTAGTGTATGTTTTTCTTACTAATATTAAAGAAATAAATATTATATTGAAGGATAAAATAGAAAACCAAATGTGGATATCAAACTAGAATAATATAACAACTGGTTATTAATTTTTTTTAAATATTATTAATTATTTTACAAGAAAAACTTTCTCAAGAATTAAAAAAAAAATGATAGCGAACAATACATTAATTAATCAGACAAAAGGAGTAAGGAAAAACCTCAATAATTTCAAAATAGTTATAGATAAAAGTATAAATTATTAACAAAAGTAACATTATTATTTAAATAATTAAGTAGTTGTGTTAAACTAAAAGGGAGTGAAGGGAGTAATAATAAGATAGAGTGGCACTCATATTAGAGGAAAGTCAAACATGTTTTGGTTTCTTTTAATTGTGGCCGTTAAACATAATCTCTGTTTCACTTTTCATTGTCTCTCTCCCCTCCCTGCTATCCGCACGCGCCATAAAAATAGCGTCCGAGTCACTGCTTATTCGTTCGTTTCGTTGATCCACACTTCCCTCTGAGTCTCTAAACTCCAAAAAATACACACAAATCCAAACACCAAACACAACCGTCACCTACGCAATCGAAACAAAATTTCCCTGTTCTTTTCTCAACGTTTCAATTCTCAATTCATCTCTCTATCACTCTTCCATTTTCTCTTTCTGCCTCACTTCTTTCTTTCGTGATTTCGATTATTCTTTTTTCTTTTTCATTTTGATCAAAATAATTTGACAATTCGAAGAGCCCCAGTAGATTTCTTTCTGGTATTTTAAATTAGGGTTTTAAACGAGATGGGTAGCCCCGAGGATAATGAAAACAAGGGCTTTTTCGCTGCCATGACTTCCGGCTTCTCCATCTTCAGCAATGCTATGCACCGATCTGTCAGCGGGTATGTGAGACAAGCAAGCAACTTGTATTTCCCGGTTACCTGCAATTATTTATGTCTGTATGGTATGTTTCACGGTTTAACCGGAGTTGTATTCATATCATGGGCACAGATAATCATAGATTTTGAGGATTGGATATAAGATTCTAATTATTACAAACATTTTATGATGGCATTATCATCATTCAAATTACTATAATGGCTAGAAGAGAGAATTATCGAGTAGTGTTTCATCAAGGATGTGAGCTACTAGTAATAGTAAAATAACCTTCTATTCATCTATTTGGAGTCTGTAATCACTGACATTGTCAAGAAATGAAGAAAGCTTATGGAAATTTTACCTCAAGCTTTTTGGTCCTTGGACTTCACATCTTTTTCGGTGGAACTTGTCAGTTTAATCACTAAGATATGTAGCGATTCGGGGTAATGTAAGCTTACACACGTTCTCCTTTGATTCTAGGTTACTGGGATATGAAGGTGTAGAAGTTATAAATCCAGAGGGTGGAAAAGAGGATGCAGAGGAGGAAGCCCATAGAGGAAGATGGAAACCAGAGGTTGCTTATTTATTTCGTAAATGTTATTTTTTGGTTCCAACTTTTTTCAGCATTATCTTATTTTGTATTTTCTGTTTAGACTTTGAAAATGCTCTTGGTTATGATTCCTTTTTCTCCCTTAAATTAATATGTTTGTGTTGCCTTTTTAATTTTTTTTATTCTTCATCATATGGATGCCACCCATTTTTTTAGTTTTACTTCTTTTTCTATTTTGCTTTTCAGCAATACCTGATGTATACTTTGTTGTGATATTATTATTTTTTTCCTATCTTTAACTTTTGTATACAGGAAAGAGATAGTTACTGGAAGATGATGCACAAATATATTGGCTCAGATGTAACATCAATGGTAACGCTACCAGTTATTATTTTTGAACCAATGACTATGATTCAGAAAATGGCAGAGGTTTGCATACCATTACTTTTTCTTAAGCTTTGTTAAATTGCTCTATTTGTTTGTATTAGCACGTGATTGAACTTTGAATTGTTTGAATAGTTGATGGAGTACTCCTACTTGTTAGATCAGGCAGATAAATGTGACGACTCATACATGCGGATGGTGTATGCATGTGAGATATTTGTTTCCCTCTTATTTATCTGCTATTTTTTAATTTTTTTATCAATTGATTTATAATTTTAAAGGTAATGGAGTGTGTAATTAAAGATGAGAATGAATATCCTTGTATCTAATTTTGACATGTGATCAAGGCTGTACCTGAATATTTATTTATAGTACCCAAAAAATTGCGAGCTAGGGCCTGTTGTGCTAGTTCTTGTTCTTCTAACTACATTAGACTATCTGTAAGCCATGTGCATGTACCTCCTGATTATTTCATTACTTGTATAACCAATCTAATCATTGCAGCATCATGGGCTATATCTGTGTACTTTGCATACCAACGGACCTGGAAGCCTTTTAACCCTATCCTTGGAGAGACTTACGAGATGGCTAACCATGGTGGAATTACATTTCTTGCAGAACAGGTACCTTTTAAGTATGTGACTCTCATGAGAACTCTATCTCCCCACACCTTTTATAATGGTCCTTGGAAATTTATACCAGCATTTGGAAGCCCTGTAATCTTCTTCTCACGCATACTTTCTTTTGCATTGTTAGGTGAACACATTTATGGGATTTTTATTTTCTCGTCTCTGTTATCTTCTCCCTTATATTGGATATCTTGTTGATATATTTTTAATTTCAGGTGAGTCACCATCCCCCAATGAGTGCTGGCCATGCTGAGAATGAGCATTTTACATATGATGTGACTTCAAAGTTAAAGACTAAGTTTTTGGGAAATTCTGTTGATGTTTACCCTGTTGGAAGGTGATCAAAATATTGCACTTGTTTGTAGATCACATTGTTATCCTATTATTTTATTGTCACTTATTGTTTGTATACCTCAACTTAATATTGCTCCATTCTTATGCCACACTCTACTCTTAAGAGTTATTTATTCTAGGTTGAAAATAGTGTTACGAGTATTTTCTAGCTGGACTCTACATATAACGGAACTTTAGCCTCATTTCATTTTTTATGCTTTTTCAAATCTATTTACAATGATTTTGAAGAATCTCAAAAGTTTACCCCTTTCAGTTTTATAAAGAATCTTTATACACAATGGTATAAGATGCAGTACGTTACATAATTATGCAAAAAATTTGGTCTTTTTCTTTACTTTTCTTGTTTCAAGCAGAATTGTCATTTTTCTATCATTTGCTAGCAAGGAAATAATTATACAGTTTGCAATCATTGTTTGCAGAACACGTGTAACCCTCAAGAAAGATGGTGTAGTCATAGATTTGGTTCCCCCTCCAACTAAGGTTAATAATTTGATATTTGGCCGAACATGGATTGATTCACCTGGGGAGATGATAATGACAAACTTGACAACGGGGGACAAAGTTGTACTCTACTTTCAACCATGTGGATGGTTTGGGTATGTAACATCATTTTCTTGTATTCTTTTCCAATTGAAACATTTTTTATTGGTTGTAATACTTGTAGTTGGACAATTGTGTCGATATTGTAACAGTTGGACTTAAATGTATTATGAATTAAAATGTCATAGGAGTGTCATGGTATTGAATCTTCTGGTAGTGCCTGACTATTTAATTTGGTTCTCCACTAGCATTTGAATATGCATCTTTTGCTTGTTAAAATTGAATTTCATTTTAAAGAGAATTGAATGACTTAAATTTCTTCTATTTTCTGTTTTCTATTTCTTTTATCTTCTCCATTCAGATATTGATTCTTTAAATAGCTTTGTGTTTCTTGATATCTTGCAGGGCTGGTCGCTATGAAGTAGATGGATATGTTTATAATTCTGCTGAGGAGCCTAAAATTTTGATGACTGGGAAATGGAATGAGTCAATGAATTATCAACCTTGTGATTTGGAAGGAGAGCCTCTTCCAGACACAGAACTGAAAGAGGTGTTTTTCTTTTGTTTGAAAATGAATATACTAAATGATCAAGACGAATTATATGTTAATGGGCTGTAACTTTGCTTTCTTTTATTTTAGCTGGTTTCTTTGTCCATCTGTTTGCATGCTTGGTAAAATACAGTTTTACTAAATACTGATTAGTGGAGATGGGCAGCCCGATCACCAATGACAAATTATCATAGGATAAGAATTCAAGGCGACCCTTCTGAATATCTTCCATCCATAAACACCCTACCTACCCAGTCAATTCTAGCCATCCGTCTCTGTTATCCTTTTTGTTGTGTCCTTCATCCATTCAAAAGAATGTTTTTTCTCTTCTTTTTCATTTCCTACCTAATATGGAAGCTGCGAGTCTGTGACATAGTAATTCTTTCAACTTTCCAACCATCATTAATTCATTAGTCTGTTTTAGTTTTTGCAGATCAAAGCCTCAAAATTTACAAATATTATAAACTAACTCATCATTTGGATTTGACTCGCATCAATTAAAGAAACTCTGTGTTGGAAAAAAAATTCAAGTCTATTTTGATGATTTATGACATGTCTTTTCTGTTTGAAAATATCAAACTAGTTGTGAACCAGTTGACAATACACAACCAGTTGACAATACACACATTTGTAATGTGGCGACCTCTTTGATTAGAGGCTATAACTATGAATTTAATATACTACTTTAAAACAGGAAACTATAACAGTTGTTATCAAGTATGAATTTAATATACTACTTTAAAACAGGAGTGTTTTTATTTTTACTTTTATCATTTTTTTTTTGCTGATACATCAACCGGTGAATGCACTAACAAAGTTATTTATAATTTTTATCGGTATGTAATTTGCGTTATGCAGGTTTGGCATGTTGCTGATATTCCACACAATGATAAATTCCAGTATACATACTTTGCGCATAAATTAAACAGTTTTGACACTGCCCCTAGAAAATTGTTGGCATCAGACTCCCGTTTACGCCCAGATAGATATCAACTTGAGATGGGTGATCTATCCAAATCAGGGGCAGAAAAGAGCAGGTGGCTTACTTTACTTTCATTTCTATCATGCTTGAAAATATGGTAGTTAGTGTGCATTCTGAAAGCAGTACAAGTCTAAAATTAACCGTTTTGCATGATCAGTGTTGTCTTCTATATTTGCGATATTATTTAACGGATGAAAGTACTTTCTTAGTGATTACAAATTGAGGTTAATTGACGTTAATTAGAAATTAGAAATATTCTTGTGAGGATCTTTTAGGCATCTCAGCCACTCTCATAACTTTACTTCCTTACAGTTTGGAGGAGAGGCAACGCGCTGAAAAGAAAATCCGAGAAGCCAAAGGGCATAAATTCACATCAAGATGGTTTGATTTAACGGAAGAGGTCACATCAACTCCGTGGGGTGATTTGGAGATCTACCAATACAATGGTAAATACACTGAGCATCGAGCTGCTATAGATAACTCAGGCAGCACTGATCATCTTGATAATAAAGAAATTGAATTCAATCCATGGCAGTATGGTAATTTGTGCACAGAATGAGTAGTTTATATATGTTTTTGTTTTTTTGGATGCCACGGTTAGATCATGTAACTTTTATTGATTGATAAGTAAAAGAAATTTGTTTCTAGCTGAGGGTTGGTGTGTACATTATAGCTGTAGTCCATCATTCTGCCTTATCAATCTTTTTTTTTTAATCTGTATATCATGTTTTGCATGACTGGCTGTATACATCAATTATGCCCCGATTGTAAAAGGAAAAAGTAAAGAGAAAAAATAAGTGGAAGAAATAAAGAAAGAAAAATAATAAGTGAAAAATAGAATGAAAATAAATATGGTTTGATGGAAGAAAAATTATTTTTCTTATAATATCATTTTATTTATTAGTAATAATAATAATATTTTATTTATTTATGATAAGAAACTAAGAATTTAACCATATAATATACTAACAAATGACACGTGGAAAGGAAGATACACAAGGAAGTATTTTATGACACCATAAACGAATGAGAAATATGAGTTTGTTTTGTTACCCTTGGGAAAATGAAATAGTTGATTTCAACTTCCATATGATTAAAGAATAATGCTATTTGTACACTAATTTACAATAATGAGAGAGATAGAAGGATTTAAGATTAATATCCTGCAGTCTACAAATTGATTATTATTTTTAAGATATTTATATTTTAATGTTGAATAGTTATTCACAATTTCATCATCTCATTTCAACTATAGTTGACTTAAATTCATTATAACCATACCAATTTATTTGCAATGTTTTCATACCTACTCAATTTGTGATATGCTCAAATTTTGTTATATTTGTATAAGATATACCAGAAAAAAATTAATTAAATTTGAACATTTTTCTTTTCTATTATTAGTAAAAATTCCTACTCCTGAAGTTATGTTACCATAACAGATATAATATCAATTTAATGTTGTTATCTTGGGTGTAATCTCATGTCCTATTACATCTGATGAATATAATAAACGAGTAATAATGTAGGTTTTGACAATAAAAGCATTATTGTATTGTTTTGTTGGTTTAGTTTTTGGAGATTTTAACATATACCAAATGGTTTTCTTAACTTTAAAAAGTTGGATTCTAAGAGGAAATAATGTAAATCACTATAAATAGAATATAATATAAGAATTTTTGTCAATTTTTTATACTCAAAATATATATTGAGAAGAGTTAATTTGATTATTGTCACCGATATTATTTAAACACAAAAAAAAAGTTATTAAACCATTTAAATGCGATTTTTACTAAGTGGATTATTTCTTAGGTACGTAAAACCTGGAAAGTTGTGCAATAAATACCATATTGTGCTTCCGACATATGAGCAACGTTTTGCAGATAATGTTTTTATTGATGTTCAAACGAAATTGTAGAAAAATTAGTGAGGGTTATATGTCCAAATTTTATATCATGTTGGTCATTCCACTTTTTACTATATGCAAACAAAAAAAATTGAAAGAAAATGCTTGAACACTATCAATTTAATTTTATTCAAAAATTATTTTTTATTAATTAAATATTTAAATTATAATTACATAGTTATGTTATTAAAATTGAATCATAATCAAATAATTTGTATAAAAAACATGTTAAATAGTTTTAGATTAATATAAAATTTTTATACTTGATCTAAGTAAATAAAAAATAAAGAGATTAAAAAATATAATTTCTGACGTTAAAAATGATCCATGCAGATGCATGGCATTCTCCACTTACGGACACTGCATGATGATGAAGACGTAATGAAGTGACAAGAGAAGCAAATAATGGTCCGAAATGAGATGCAAATGAAATTCAAATGCAAAGTAACAGTGATTAATTAATAATTATAGCGTAGAGGGAGTAGTAGTAGTGGAAGATGAAAAATGTGGGACCCAGCGTCTTTGGCGATGGTTGAAACCAGAAGCGACCACATGATCTAGGGGCTGCCACGTGGCGGCATCTGGTGGTTCGTTGGCCCATCCAATTGCGTGGAACCGGTCTTCAGGTGCCTTATCATCCACCTACTATATCCAGTGCCCTTCCTTGCGATCACCGAGAGCTCCGGTAACACTGACGTACGGTCAATGCTATAAACTCTTGGGGTTTAAGCCATAGCTTCGGTGGTTTTCACAGGGTTTTACTTTTAGCCATTCCCAACGCATCATCGTAATCTCTTTCATATTCACAATTCTCAATTCAGATTCACGATGAGACAACACCACAATTTTCTAAATCCCCACCCTCTTAAACCAACGTTTCTTGCTTAGTTCAGACTTTCTATTTGCCTGCTTGGAATCATTTCTACTCTGAATTCTCTCTCACAATTCCCCATCTCGAAATTGCCGAAATTTGCCAAATTTTCATTCTCTGGGAGTTAAAGATTTCGTCTTTGAACGACAATCTTTGCCAGGAGGTGATCATGCTGAGCTTTGATGGGTTTTGTTTCTCTCAAAAGTGCCCAAGTTTTCTATTTATTTTTTACTTCGTAAATATCGTGCTTATCCTTGGGGTTTGACTTGTGGTTCTGGTGGTTCCGGAAGATAAAGTTGGAATATTTTTTACTTCACAGTTAATGAGAGATTTATGATGTGTATCCCTTTCATTAATTCGAGCTTGTGATGATTTGATCTCTTTGTTTCGGGCATCACGTGATGGCTTGTAAATTGGTTGTTTTGCGACTTCAATCTTCTTCTACGATTTTAGATCTCTTTTGGCCCGAATTTAGTTTAGTTCTCTTCTCGAGGACATGACTGGAATCTAGCCTCGTTTGCGAATCCCTTTCCTGTGTTCTCTTTTAACTTTTATGTCTCATAATTTTTCTCCCTTTACTTTTTAATTTCACCTTCGGACTTTTGAGGAAACTGTTGCTTGATGGGATTTATTTTTTTTAGAATTGTATCTTACACCCTACTTACTTTTTGTGTCTTCATCTAAGTCTAGTTTCGTGTTTACTTTCTCTGTGCAAGGGTTTTGGTTTTCAGTTTTAGGCACCAATTTTCTCATTTGGTAACATATATGTATGTAATCAATGACCTTTTTCCTCAAGGTACTTTGATCCAATGGAAGTGACTGAATTGGCTTCCTTAAGGTACCACTCAGGATTGAGATTGTGGGAGTGAACGTCCAATTTGGTTTAATGCATCTGAACAAGAGAACATACAGTTTGGGTTTATTGGATAACAAATTTTAAACTGTGAAGATTGATTTGCAAATGTAATGAAAATCACTTGAATCTTCTTTTGAAATATTGATATGCATGTGAGGGTTTTTTTCAAAAATATTGCGGTGATATTTGCTTTCAGTGTAGAAACATCTGAATTTAGTCCCTATTTTAAATATAAGACAATGGAAAGACCAGACTTAGATGAGCCTCCATTTGAATTAATCTTGTTCTCCATCTAGTTTATGGGATGCCTTACTGAATAATTTAACGCCCATGCATATAGGGGAAGATTGGATTAGTTTCTGTATCAGACAATATGTTTTGTCATTCACAACTTTAGTAGCGTAAACCTCTGTTTATAGTAGTTCACTATAATGTATCTGAGCCATCTCTAATGAGTATTTATTGTCAGGCTTTCCATTGAGACGAGTGGGATCAAGCAACATAAGAGTTCAAGTTTATTTATGAGTGTTGGATTGCTGATGTTTCGTGTTTGATCAATCCTTATATTGGCATGGTTCCTATGAGATATGGTATTGCAGAAGAGGTTATATTATAGCTTTAATGGCAATCAGGTGCCAACCAAGCCCCGAGCTACTAGATCAGCTAGGGTAAATAAGTTCTATTTCTCATTTGGATCTACTTACAATTATTATTTAGTTTAAGAATATGAAACCAATCCATATTTTATTTTAATATTTCCTAGAGGAACTCTACATTTCAAAGAAGGTTGGAAGACAATCAAATGTGTGCATTTGACTTATTGGCCACCGTAGCTGACACTTTATTGCAAGAGAAACAGAATCCAGCCACATCTAGTGATAGATCATTAGAAAAGGATAGGGATGGATTTGTAAAACAGGAGTGCCAGGATGCAAATAAACCATTCAAAACTGAGCTTTCTGATGAAGCAAGTTGTGACAGAAGATGTCAGCAAGAATTTGTTAAAGAAGGATGCCCAGATGCAAATAAACCATTAAAAGCTGAGCTTTCAGACGAAGGAAGTAGTGATAGAAAATGTTTCTCTAATATTTCTTACCAAGTATACAGTCAAAATTGTTGTTTGAAGGAATTCCCCCATCATGAAATGGACGGTCATTCATGCATTGCTTCTATAACAAGTTCTGGTTGCTCAGAGAAGTTTGTTGCTGAAACACTAGTGGATGGGAATGGCCAAAATGAAATGGAAAATTTAGCTAGCAAGGTTGAATTAGGTTCCTCTGGAAGTCCAGATAGTAGTGGTTGCAAGTTAGATGGTGATGTAAATAAAGTAAAAGATGGTAAGTTTGGGAAGGTTCCCGATGATACTGGGACTGGGTTGTGCTGTTCTGAGGATCCCTTGGATGAAAAACCTCCAGCACTAATAAGTTCTTGTGACAATGCCAAGTTGTCTGGGTATGATGACAACAGCATGCCTCATAGCTCATTGTCCAAAGGTTGTGACAATGTAGTAGTAGATAGTAGAGATGATGACGAAAACTTTTCTGGGTGTGCTCACCCTGGTACCAAAATGAAGTCCTTTAGACCAATTACTTGTATAGATGGTAGAAAAATAAAGAAAAGATTGGCTACTAAATATCATAAAGTTGCTCAAGAATCCACGCATGATAAGTTATCTAACAGTGGTGAGTTCATACTTATCATACGGAATTACTAGCTTTCTTGTTTCTTCACTCATCATGATTCTTGCGTGTTCTCTAATCTATTTTTCAATTGAAAACATGTTAGTTTTGGATGGAAATTTGATGCCGGTTTACAGCAGTAGGAAGAACTATTATAAAAGCCAAAGATCTCAGATGAACATTCCTTTTAAAAAGAGGAAGCTTTTCAAATGTAATTCTGATACAAATTCTACCGGATATATCAGAAATGGTGACGCTTATTATTCACCCAAGATTGAAGCGAACCAAAGTGTTTCATGTTCATCTTCTGGGATGGGCAAAGGTTTGACTCTAAATGACTTCCTCCCAGTAAAACTGAATTTCTTTGGCCACTGGGGAATTTTTTGCTAAATAAATTCCAAATCTTTGATGCAGATCATGAAACATCATCCTTGGGACAATCTGCTTTACGATCTCGAGATTCTCATGGTATGGGAAGATTAAGGGAGTTATTCTTTATGTACTCTTTGGTTTGACTGATGTCTTCAAAGGGGTTCTTACATGAAGATGTATTTCTTTTAATCAGTGAAGCTTAGGATCAAATCATTTAGAGTGCCCGAGCTTTTTATTGAGATTCCAGAAACTGCAACCATTGGGTCCTTAAAGGTATGATAAAATTCTATTATGCCAAACACACTATGTTAATGATGTATGGTATCTGCTCCTGAATGTGTATTCTTGGCATGCTGCATCATGTGGTGTGATCATAATTGCATCTTTCTCATAAGTGGCTGCAATTCTTATCACAATTTGCTCTACAGAGGACAGTGATGGAAGCAGTGACTGCAGTACTCGGAGGTGGATTACGTGTGGGAGTGATTCTCCATGGAAAGAAGGTTAGAGATGACAGTAAAACTCTACTCCAGACTGGAATTTCTCATGATAACCACTTGGATGCTTTGGGATTCGCCTTGGAGCCTAATTCTTCACAAAATATACCACCTGCATGTGCAACTAGTTCTCTTCGCATTCCTAGTGCAAATATGCCTCAACCTTTTATAGGGTAATGATTAGGTTGCAATTTAATGCATTAATGCGCTATTTGGGTTGATGCTTTGGTTTTCACTGCCTCCCATTTATGTTGATATTTCATCTTTCCTTGGAGATGTTTGTTTTCATGGAAATGTTGCTTGCAAATAATATTTTCCTCCTGTAACTCCAGCCATTAATCAGCAACTTTCCTTTCTCTCTTGTTTCTTCATCAAAATTAATGACCCACTTCACTATATATAAATTATTTAATTTACAGAATATTTACACCAAACATAAATGTGTTCATATACTGCATTAATACATCTTTCTATAATTGTCGTTCTAGTTTTTATCTAAAAAGATCATTGATATTTAGGTATCCTTCAAGTCCTGCTGTGATTCATCAAAGGATTCAGGGCTTTCCTAACATGTTAGCTGAACATCAAGCAACAGGTTTAGGTAACCTTGTCGAAAGTGATCATGATTCAGCACCTTCTCCCATCAACACATCAGGTGAAAAAAAATTGTCATACTCTAAAGAACTTATTACTGTTCCGGAAATGGGTATGGAGGTACTGGCTGTGCAACCTGTGCATCAAAAGTCAAAGCGAACCGAGATCGCACAGCGCCGAATTCGGAGGCCGTTTTCCGTTGCTGAAGTGGAAGCGTTGGTTCAAGCAGTTGAGAAACTTGGAACTGGAAGGTAAAATTTACATCAGTCTGTGTTACTATTAAGTCAGTTTTGTGCATAATTCAAAAAGTATGCAACTGTTTAGCGAATTTATTCATTTTGCATTTCCTTTTGACAAACCCTTTATATAGTTTCTTTTTGGGGGGTGGAAATCAGGTGGCGTGATGTTAAGCTTCGTGCTTTTGAGAATGCAAAGCATCGGACATACGTGGATTTGAAGGTAAAAGCTATTGTGAACCTTATGCTTAGCAACGTTTTTTGATGTTGGATTTCATTTTTGCTCCAATTGATTGTTGAATGAAGAGAACGTGGCTGTCACACCTCAGGTTGTTGGGTGGCATGCTGTCTTCTTCATCATCCGTTAATTTCCATTTAAAACCATCATCTAGTTGTTGTGTCAAGGCAAGTAATTGCTTGCATGTTAGGTAAACTCTTAACTGGGCAGGACTCGACATCAACAGGAGTTTGATATACTTCCCACTAGAATTTGATCAGTGTCAATTTAATGAAAATAGCATGGTCACTTTCATTAGTATGATTTTGGCACTTATTCAGCATTGAAAAGGGTAAAATTAGTGATAGTGACACGCTATCTAAACTCTTTTGAGCATTTCATTATTACTCAAAATAAGTTTTACGTCTTATGTAATGATGATTCTTTATAGTTTGGAGTTAATTTAAACCACGAACATACTATGTACAAGAAAGAGTATATGACAGAATACGTGGCTGGCAATATTTGAAAAGGTATTGGCATATGATTAGGTATGGGATAGTGCAGGATAAATGGAAAACACTGGTGCACACAGCAAGAATATCCCCTCAGCAAAGGAGGGGAGAACCTGTTCCTCAAGAACTTTTGGACAGGGTCCTAACTGCTCATGCATATTGGTCCCAGCAGCAGACTAAGCAACAGCTCAAGCACCACCCAAAACCTTGCCTTCTCCTTTAATAAGGACTTGACAGCACCACCTGGCATTGTAGATGGGTTGTTAAAAGTATCATTTTTCATTTGTATTTATTTATCAAAACCGTGTTTATCACTTTCTTCTGTAATTCTATGTCTTCATGTAAACAATTATAACAAGTGATGTCTGTAGAGAATGTGCGTTGCAGGTTGTCCACTCCAAAGTCAGTGTTTGGTGTGTAACTGGCGGGCCACGTGTTACTGATACAAGTTTATCTGCAAATTCAATTATGGACCCACACAAGTTCATATCTTAATCACTAGCTAGAGCTTTATCCATGTGCTAATAGCTGTATAGATCACATACATAATAAAAGTTGACTTATGACCACCACCGCACTCTTGACATAAATTTACTTTTAAACTCAACAAAATCTTTTCTTTTTTAACCTTTTTGACACAACTTGAAAAACTTGGTAAGTTTTTCTTTTAAGAATCATATAATAAACCAATTTGCATCCAATGATGGAATTTTCTGCTAGATGTGTGAAGAACTGCAGATGAGTCAAGTTCCATTAATCTCCTTAAAGAAAGACATGACATGACACGAGATGTGTGAATGAATGTCCGGTGGCAACGACCAAAGATGGATTAAGCATAGGTCACCGACTGGCCGGTGGGTTTCTTGCGGCTTCTGTTACAATTTCATTCTTCTACAACTTCCCCAACTCCACATTCACGGCAACTCTTCTCTTTCTCTTTCACACATTGCAAACTTTCATACTCTGAACCAGTCCCATCATCCACTTACATGGAAAATAAATATCTTCTCAACAAAAACAAATCCCACGTGTAAGTTCTTGTAAGATAAAAAAAAAGTGCACGACAAACAAATCTCCTAACGAAAGCTAGCTGTATCTCAAACATCTTCATGCATATACGTGTCACTTGATATATATATATATATATATATATATATATATAAAAGATAATAGAGTTTTATAATGATATTGTATTTTTTATTTAATTTGAAATAAATTTTCATTTTATTTAAGTCAAATAATTAATTATGATACAACATAGTCTGTATTATTAAGTATTTTTTAAATGACAAAAATTATGGGAGTCACACACACTTATTATTTAATGAACACGATTTATAGTTTTTAGTTTTTTTAATTAATAAAATATATGTTAAAGAATAATATTGCTGGGTGTGTATGTGTGAGTGAAATTTCTATGCTTCATAGTTTTAGTTTTTATATATTTTATAGTTGCTATTAAACATTGTATTATATACTTAAAAATATTCATAAAAGTAGTGATTAAAAATATCAACATCACTAAATAATTTTAAAATAAAATACTTTTTTACTATGGATATAAAATTATATAATTTTTAATACTTAATATTTGATTATATCTGATATTATTTTTTATTTTAATTTTTTATGCATTAAATGCTAAAGTTAATAAATAAATTTATTTTTTTTATTTTTTTCTTTAATTCAAATAATTTTATTTTTTATTCTTTAAAATAACTCTTTAATCGAAACAAAAAATAAAATTTGTTAGATCCAACTGCGAAAAGTGGAGCAGGGAAGATTTGCAGTAAAAGTTGATTTTTCAATATGATTCCCAAAGAACTTCTTCTACTGGTTGATGAGAAAAAATGAACAGAAAGAGTGAATTACATTATATATGATCTATAAATAATAATAATAATATTAATAATTATTAATAAAAATTATAATAATTATAATTATAAAAATAATTTAAATAATTTTTAATTAAAATAATAAATATAAAAAATTATTATTATTATATTAATAATTATTTTAATAATAATAATCATCATCATAATTAAAATAATTATAATATTTTAAGTTATATTAATAATAATAATTTTTATTTAGTTATAATTTAATGATTTTTATTTTTTTATAAAAATAATAATTTTATTATTTATATCAATCAATTCATTAACAAATATTTATATATTTTTCAATCATTTATCAACATTTGTTAACGTGTTTCTGTTAATCCAAAAAATATCACGTTGAACCCATATTTCCCCTCAAATCTATTCTCAGAGATCTTCCATCTAATCCAAACTTACACTTATTCTCACGTGAAATCACAACCTATAAAGTAAATAAGTGGATAGCCACGTGGCAAAGTGAGGTACACTGCCTTATGATAAACTATTAATTCTTCAAGTTTTTCTTTTCTTTAAATATTATTTTAAATGATAAAATTATACTAAAATATCTATTGACTCAGTCTTCAGGTTAATATAGTTATCAACGTTTGAAGGGTAATTTAATTTAATATTTAACAGATGATTTAATATACTTTGTAATACTAAACAAACCGGTTTTCCAAAATTTGTTTATTATAAATTTAAGACAAAGAATAAAATTTTCAGAATGGAAATGATGATTTTGGTCACATGCTGAAATGGTTTTTCTTCATCACTGAATGTGCGGCGTTGAAGTTGGAATTGGCTGGTGTTATCTTCTAATTCTGAAGATTCAGTAGCCATGTATATAAGCTAGCAGCAGACAGATATAATCTGCTGCTATTTTCTTCATTCCTTTGCTTCGATTTGGTATGCAATTTTTTTCATTTCCTCTCTTTAGTCTATTTTATTTCATCAACACTCCTTTTCCTTGGTCTTCAATTTAGATTCCACTACACTTTTTTAATGCCCTCTCTGAAATAACAATTTGGTATGAAATCTTTGTTGCTTCCTCTCCTTAGCCTATGATCATAATATATAAGTAACACCCTTTTTCCACCTTAACTTATAGATGGATAGAAGAATCACCTCCACTATTAAAGTTACTAATGATAGAGAAGAGTCTTGCTTGGATGAGAGTGATGTCTCTGCTGTCCTTAGCTACATAAAGCAAATGCTCATGGAAGAGGACACTGAAGAGAAGTACAGTATGTTCCATGATTCCTTAGCTCTCCAACATACTGAGAGATCATTTTATCAGGTTATCGCTAACAACAACCCTTCTTCTTCCTCCTCCTCTTCCTCCACACACCATTATGTTCACAACAGTCCCAGTTCAAGTGTGGAGAGCCCTGAGCAAAGTGTCTCTGGTAGCTCCACTGATAATAGCTGTAGCAGTAACAGTACTGCCATCTCTGCTGAGTATCAGTGGAGAAGCGTTGACCAAAACACCCCCATACTGCCAAACGCTTTTACCTTTCCGGAAAACTTTGTTTTCCACTCAAATTCAACCCCCACCACACAATCTTCCATTAATACTGGATTTGGATTCTTACACAATTCCCTTCTTGATTCTGCATTTCAAGAACATTTCAAGAGAGGTACAGAGCAAGGTACCAGGTTCCTTCCTAGACATACTCCATTCTTTGTTGACACGGACAGCACAACCTTTTTCCCTTCTTTCACAGAGGCTCCAACTGTGGTAATTAAGACAGAAACAGAAGAAAATGTTGAAGGGGAGAATTTTCTGTCTGTGTCAAGAGGGAGGAGAAATCGGGATCGGGAAGAGTATGAAGCAGATGGTAGAAGCAGGAAGCAATCAGCAGCATACATGGATGAGAGTGAGCTATCTGAATTGCTTGATAAATTGGTGCTAGGCACTGGGTTAGGAAAAGGGGTACCTCCTGACACATCCCCTTACCAAAACGATGAAATATTATTAACAAACATGTTTGGTAGGGAGGTCAGGGAAAGTGAGGAGGAAGTTGTTGATCTGAGGGCACTATTGATGCTTTGTGCACAAGCTGTTGCTTCTGATAGTCATTCATTTGCAAAGCAACTGGTAAAGCAGATTAAGCAGCATTCTTCTCCAATTGGGGATGATACTCAGAGGCTTGCACACTACTTTGGAAATGCCCTTGAAGCACGCCTGGATGGAACCGGTTACCAGGTTTATAGTGTTCTATCCTCCAAAAGAACCTCTGCCAAAGACATGATAAAAGCTTACCGTGTATATGTTTCAGTGTGCCCGTTTGAAAAGATAGCAGTCATGTTTACCAACAATTTAATTAAGAATCTAACTGAGGATGCAGAAACAATTCACATCATAGACTTTGGTATCCGTTATGGTTTCAAGTGGCCTTTACTTATCAGCCACCTATCAAGACGTCCTGGTGGACCACCCAAGCTACGTATCACGGGGATAGATCAGCCACAACCAGGTCTCAGGCCAGAGGAGAGGGTGCTGGAGACGGGTCGTAGACTTGAAAAATATTGCAAGCGTTTCAATGTGCCATTTGAGTTCAATGCTATTGCAAGAAGATGGGAGACCATCAGAGTTGAGGACCTCAAGATAGAGAAAAACGAATTTGTTGCTGTGAACTGCACGTTTCAGTTCCAGCATCTACTTGACGAGTCCGTGGTGTTGAATAATCCCAGGGATGCTGTTCTGAGGTTGATTAAGAAGGCAAATCCTGACATATTTGTGCATGGCATTGTCAACGGGTCCTACGATGTGCCATTCTTTATGTCACGGTTCCGAGAGGCTCTCTTTCATTACTCTGCACTGTTTGATATGCTTGACACCAACGTCGATCGTGAAGATCCCATGAGGTTGATGTTTGAGAAGGAGTTGTTCGGAAGGGAGATCACGAACATCATTGCTTGTGAAGGTTGTGAGAGGGTTGAGAGGCCGGAAACATACAAGCAATGGCAGCTTCGAAACATGAGAATTGGCTTTCGGCCGCTTCCTATGGATCAACGTATCGTTGACAAATTAAAGGGTAGGTTGAGAGATGATGCGTACAACACCAATTTCATGCTTGAGGTGGATGGTGATTGGGTGCTACAAGGTTGGAAGGGTCGAATTCTACATGCTTCCTCTTGTTGGATACCGGCATAGCATAGGCCTTGCACATAACTATTACTTCCCTTCCATTAGTCTCAATATCCCACTTGATGTTTGATATCAGAAAAAACAAAATCATTTGTCAATTTCTGCCAATGAGGTTTGTTTACTTTACTACTTCCATATCTAACAATTCAGCCATATACTTGGGATCTGTGATAAACATAGAATATACGATTACAAATACCGTATCATGCCATGATTCTACATGATTAATTTTTTCCATATTTAGCTTGGCATGACAGCGATGCACAGTGATGCACATTAATGTCATATCTGTTAATAGACAAATTTAGGATACCGACTATAATGGTTAGCGTAATTATAGCCTAGAATGTTTCTGTATTTCATGTATATATTGTGCTATCATATTCAATACAAGACAGGGGTTTTTGGAAATATTTTTATCATGGTATCAGAGCGAACCAAACTCTGATATCCAACAGCCCGAGAACACAGTCGTACTTCTAAAATGACAGAGAGAGGAGAGACGGTGAAGAAAACACCATCGCCATACGATCTGAGTGCCAGTGATAATCCTGGAAATGTGATTACACAGGTACAATTACGAGGAGAGAATTACGAGAAATGGGCAAGGGCCGTGAAGATATCTCTGCGGGCTCGAAGGAAATGGGGTTTCATAGATGGAACTCATAAGGAACCCGAAGAAGACACATCCGAGATAGAAGATTGGTGGACAATTCAATCGATGCTTGTATCTTGGATACTAAACACTATAGAACCTAGTTTGCGTTCCATTCGTTGCATACATGGAAAACGCAAAGGACCTATGGGATGACATCAAGGAACGATTCTCGATCGTGAACGGACCAAGAATCCAGCGAGTTAAAGTCGAGTTGGCGAGAATGCAAACAACAAGGAATGACTATGGTTTCCTATTATGGGAAGTTGAAAACGTTGTGGGATGAACTGGCAAATTACGAGCAAATCCCACGGTGTAGATGTGGGGGATGCAAGTGTAATATTATGACGCAACTTGAGAAACGAAGAGAAGAAGAAAAAATTCATCGGTTCTTGATGGGGCTAGATGATGAGGGCTATGGAACCGCACGGTCAAATGTTTTGGCAACAGATCCATTACCCTCGTTGAATCGGGTGTATGGCACCATGGTGCAAGAAGAAAGGGTGAGAACAATCACCAGGTCTAAAGAAGAGCGAGGAATGATCGTGGGAATGGCTATGCAAGCGGAAACCGGGAACAAGTTGCGCAATGAAGCGAAAGAAAAATCGAGTTGTTTGCATGCAGTGTGGAAGGAAGGGACATGACAAAGGCAATTGCTTCAAGATCATTGGTTACCCAGAATGGTGGGGAGAGAGACCACGAACCGATAAAAACGATGAAAAAAATCAACAAAGAACAGGAACCTTCCGAGGAAAAGGAGGAACGGCTCAGCGTCAATCTGGCGCACACTCGGTGCGGATAACGTTGGTTCAACCGAAAAACCAGAAGTCGCAGGATCGAGTAATGAGCAATGGCGAGATCTTGGCAACGAATGTTGAATTCTCGCAAGGCAAATGAAACTGAAAAGATGACTGGTAAGAAAGCATGTGACTTGTGGATTATTGATAGTGGCGCCTCTAATCATATGACAGGAACACTAGAAAACTTGAGGGAGAGTCGAGCCTTGGACGGGTGCCCAGTGGGACTACCAAATGGTGAATTGGTGCTGGCAAACAAAGAAGGATCGGTTTTCCTTGATGGAGGACTGAAACTTAAACATGTTCTATATGTTCGAAATTGAATTGCAATTTGATTTCGGTATCACAATTGACGAATGAAGTAAAATGTACGAGTACATTTTATCGATAGATTTTGTGCAATGCAGGACCACACTTCGAGGATGCTTGATTGGAGCGGGTGAACGAAAAGAGGGACTCTATTGGTATCGTGGTGTGAGTGGCATAAAGGCGTATCGGACCAATGCGAGAAAATCAACTAGAGATTTGGCACAAGCGAATGGGACATCCTGCCTACCGCAGTTGTTAGAAAAATTCCGCATCCGAACAGCGTGAATAGAAATACGGATACAACTCGTGTGTGTGAAGTGTGTGAGAGATCAAAGCAATGCGAAACACATTTCCTTTAAGTGATTTTCAAGCATCCAATATATTTGATTTAATACATTGTGATGTATGGGGTCCATATAGAACTCCCTCGTCTTGTGGTGCATCTTACTTTCTCACTTTGGTTGATGACTCGTTCTCGAGCTGTGTGGATATATCTCTTGAATAATAAGAAAGATGTGTCACAAACCTTAATGCATTTCATCGCCTTAATAGAACGACAATACGAGAAACAAGTCAAAATATTACGAAGTGACAATGGAGCCGAGTTTATGTGTCTTCAACGATATTTTCGAGCAACATGGGATACTCCATCAAACCTCATGCACTTGGAACACCTCAGCAAAATGGGAGAGCCGAACGAAAACATCGACACATCCTAAATGTAGCTCGTGCTCTACGATTTCGGGGAGAACTTCCACTTCAATTCCGGGAGAATGCATTTTGACCGCAGGATACTTGATCAATCGTACACCCTCAACCGTTCTCCATGGAAAAACTCCATATGAAATATTGAATGGGAAGTCACCCACTTATGACCATCTACGGGTATTTGGATGCTTGTGTTATGCACATAACCAAGATAGGAAAGGTGACAAATTTGCAAGTAGAAGTCGCAAGAATGTATTTGTTGGATATTCAATCGAAAAAAGGGTTGGAAATTGTTTGATCCGGAAAGAGAAGTCTTCTGGACTTCAAGAGATGTTAAGTTTGTAGAACATGAATTCTCGTTTGCTTCTCTTGCCCACAGTAGACATTCGGAGGTAGGATTGCCTCATCGTTGATGTTGGCATTGTCGAGGAAGCATTGCCTGGACTTGGTGCGGTGAACGTGGAGACCGATGACGTTAACCCCACAACGGAAAATGTGCCCACAACCGAGTTCGGGGAGGGCCACGCTGAATGCCATGAACAAGAGTCTCCCACCCGGATCGTTCTCCCACCGGAACAAACCGACTCTATGATGACGGAACTAGAGGTTCTCGAGGAGCATACTTGTCCCTGCATCCCGGGGAAAGGTCTTCGTGTACGAAAGCCATCCGTGAAGCTTCGTGATTATGTCACTAACACCACTTTACAACTCGGTCCCTCAATTCGCACTCCACATTCGGCTTCCTCGGGTATGCCTTACGGTTTGACAAAGTACTTAAATTGTGCTAAATTCTCCTTCCCCACCGAACCTTTCTTGCGACCACTTCATGCGGAGAGAGAACTCTGTGCATTTCTTTGAAGTCGTTCGGGATGTTAGATGGAGAGATGCCATGGCTAGTGAAATTCGGGCCCTCCAAAGTAATGAAACATGGGACATTACTCCTCTACCGTAGGGAAGAAGCCTCACGGGTTGCAAGTGGATTTATAAAATCAAATATCATTCCGATGGGAGCGTTGAACGCTTCAAAGCCCGATTAGTTGTCTTGGGAAATCACCAAGTTGAGGGGATTGACTATGACGAGACTTTTGCCCTGATGGCAAAGATGGTCACCATTCGGACGGTGTTGGCGAGTGGCGTAGCCAAAGACCGGGAACTTCATCAAATGGATGTCCATAATGCTTTTACGCACGGCGATCTTGAGGAAGATGTATACATGAAAATGCCGACGGGGTTCTTGGTGTCTCAAAGGGTATGGTGTGTCGTCTCCGTAAGTCCCTTTATGGTCTTCGTCAAGCTCCTCGGTGTTGGTTTGCCAAGCTCTCAACTGCTCTTGTTCAATATGGGTTTCAACGTTCTTCGTCGATCACTCCTTGTTCATCTTTCGCAAAGGAGATGTCGAGCTGGTTGTGTTAGTTTACGTGGATGACCTAGTCATTGCTGGCAATCATCATGAAGACATTGCGCAATTCAAAGATTATCTTCATCAATGTTTTCGTATGAAGGACTTAGGGAAATTAAAATACTTTCTTGGGGTGGAGGTTGCCGGATCTCCTACGGGAATTTTCTTGTGTCAACGGAAGTATGCGTTGGACATCATAGGCTGAAGCGAGGATTGCTTGGAGGGAAACTCGTGTCCACGCCAATCGAAGAAAATCATCGTTTAGCATTGGGCGATGGCGAACTACTTTCCGACCCGAGTCAATATCGACGTCTCGTCGGTCGCCTTATTTACTTGTGTTTTACACGACCTGAATTATCTTACGGTGTTCATGTCCTATCTCAATTCATGCACCAACCGCGTCGAGGAGCATTGGCGGGCTGCACTCCGCGTGGTACGCTATTTAAAGGGCAGCCCAGGTCGGGGTGTGCTTTTAAAAGAGAGAGTGACCTTCGTCTTTATGGTTGGTGTGACTCGGATCGGACTAGTTGTCCTCTAACTCGAAGATCTCTCACCAGGTTGGTTTATTTTCCTTGGTCAATCCCCGTTTCCTGGAAAACCAAGAAGCAACATACGGTTTCTCGATCATCCGTCGAGGCGGGAATATCGTTCTATGGCCAACACGACATGTGAGTTGAAATGGCTTCAAGGCCTTCTTTCGAGCCTAGGCATTACTCACACCAGACCCTATGACTCTCTACTCGTGACAACCAAGTCGCCCTTCACATTGCCAAGAATCCTGTGTTTCATGAACGGACAAAACATATTGAAGTGGATTGTCATCTTATTCGTGATGAAATACAACACAATCATATTCAACCCTCCTATGTGTCCACTCATCATCAACTGGCTGATCTCTTCACCAAATCTCTTTGCGCCACTAAATTTGGTTCTTTTTTAGGCAAGTTGGGCATTCACAACCTTCATACTCCATCTTTAGGGAGGGTGATAAACATAGAATATACGATTACAAATACCGTATCATGCCATGATTCTACATGATTAATTTTTTCCATATTTAGCTTGGCATGACAGCGATGCACAGTGATGCACATTAATGTCATATCTGTTAATAGACAAATTTAGGATACCGACTATA